AGCACAATTTTGCCAAAAATTCAGAGATACAATCGGACAGTACGTGGTGACGCTGGCCATGAGGTTGCCGGGCGCTATTGTGCACAGAGCCTGTTATTTTTGAGTATGATCAAATTTGAACAGTCAAGTGAATGTTGAAGTCATTTCTATGACTCATTATAGACACTACTCACTACCACAGTGTGCCTGTTTTTTGTCATGTCATTTACATTAGGAATGAAGGAGTTAAGGAGTTATGAGAGGAGCGCCTCAGACAGAGCATTTTGGACTGTGATTTTAGAGACCTCTTCTACAAAAATAAACTTTTCAGAACAAGAGTTTAGCAATTTAAAGGTTCTTTATTACACAAATTTGACTTTTGAGCTTTAAGTCATGTTATTATGCTGTTGCTTCCTCAATAGACCTGGAGTTGTGTTTTGTTTCATGTTTGAGTAATCTTGCATTATTAGCCTGTTTAAATCATCTTAAAATGCTCTGTTCCATAGTGTGATGTCATGAAATTATTCTAGTGAAGGTGTATGGAGTTTAAAACTGCAGTGGAGCACTTCCTGTATTATCACATGAATGTTTTCAGTTTGAGGGAAGAACTAAATGCCTAAATCTGCTGAGTTTGTGTCTCAAACATGTATGAATGAAACAAAACACAACTCCAGCTCTGTTTGTGATGAGGAAACTACACTCTAACAGAGCAGAAAGAGGAAGAGAGGGTATTAATCACTAACCCATAACATAGTGATCAGATCATCATGTTACCTTTTATTGTTTTGAAAATGCTATAGAATCTTGCAGCTAATAGTAAGGAGGGTTTGAATAGGCCCAAGGAGAGATCACTGAAATACTCAAACATGCATGGATGACATCTAAAACCTCTTCAGGCGTGTCTGATGAGGGAACAAACATGGTATTAAAAAAAAAAGATTTTTATTCTATTGCATTTAGGACACCATCATCTGAAATGACACCCCTACTGTGCTGTTTTTTTCTTAATCGGTGACGTGTAGTATTCAGCAGTGTCTCGTAGCTCGTTTGGGTACAAACGAAAAAAATTTATCTGTGATTTCCTACCACGAACTGTAGCTGTCCATAAACAGAGATGGGTAGTACTTAGTTACATGTACAGTAACTTACTTTACTTTTCTCGCAGCATACTTTTACTTCTACTTGAGTAATATATTTATTGAAATTACAGTACTCTTTCCTGAGTAAAAGTGCTTCTTCTTCCCACTGTAAGTCTAAAGTGACAAAAGCTTTATGTTGACAATCTGAACTGATTTGAACTTGATTTGTGTTTCTTGCTCTGCTCCTTCAGATGTGATCTAGATTTAGTTATGCTAGTTTACTCTGTCTTTCGCAAACACCAATTTGTGTGTAACATTTATGTATCAATATTGTCCTATAAATTACATTTAACTTTAAATTACAAATCAAATGTCCCAACAGTTACTCTTTCAGTTACTGTTTACTCTTGAATAATTTCTTAGACCACTACTTTGTGTGTGTAATATTATTTTGAAGTACATTTTTGGCTATCCACCTCTGCGCAGTCAACCGGAGGTCATTTTAGATCAATCTTGCAATTTAAAATTTCCCAAAAATAAAACAATTCTCAGTATATCATAGATTATAGCTATAGCTTGTGAAAAAAATGACTAGGGTCTTGAGTGGGGATGCACCGATCCAGCTTTTTCAGTTCTGATAAATGATTTCAAATCTTCAGTATTGGATCGTATCTGCCAATATTATCCGATACCAGTGCAGAGACTGAAAACAACATTGATTTCCTTTAAACTAAAATAAAAAAATTATCCATTATGTAGCTGTTATTTATCTCTCAAGTAACAGCAGAGCAAATTCTTCTTCTTCCAGTAAATATCACCAATAATCATATATTACTCCAGAGATGAGGCGAGATCTCATGCCACTTAGTTTAAAGTAAGGCGAGAGAAGTGCTCCTCCTGTGACAGTTTTGTCTAATCATTTAAATTATAAAAATCAAGTTTAATAACACATGTAGGCCTATATTGAGTATATAATCAGTAGTGATGCATGTGGGGAATTGGTGTTTAAAGCGTAAAGATTGTTTAATGCATCAAAAACGTATGATGAAAATGACTTAATTTTGTCATTTGTATTTATAACTATCAACACATAAAACACGTCTCGATCTCATGGCCCCTATTTCGTGTCTTGTCCTGCCTTGTGAAAATTCTGTCTCGTTCAGTCCTTATTTACTCCATTTTATATGCTCAAACAGGATATCGGCTGAATCAATATTTGGAAGCAGATATCTGATCCAGCAAATATTTCAGTATCAGTGCAGATATCTGATACCAGTGTCTGTGCATCCCTGGTCTTGAGCATGGCTGAGCAGAGATGACTTTACAGGCTTCTAAATGAGAGACATTATTGCGTAAAGTTAATATCAGAGGGATTGATGGACGTGTTGATAGTGCAGACTGCCTTGCAGGGGGACTCGGGGGGGGTTTGTTATTTCACATGTTGAGCTGAGGAGCAGACTTAGGGCAGGATCCAGCCCTTAAAGCCCTGCACACGCCTCAGACTGCGAGCACACCACAGCCGATAATAAGGAACGGACACGCGAGAAGCTGCTAATCCCACAGTCGTTCCGCTCGTAAGGAGCATTGTTGGGTATTTAAAGCCACTACAACGAGCTATCCTCAGGAATCCCCAAGACCATCAGTCACTCAAGTCCATATTACAATACTCTATATTATAGTGTTAGATTTAGGCCAATAACAAGCGAGAAATCCCAATACATCCTTCTCTAAATGAACAATATTATGAATAAAATATTAAAGCAGACATGCTTGTGTAGTGGTGCAGTGGTGTAGTGGTTAGTGCATTCACCTCACAGCAAGACAGTCCTGGGTTTGATTCTGAGGTGGCGTGGGGCCTTTGTGGTGTGTGGTGTATAATAGGGCCCTCTCCTCAGGACCAGGACTCACCCACAGTTGCACTTGGAGTCCTTTGAGCGTGTTTGAATAATCTTAGATAGTCAGAGTCATTTAGTACAAACAAAAAAAGTTAATGTATAAATAAAATTGCTAGTGTGATCTACAGCTGTCCATAGGAGGAGCTGACAGCTACACAGCTCTTTGTTGTCATAACATCAGCTCCCATTGAGCACTGTAATTTTCCAACATGAAAGTCAGCTGACGTTTTTCTTTTATCAGGTTGCTTTAGTGATATTGTGATTTAAAATGGGCAAAGTATAACATAAGGATTCACAGAGGTCATATATTATAACTATCTAGCAGACATAAGCACATTAGGTCTTCTTTAAATAAAGGTCAATAATTGATAATAATAGTGAAAAAATAATTGTGAATAAATGTAAAAAGCTGCATTGTCTGATTTTCAAACTCTGAACAGAGAATGTATTAAAATCTAACCTTTTCCTGGCCTTAACAAACCCTTTGGCACATTTTTGATACTCACGTGTTGCAGAACTTTTCAGTAGCCTGAGAGTTGGAGGAAGAGATAAGGGAGTAGAGTTCTTACAGAGGAGTTTTATTTGCCATCAGTACAGGAGCCATGAAACCTCAGGATTTTGTGATAGTGTTGTCCATTAAAGTCTAGTACAGTCCAGTCATGGCTCCATTGTAGGGAGTATTATACCCCTGATGATGTAGGCAAAGATAACAAGGACTGAGCTGGCAGTGTGGAGCTGGCACAGCACAGAAATGTAATTAATCTATCAACATGCATTAATTTTCACATTTGTCTTCTAAAACAGTGAATGAAACAGAATCACCTTAGCACATTCAGGCATGAAGAGGTAACAACATTCTAACATGGCTTAAAGCTCACAGGAGTCATTGTTGCATAATATTGGACCTTTTAAATAATGAGCCTCAAAAAAGGTTTGATTCTGGAATGAGAGGCATGCAGGAGCACCAGTGACTAACCAAACTGTTGTCCAGATGGATGCGTCTCTGTACTTACTGTGGCTGGTCCCTGTCCCCCTCAGCTCCACATAGAGGTCAAGATGGCAGCAGGATGTCATTTGAAAATCTCTGACCACATGCAGACACTTGTCCAAGTCAATCCATGTTCAGCCCTCATTCAGCCAACACTACCAGCACTACCCCCCTTTGCTTTTCCCTGGAAAAGCTCAGTGAATGTACTGGGTGTCTACCAGGGTCATGATTATTTAAAGGAGACCTATTACGCAAAACTGACTATGTTGTAATTGTTTTCATCTGTGTAACCTTCTTATAGTTGTATTTAGTGTGATTCATGCATATTTGAGTTGGGGATGGGCGATATAACTGGACTGGTATCAACCCGACTTGGATGCAATTCATCAATATCAATATTCAGTACTGATACTGATATTGAACAGACTAATGAGTCAAAATTGAAATGGAAGAGCATTTGTCTGTATGTTTACACAAACATGTAACAAATTATTTTATATTCCAGATAAATTGATTTTATATTTTTATATTTTTGACTTCTTGTTTTTTGTGTTTCTTGCAATGAAAGAAAAAAAATCCATATTTCCCCATCCCTAGTTTGAGTAATATTCATTCTCCCCATTATTCAAGACATTATTGCTTTGATCTACCCCTGTTTTTACACCCACTGTGGCGTACCTTCTCCAGTATAAGTTTTTTAAATCGCTGATATGCCTTGGATTCGGCAGCATTGTGTAGGCATTTTGGTACACAATTAAATAAACAACTGAAACGATTTACTTTTAGCTCAAACTACTAATGTGCTAAACAATAATAAAAAAATACTTTTCAGTCCTGTTCAAAAATGTAGTGTAGAGTAGAAAAGTTCTCCTGCTCTCAAATGTTGTGATGTAAAAGTATGGAGGGAGGGCGTATGAGCTGTGGAGGAGTCTCCAGGAGCAGCTGGGCTTGGCACCAGAGCAAAAGCCTCTGACCTGAGCCCCACACATCCTGACGGCCCTAGCCCTGACTCCACTGCCCTGTGCCATGCTGCTGTTGGCCTTAACCCCCTGCTCTGCACTGGGACGACACTACATCGCCATGTTCGAGGCCACCCAGAATGTGACGCTCAAGCCCAGTGAGTCCTGGAGAGAGACGCTGCTAGACACGCGCATCATGGACCTCTTCTTCACTGTGAGTAACCCCCGCACTCCACTACAGACCTCAGTGTGAGATGCCTCTCATGTTTCCTGCTGGTAGAACCCTTATGTTGTTGAATTTCAAATGTTTTTATTTATATTTTTATATATAATACAACATGTTGCAACTAAGTGTCCATTAGTAGCTCTAATGGTGCCTAAACTATGACTCATACAGTATTTGAATATTATAATTTGTTAATCTCTTTTCTTGAGCTGTATGTAGTTGTTTAGAAAACTGGACAAATATGGTCTTTTTATATTTATTTATTTATTTATTTGGTTTATTTAGCAGAGACAGTGTACATTAATCAACATTTCTGTAAATGTAAACCAGAGTTTTTCATCTGCAGTCCCTGGACACAGGGTAAACATGGTAAAAACATTACAGACCATTAACACAATGTACACACAGAGAAATCAAACACACATGACAGCAGACAGAAGACCCATGCTCAGGTAAGGAGGACTCACACTCATGATCGCACGTTTGATGTGATATTAGCCAGTTCTTAACATGTTTTTTGAATAGACTGTATGAGGTCAAGTCCCTGATGCTGCCAGGGACTGAGTTCCGCTCCTCAGAGGCTGTGATGGAAAAGGCTGATGTTGATAAACTGCGACAATGGAAAGAGATGACTTACCATGGATGATTTTGTAAATGAGACAGAGGTTTGAATACTTGATGAGGTTTTCCCAGCTTTGTAGGTTGTGATTGAACATAATGATCCATGGGTGTCATACGATACTGTATACTAACTACATAGCAGGATCAAGCACAATACGTGATCTTTACGTTAAGTAGTAATACTTAATACCATATACTTTTTTATAGGAATGTAACGATATCCAAATCTCACGGTATGATATTATCACGATAAACATCTCACAGTACGATATTTATTGCAATATTTTTTATGATATAATTGTAGATGGGACTTTTTTGCTTTTAAAATACCTTGACAAGATTTTGGTGTGAATTATTTCTGTTATAATCCCAAGAATTAAAGTAAAAATCATATATTTTCATGTTGTCTGCACTGAAATGAAACATGGAATATGTAGTTTCTGATGTTTATAAACTGTTGCAACTATAAAAACATGCATTTATGCAAAGAAACTTGTAATTCAATATATTGGGACAGTCCACGATATTATATACTTTTGATGATACAATATCACGAAATTTTGGTTATTGTTACATCCCTACTTTTTTACTCTTATTTGAGTAATTTCTTGGACCGCTGTTTTGTACTTCTACTTGAGTAATATTATTTATGTTACTATTACTTGAGTAAAATCTTTGGCTACCCACCTCATCTCTACACATAAGTGAGTAGCCTGAGAGATGGTTGTGCCTGTGGGTGTCTTGTGTGTCTTGTACCAGTGTAGCAGGGTGGCTTTTGGCTGGGAGGCTTGCTGTGACCATAGACTGCGTATGGCTGGGTCAGGGTCTTGTGTCTGCTGTCTCTTTGGTATTTCTAGTGGCTCATGTGTTTGGTATTGTCTGGCTCAGCTGCCACAGACCTCTTTCCTTCTCTGTCTCTCTGTCTCTCTCCCCCTCTGTCTGTCATTTCAGCCCTTTGACCTGGGCAGCTGCCGTGTGCCGCTCCTCACTGCTTTCATCACGCTGCTCAGATGTGTCCAACCTCAGAGTTTTTCTTAAAATTTTTTTTCTTTACTTGTGTCATTGGCATGTTTACTGTCACCGAAGGAACAAACTCCAATCTCATTGTCTAAACCAGAGTGAGGAGAAGGAGAGTTTGATAAGCACTTTACACAAGGCAATATCAAGATCCACAAACAACAGACCTTCTGCTTCCTGCTAAACCTGTAATTAGATCTGTACAAATGCAGAAAATCACATTTAGATATTTCTCAGACATGAGATTTGTTTTTTTCAGTGACACATGTGAAACAAAGGAGCACATTGGCCACCATCATTAACAGAATGACATTTCTCTCACCTCAGTGTAGTGCTTAGTGCTTCACTCATTGATACTGCAGAAATGCGCCATGTTTTTTAATCCTCTAATATTTTTTCCTCGTAAGCTGCCGTATTTGTTTTAATATTGACAGACCATGTGTCCCAGATTGGCTAAACATCTGTCAATCACGCCCATCTGAATTTGGGGAGATTCACTGACCAAACCAGTGAACAGTAGAGTATCGAAGAAATGTTTGTGTAAAATGTGCTCTACAAATACTTTTGCCTGGGATCCACAACAAAGTAATTAAAAGTGACAAACATGAAGAATTGTAACACTGACTTAAAAAGAGAAAAGTGCAGATAGATACGCAGAGTAGAGTTGGGTGATATAAATTTTTTAATATCATCATACTGTCCCCTAATTGTACTGCGCCAGACTGTATTATCTCCTGTCCATCCAAATTTAGATTTGTCCTTAAATAGCACATACACTGTGCAGAATAGATCAAATAATGCTCATTTATTAAGGAACAATGTGAATTTGGCCAATTTAAATGCAAAATACGTCATTAATTGACCACCTAGCCTTGCATCTCTCTACCCTCTGCTCGTTCCACCTGTGTGCTCCTGCCTAACACTTTGCTCTGTTTTGTTCTTTATTAACATAAATAAGTGAAATTATGACAGTAAGTAATATTGGAGGTTTGATTGTGAAATGTAATGCACAAATACATTTTGAGGAGGCAACTGTTTTCCTCTTTTGCAGGACACATGCTGCGTGCGTGTCTTAAATGAAAAGCCATATGACAAATAGCCCCGTTAACATCAGTTGTCTCCTTGTGCGTTTATAATCCAATTGTGCTTTAAAACTAGTACAGTGTTAGTTTGGCTGCCTGTGTGTGCATTGACCGTGTGACCATGGCAGCACAAGTGGATTATAAATGCACAAGGGCCCAGTCAAGCAGAAGTAAACAGCAAGGCCAAAAATTCAAGTTAATGCATCTGATATAAACATGTATTGAACAGATAGCATATGTACTCTAGTTTATGAAACTGTTGACCTTTTTTCTGTACCATTTTTGGTTCTGAAGTTACATCCGTTTTAAACAGACCATGTATGAAACATGGAACAAAAATTATTTCCCAAATTTCAAAGACCTGCAAATCATGTCAATAAACGGATGTATTTCATCATATCTTGTGTTATTCCATCTTTGAACTGTTGATGAAGGTACATGATTTTTCCAAAAAAATGTATTTAAAATGATAAAAATTTGCTTGGAAGGACAACTCAAACTGATATTAACACAAATTCTTACGTTTAAAGCTAAACCAAAGAGCACATCACACATGGATTTAAACAGAACCTGAATTTGGATTTGTGGGACAGCGTTGTATTTTCAACTATCAGATACAGCATGGGCCTGTGGCAGGGCTCTGACTGTATGATTGCATTTTAACAGAAATTAAGGTAATTGTCCACTGTAGACGCACATATGTATGTGCACATACAATACGATCGAGCGGCAGAAAGCATTCCATTTCTCTATGCACTTGTGCAGTTTATGACTCTGTCCTGTCCAAGTAACTGCCCTTTTGTCCTTCACAGACATGAAGAAAATAACATCTAAACAGTACATCAAAGCTAGTATGTATACATGACACACAAGTTCATAAAGTCAGAATCTAGTCCAGCTCCACGAGGTCCACATCGCTCCATATGTCCTGTACATTGTTCCAAGTGCCCGTGTTAAAAAGAGAGTAACTTTTCTGCAGCAGAGCTTAGATGTTTGCAGATTTTGTGGACTAGGGTAGTTGTTCATTCAAATTAAAAGTTATTTCAGCAAAATATAGGTCAAATCTGTCAAATGAGTAAATGATTGGTTGCAGTGTTAAATATAAGCTTTGCGCATTCCAGAGTGGAATTTTTTACAGACAGTATTGAAGGTGACACTGTTCAATACCACAGTGAACAGTATTATTGTCATATCTTCCACCTCATCAACATAACATTAGTTTTGCTCAGCAGTAGTTCACTAATGCACCGTTGTTGTTCTTCTTTAAGCTTTCGTCTTTTTTTCCTTGATAGTTGTGGATAAAATCTTCAGACAGAATGTCTTTTGTGGACCTTGTTGGATGAAGATTTGTGATGGAGCAGATTTATGAAGATGCTGGAAAATACGTCAGACATTTTCACAGATATTTTGACATAGAAAAGCATTAACCGAAAGTTACGTTTACCGTACATCGCGGCACTTCCGCCTGTTGTGAAAAAGGTCTATTTCTTTTAAAAAGTTATTCAAGAAAATGTAACTGAGTAAATGTAACTAACTTGAGTACTACCTACCTCTGGTCAGTACTATTCTGAAGTAGGTTAGGTTGGTTTGTCCTTTATTGACTAATGACTGATTGATTTCCTAACTTTCCGTTGTTAAATCAACAATTTTGTGAAAGTCGGGCATATGCTGTTGGGAATAGGCTGCAGGCCTTTAGTGCTTTGGTCAGTTTATTGATTGATGGAGTCTTAGTTGAGTAAAATTTGCGTTAGTCAATTTATCGTTTTATTTAGATAAGGATTTCTATTTACCCGTGCAGCAAGAACCACATGCTTTGAAACAACTTTACAAAGACAAGTGGCTCTGGAGCTGTGACCTGTCTCCCTGATTTCACATGGTGTGTTTGACAGGTGGATTAACCAATCAGAGAGACCCATGCTCCATTTGTGTTGAAAATAAACATGGCTGCTTACACATTAAGAAGGAGAAAAAAAATTACATAAAGGACTGAGAAACAGTGCAGATTTTTACAGAATCAACAGTCAAAGCACCAAGCTATTATTTTTAGTAAAAGTTGTATATTTAGTTCTGAATAAGATGAGCATTTTGAAGAGGAGATGTCTTCTGCATTTGAGGGACACGTACTACAAATGAGCAGCTGTGGTTGGACCGTCTCATATTTAGATGGAGGTTTTTCCACACTCAAAATGTATTTATCTGGATTACAAGATAATTTATTCCATAAACATACAGACATAAACACTCTTCTATTTCGATTTTGACTCAAAAAGGGATCACAGGGAATAGGGCAGCGGAAAAAATATCTGCATCGAATATCAGTATTAAGTATCGATATCACAGTAACTGCATCGTATTGGCAGATACTGATACTGGAACTGACATATCGCCCATCCCTAGCATAAATAGGTGTTTTTGTATGAACTCCTGAGCAAGTGTAGTATGGTACAGCGGCAAGGAGAGCCTGCACTTTGGGTCAGATGCATAGAGATATAATAGTTCTGAGCGCTTTTGCCACGCCCCCATTTTAATAGGCTAATCAGTCTGCAGAACATGTCTTTAGTCAACCAAGAATCTCTTTAGTTGACTGTAGTGCTAGTTGTGATGTTAGGCCCTACAAAAATAAACTGATATTCAAGTCTTATGCTGGCCATGTGAGCCTATGACGTCACATGCTTTAATCTAAAAATAATTCTAAAATAATAACTGGATAAAAATGATCACCAAGAGCCATTCCATAGATGCCATTCCTGACAGCCTTCGCCCATGTTGGTGAGCGGACATGTGCGGCAGAAGAAACGCACATAGTTGAAATGTTTAAAGGTACACTCGCCCTGTCGCCCCCTGTCTGTCCCTGTCCGCCCCTGTCCGCCCGCCACACAAACCCCTCTAACTATAGTCACTCTGACATATCTGAGGTGGCACTCAGCATTGGCCAGCTGCTTTTTCATAGCAACGCACCTCTTTGGCTTTGCACCACCAACGGATCCCTCCCCATCTCTGCCTCGAATCTGCCCCGTATCTGCCCTGTATGTGCCCCGTATCTGCCCCATATCTGCCCTGTTCCTGAAGAGGATCTCATGTTCCGCAGATCGCTCTTTTCTTCCTTCAAGCGTCCATTCTGAGCTACAAGATGAAATACAGAGCAAGGAAGCTATCGAACTGATCAAACCTGTGCAGCTGACCAGGGCAGTGGAGTTCTCCTGGACCGGCTTGGGCCAGTCTGGACCAGCTTAGACCAGTCTGGATTTGAGAGCACACCTGAAGCAGGCCCATCTCTCATTATTGTCCTGAGTGATTTTGCATCTTCAAGACCACAACAACAGCAGCATCTCTGTGGAGACCTGGAGGTGCTGCCTCTACTGGACTAGTCTTTAACTGTGTAGAAGTCACTCTCACCAGAGGATGTGGACAGTAGTGGTCCAGTCTCTTTTGAATGGGAATGATTTGCGATGAGTTTGGAATGGTGTTCACTCCAGGAGATGGTGACACAGAGCCCTCTTGAATCGCCTGGTGCTTTAGAGAGATGGCTGTGATCTGTTCTATCGACCTGGTGTGTTAGTTGTCACATTCTTGGACATTTGGATCACTTTGTTCGTAGACTGTAAGTACTGTAACTTTGTTAGATTATTTAATTAGAATTTTCTTGCTTATTGGACAGGACAGCTGAAGGCTAAAATAAAGATGGACACAGAGAGGATAAAGAGATATTCGGAAACCAGGGAGCAAACCCATAATGCCGAGGTGGTACAGCCACATATGTGCAATGCCTAAAACCACTGCCTCCAGTGAGCATGTTAGATTTTCTATTTAAAAGTGCACTATGTAACTTTTTGGGTTGGGTGCTTGTCTCCATGGAGTCGTGGGCCTGAAATGTACCTTAAGATGCATCCTTATTGTGAACGGTCTTGCCCATGACAGTTTGACAGTCTGACTGTATATGCTTTCTCGGGAGATGAATACATTTTGATACCATACAATGGAAAATTCCTGGCAAAGCAATAACATTTAAAAAAATTTATATTTAAAATTTTGTAGCCTTTATTTAACTGGGTCAAATGTTTGAGAACGGGTTCTCATTTGCAAATATAACCTGGGTTAATAAAGATAAACGAATGAATGAACTTGCACTCCAAAATTGTGATCTAAAAAAAGAGATTGCCCATATTTTGAAAGCAAAATGTTTCTCCACCTGTCCATGGTGGTAGCTACAGGAAAGCTAAAATCCAAAATTGAGCATTTAGTTGTTTAAGATTGAGACATCTGCGTCACATGATAAAACACCGTGTGGCCACAGACCCTGACATGTGCCTGAGTTGCTCACAGCACAGCCCCTTAAATCCTCCTGTCTTTTAACATCTTTTTTCTACCTTTCATTCTGAGCAGAATCTGAAGCTAAAAGCAACACATTAAGACTTTTTACTGCATCTTATTTCCGCCTAACCAGGGGTGCCATATTTCTTGAGGGCTGATATGATGCTATTTTTAGATCTATTGTGTAAAGTTTCCTCATTAAAAACATCCATGTTTAACACAAACCCTGCATATGTAAGCAGAGTTCTTCTCTGAGGAAAAAACTCATTCCATCTTGTGATGTCATGTGATAATACAGGCAGAACTTCGCTGTGAGTTTAAACTCTATACACCTTCACCTGAGCCATTTGGATAATTTCAGCCCTGAAATTGCCATTACTGAAATAAAGGTAAAAAGTGCTGTTAACTATCCCTTCATGACATCACAACAATGTGGAACAGAGCATTTTGAGCTTTGGAGATGTAGCCAAGTAATAATGAAGTGTTTCTCAGAAATGTGTGAATGAAACAAAACACTACTCCAGCTATAGTTTTGGTGAGGTAACATTTTATTTTATTTTATGCAATTTCAGACATAGTTCACCACAATAAGTTTAAGTATTAAACAATTGCTAATTCGTAAAAATATGTTTTTGGTTTAAATTGCCCTGCTTAGTAATCAGATTTAAATGCATCTGGATGAGGTTTCTCACATCCCTCTGTTATCTTTGCTGTCCTCAGGTGCATAAGAAGGTCCGTGAAGACTCGGACATGGCTCAGGAGTCGCTACAGTGCCTGGCCCAGCTGGCCTCCATGCACGGGCCCATCTTCCCCGATGAAAGTGCCCAAGTGTCCTACTTGGGGCATATGGTGGAGGGGCTGCTCGGCATGATCAATGGGTTAGTGTCCCTAAACTGCACCACACACTCCAGACAACTTCTGTAACTGCAGGGCTTTCTATTAAAGCTAAAGACAAATACGAACTTGTTAGGTTGTCAAAAGTATTGAAAATCGTATACTAATCAATACTAAACCATTAATGAAATGACATACTCATTTGTGGACAGAAATGAACCTTTTCTGAATAGCTTTAAAATTATCTTGAGCTGTATCGGAAAAGTTTAAGAGCACATACTATATGCACACTGTGGAATCTACCTGGATGACTGAGGAACTACACAGATAGACCATATAGTAACATATAAGAAAGTACTACCATTTGATGTTGAAAATCACATTTTATTCTCTAAAGAGCATTTTTAATTATTGTGGTATTGGAATTGGTATTGTGTATCGAGTCTATTCCTTAGTATCAAATTCGTGACAACACTAATAACTAGTCTGCGATACATACAATTGTAAATACAATTAGTTTAATATTAACACATCATTAATGACAGTATGAGCAAAAAAATGCAACTCAAAATCCAAAGTTGCTGGATCAGTTAAAACGCGCCTGCTGTAGACTGCTGTCCAAGGGATTGCTGGTCTTTTTCTCTCAAATACATGAGAGTAACTTGTGTGAATGAGTGTGTGTGGTTTGCTGCATGAAGGCTCAGGTATAAATAACATGTGTGATTGTGACCAATGGGATCTGCGCTGTAATCTCCTATTTTCAGACTGGTTTTCCTATGGCCTCACTGGACAGCTATGTGCAGCCGGGCAGCACCAGCGCAGCACAGCACCCGTGCACGCCTCATTTATGGGGGTGGCTTAGAGGCTCTGGAAGCACTGTTTTATAACTCCACAACGTCGCCTGTTACAAACAAAAGAGAATGGATGGTGTGTAAAACAGGGCAAATTGCTATGGTTATGATGTAAAACGGATTTAGTTTTGCCACTAAACATAAGTCCATCCAAAAGTTAAATACAACCTTCTTAAAGAGCAAATTTTCTCTTTCTTTAAAGGGTCCATATTACACTATTTTCTGATCTCCGTTATAATGTTGTTTTCCTCATCACCCTGTATATTTAAAGTTCTCTTAAAACTCTGTTCCACCTTGTGATGTTATGTGGTAATACAAGAAGTGCTCCATACATCTTCACTAGAATCTTTGGATGATTTCAGCCCTGGTATAGTCAATCTCTACTAAACCAAAGGTGAAAGGAGCTGTTAACTTAAAAGCTACAGCTTCCTGGAGTTGTAACTAATATCAAAACGTGATGTGTTTGTGTGTGATTGAATCAAAACACAATTCCAGGCATGTTTTTGATGGTGTAACCGCATTATAAAATGGCTTAAAACTCATGAGAAATTTTTGCTTAGAACTGAATTAGACTAAAAGGATACTAAAAGGACTGATATAAAACTCTGATGTATTAACATTGCCATCAAACAAAAATGGAGAAACCTGCAGTGTGGTCTTAGTCTGGCAACAGATTTTCTCTGTTGTTGATGTGTGTGGTGCTTACAGGATGGAGATGGAGGACTCGGAGGCCATGGGCATCGCTAATATCGTGTCTAACCTGATCAGCATGTTCCCTCGCAGCACGCTCACCGCACTTCCACCCGACCTCTTCTCCTCCTTCATCAACTGCCTCACTCTGCTCACCTGCTCATTTGGACGCAGCGCTGCCCTGGAGGAAACGGTGCGTGGGGACATTTTCTGAAGCACTCACTAGGTTTACACACACAGGTTAGAGGATGCTCTTGATCTGTTGTTTTTCCAGACTATTTATTACATGATTGCACTTTGTAGATATATTTCTTCATAAAAATACAAAAGCATGATACAAAACTGTACAAAACGTACCTGATGCGACGTGCAGTAGCTTCATTAGCAGAATGTACGCTGATTGTGTTAGGATTGTGTTGCTCTGAAGTGGCCTGACCAGCCAATCCCTTCTACATTTTGCTTGAATCCAGAAGTGACTGGAACCAGACCATAGAGCATGAAAAATCTCTGTCCAAATTTTTGATGATCCAACCACAGACACTAATATGTAGCACGTGTCCTTGTGTGGTTCTGGCTGACCAGGTAAGCTCTGAAAGGGGAGTGACGGAGGGAGCACAGGGGGCCAAGATAGCAAAGGGAGGTTTGAATCAGAGCATAAAAAATTAAAGTGAGTGTAACATGGTGATTTAAATATGTTTTGTGCATAAAATACCCCCTGTTTAACCATGCTTACAAATACTTAAATTTGACATCTAAATGACAATACAGCCTCACGCCTCAGGGCCAGACCAAAAATTGGTCTGAGGGCCCCATCCTGTCCCCAGGCTATTGTTTGGACACCCCTGAATGAAGCACTATGTTTAGAGATGGGCCTTTACGCTATAATATAATGATTTTTATTAGTGTAAGAATTACTTTCCATCCTGTCAATTTCCTGTTTTATTTCAATGAATTCTGCTACTCTTACTTTTTTTTAAATAATTAATGTAATTGCTTTTAGGCCTATTAATAGTCTGTAATCAGATTATTTTACAAAGTCATCAGACATCACTATTTACAAACATCCTGTAGATAAGAGACCGCTTGTGACTGTTGAGCATTTGGATTGTAGATGTGCTCAGAGATTCTGTTCACATGTTGCTCTGCTTCCAAATTCAACACATCCCAAGCAAGTAGTTTTACTTTTGCTTTCAACAAAACAGTCTGAAGAGGACAGGCCATAATTTGTGCTGATCTAAAATGAGTGAGTACAAGTCTAAACTCGTGTAATATTTGCCTGGCAGTTGAATGCCTCTCCTAGTCTGCTCATAGCATGATTTGATTAATTATTTATTTATTTATTTTTATTAATTATTCATTGCATTTATATATCGTGCCTTTCAAAATATCCATAGCGCTTTACAGTTCATTGTTCATTCACTCAACACTCAGTGGTGGTAAACTACTACTGTAGCCACAGCTGCCCTTTGGCAGACTCAGGGAAGCGAGGCTGCTGAACTGTGCCATCGGCCCCTCTGACCACCACCATCACTTACACACCACTTTCATACTAGGCAATGTGGGTGACACAACGACAGTGGTACTTGTGGCACCTGGAATTCCCAGTGGTCTCCCATCCAAATACTAACCTGCTGAGCTTCTGAGATCTGATGAGATCAGGCTTTGACAAGCTGGTTATGGCCAGATTGGACTGCAGTGGCAAGGAGAAAATTCAATTTGTCGACTGGACAAAAGTTAGTTTGGTTGAAGATGTTTTGCAGCTCATCCAAGCTGCTTCTTCAGTTCTGGTCAGACGCTGGAGGACACTTCCTTATATCTGTAGGGAGGAGCTAACTAACTGAAACTAACACACACACTTGTTTACAGTTTGTTTTGTTAGTTAGGCCTAACAAACTAACTAACTTTTGTCCACTCGACAAACTGAATTTTCTCCTCGCCATGGATTCTACCTGGACGACTGAGGGATTCTTCACATTAGACTGCAGCGTTAAATGTAAACACACTGATTGTGTATTATCCTGAGACAGTTAATAAGGACAGCCCTTTGTGCTACAAGACACAAACACAATAAATATTTAGACAAAAATACAAGCAAAAAATATTTTGTTCATAATTTCAAGCCATCCATCCATCCATTTTCGTCCGCTTATCCGGGGCCGGGTCACGGGGTCAGCAGCCTAAGCAGGGACTCCCAGACTTCCTTCACCCCAGACACATCCTCCAGCTCCTCCGGGGGGACCCCGAGGCGTTCCCACGCAAACCGAGAGACATAGTCCCTCCAGCGTGTCCTGGGTCTTCCCCGGAGCCTCCTACCGGTGGGACATGCCCGGAACACCTCCCGAGGGAGGCGCCCAGGAGGCATCCGGAACAGATGCCCGAGCCACCTCAACTGGCTCCTCTCGACGTGGAGGAGCAGCGACTCTACTCCGAGCTCCTCCCGTGTGACTGAGCTCCTCACCCTATCTCTAAGGGAGCGCCCAGCCACCCTGCGGAGGAAACCCATTTCAAGCGCTTGTATCCGCAATCTCGTCCTTTCGGTCACTACCCAGAGCTCATGACCATAGGTGAGAGTAGGAACGAAGACTGACCGGTAAATCGAGAGCTTCGCCTTTCGGCTCAGCTCCCTCTTCACCACAACGGTCCGATACAGCGACTGCATCACTGCAGACGCTTCACCGATCTGCCTGTCAATCTCACATTCCGTCCTTCCCTCACTCGTGAACAAGACCCCGAGATACTTGAACCCCTCCACTTGAGGCAAAGACTCCCCACCCACCCGGAGAGGGCAAGCCACCTTTTTCCGGTCGAGAACCATGGCCTCAGACTTAGAAGAGCTGATCTTCATCCCAGCTACTTCACACTCGGCTGCAAACCGCCCCAGTGCACATTGCAGGTCCTGGTTCGATGAAGCCAACAGGACAACATCATCCGCAAACAGCAGAGGTCCTCAAACCGGACCCCCTCCGGCCCCTGACTGCGCCTAGAAATTCTGTCCATAAACACAATGAACAGAACCGGTGACAAAGGGCAGCCCTGGCGGAGTCCAACATGCACCGGGAACAGGTCTGACTTACTGCCGGCAATGCGAACACAGCTCCTGCTCCGGTCATACAGGGACCGGACAGCCCTTAGCAAAGGGCCCCGGACCCCATACTCCCAGAGCACCCCCCACAGGACACCACGAGGGACACGGTCGAATGCCTTCTCCAAGTCCACAAAGCACATGTGGCCTGGTTGGGCAAACTCCCATGAACCCTCGAGCACCCGATGGAGAGTGTAGAGCTGGTCCAGTGTTCCACGGCCAGGACGAAAACCACACTGCTCTTCCTGGATCTGAGGTTCGACTATCAGCCGGATTCTCCTCTCCAGTACCCTGGCATAGACCTTACCGGGAAGGCTGAGGAGTGTGATTCCCCTATAGTTGGAGCACACCCTCCGGTCCCCCTTCTTATACAGAGGGACCACCACCCCGGTTTGCCAGTCCAGAGGTACTGTCCCCGACCACCACGCAATGTTGAAGAGGTGTGTCAGCCAAGACAACCCCACAACATCCAGAGACTTAAGGTACTCAGGACGGATCTCATCCAACCCCGGAGCCTTGCCACCAAGGAGCTTTCCAACCACCTCAGTGACTTCAGCCAGGGTGATGGATGAGTCCGCCTCCGAGTCCCCAGCCTCGGCCTCCTCCTCAGAAGACGTGACGGTGGGATTGAGGAGATCCTCAAAGTATTCCTTCCACCGCCGGACAACGTCCCCAGTCGAGGTCAACAGCTCTCCCCCCGCACTGTAAACAGAGTTGGCGAAGAACTGCTTCCCCCTCCTGAGGGGCTGGACGGTTTGCCAGAATCTCTTTGAGGCCGTCCGATAGTCCTTTTCCATGGCCTCCCCGAACTCCTCCCAGCTCAGAGTTTTTGCCTACGCAACCGCACGGGCTGCAGCACGCTTGGCCCGCTGGTACCCGTCAGCTGCTTCAGGAGTCCCCCAAGCCAGCAAGGCCCGATAGGACTCCTCCTTCAGCTTGACGGCAACCCTTACTTCCGGTGTCCACCACCGGGTTTGGGGATTGCCGCAGCGACAGGCACCACAGACCTTACGCTCACAGCTCCGGGCAGCTGCATCGACAATAGAGGCCTAGAATGAAGCCCACTCGGACTCCATATCTCCAGCCTCCCCCGGAATCCAGGAGAAGTCCTCCCGGAGGTGCGAGTTGAAGGTCCCTCTGACAGAGGGCTCCGCCAGACGTTCCCAACAGACCCTCACTACACGCTTGGGCCTGCCAGGTCTTTCCAGCTTCCTCCTCCACCAGCGAACCCAACTCACAACCAAGTGGTGATCAGTTGACAGCTCAGCCCCTCTCTTCACCCGAATGTCCAAGACACGCGGCCGGAGATCAGATGACACGACTACAAAGTCGATCATCGACCTCCGGCCTAGGGTGTCCTGGTGCCACGTGCACTTATGGACACCCTTGTGCTCGAACATGGTGTTCGTTATGGACAAACCGTGACTAGCACAGAAGTCCAATAACAAAACACCACTCGGGTTCAGATCAGGGAGGCCGTTCCTCCCAATCACCCCTCTCCAAGTGTCACTGTCGTTGCCCACGTGGGCGTTGAAGTCCCCCAGGAGAACAACCCGGTCAGTCCCCGGTCGGTGCACTGTCTAGTACCCCTCCCAAGGACTCCAAGAAGGCCGGGTACTCTGCACTGCTGTTTGGCCCGTAGGCCGACACCACAGTGAGAGACCTGTCCCCGACCCGAAGGCGCAGGGACGCGACCCTCTCGTTCACCGGGGTGAACTCCAACACACAGCGGCTGAGCTGTGGGGCAATGAGCAGGCCCACACCAGCCCGCCGCCGCTCCCCGTGGCCAACGCCAGAGAAATGGAGAGTCCAGCCCCTCTCAAGGAGTTGGGTTCCAGAGCCCAAACTGTGCGTGGAGGTGAGGCCGACTATATCTAGTCGGTAACGCTCAACCTCCCGCACAAGCTCAGGCTCCTTCCCCCCCCAGCGAGGTGACATTCCATGTCCCCAGAGATAGTCTCCATGTCCGGAGATCCGGTCGTCGAGGCCCCCGCCGTCGACTGCCGCACAGATCTCTCCGCACCAGCCCCATATGGCTCCTCCCGCGGGTGGTGGGCCCACGTGAGGACTAACTGGCCTCTTGTGTGTAACTCATCATGTGGGGCTTCTGAACTAATACGTAATTTCAAGCCATTACAGTTTATTGCAGTTTTTATACCTCAGTTTTTTTCAGCTATATCTGATGCATTATTTTTCACAGTTGCAACAAAGTTGCTTTTTCAATTTTAATTAAAGGAAATGAAACTAAAAAGTCCTATATTACACAAAATTGACTCTTGTGAACTTTAAGCCATATTATAATGCCTCAATGAAAACATACCTGGGGCTGTGTCTTTCCCCCAGCGCAAGTGGGCATGTCCAGGTTGGGCTGTACATCTCTGCTGGAGGCTGGAGTGGTACGGTACAGGTACATATATGGTGACAGCATCTGAACCAATTTATGAGCGCTGTGGCATTTAAAAGCACTGCCAGTGTGGGTAAAGTCTGCAGTCTTTGCCTCATTATCACGCAGCACAGCGGAGTGGGGGAAAAGTTATATATGTGAATATAAAACATCTCCGGAGCCCCGCGATACAAGTCCACACCAGCAGAGGCACCAGGAATATAGAATTTTGTGTGGACCATGACAGAACTGACTGGTTGTGTTCCGAATGCTCTGCATGCACGTGCACCGCTGTAAGCCCGTGCACGCACGCACACATCAGCCTTTTATAGTTTCCTCTGCGTTCATTTAAGACCAGTGTCTCTCATGTGCTCCCATACCACAGCAGACCCGCTGCTTTCCCACTCCCTCTCCCTCTGTCCCGCAGTCCACTCCCACGGATGCTCCCACGGACTCACCTGAGGTACAAGTGTCTACCTCTGCTGCCACTGACCGCTTACATTCCCATCTAACAGGTGTCCAGTGCATTTGGTCCCACACAGGTGGATGTCTTGCGGATTATGGAATAATCTACGTTTATTGTCATATAAATGTTTCTGATGTTACAGCTTTGCACACAGATATGATACATGCTTCTGCTCCACTGTCACAGCCCAGAGCTGTCAGTGAATGCGCACACTGAGTCTGGCCGCGAGAATGTGAGGAAATCAACACCGCAGCATTAGGACCACAGACAGAGTAAAAAAACGGACTTTAGGACGTTGCTGTAAACAGTCTCATGTGAATGAGCAGCTTTTGTACAGATCCAGACCAAACCAAACTACAGAGCAGAGCTAAGTCGATACAGGGAGCGGGCGAGGGGCTGTGCTCTGCTGTGGGAGGGCATCCGGACGACTTCTGCACAGCACACGAACATGTTATGAATGTTAAGCATTTATCATCCTAATAGATTTCCAAATAAAAGAAGCCTTAAGCATGTTACATGTTGTTTTTCAGTGAACTCGTTTGATATTTATTTTCTGGCAATTCACTAAACGTGCCACACCTGCCCTCAATCTGCTCCGCTCCACCTGATATTCAGGCACGGCACACCTCCTGTTTAGAACTTCACGCCCCACACTTGCGCTAAGTGCTAAGACTGGGGGCAAGATATGGCCCCAGGAGTTGTTTTGTTCCACCTTGTGATGCCATGTAGTGGTAGTTTTCAAGTTAACAGCTCCTTTTAGGTTTTGTTCAGTAGATACTGACTATGTCACAGCTAAAATGATCTTGAGCAGGTGTATGGAGAAAAACACTGCTCCAAGTATGATTTTGATGATAAAACAACATACCAGAGATCAGAAAATAGTCAGGGTTTCCTGGGATTCTTCTGCTGTTGGCTTATTGTGTCTGTGGCATTAGGGCTCTTACAGATGAGTTGAGGCTTAAACATGACAAAACATGATTAAAGAGGGTTGATCAAAAATATGTATTGCATTTAACATAATTTGTCCAACAGCAAATTAGACAAAGGAGAGGAAAACAACATATTTTTGCAATGGTGTTATTTTGAAAGTGTGTCTCTCTATGTTCGGTGAATGTGGCTTCACGTGCACCCGCTATCATCCCTTGTTGATCTCACTGAATCAGAGTCCTGCACGGGTCCATTTTTGGAGACCCGCACTCGCCTGCACCCGCGCAGTACAACACCACACCTGCCCGTTAACCTGAGATTATGTCAAGGGTAAATCCACACGCTCCTGGACCCGTTAACATTCCACCAGTTACATACCCGTGCCCATGATAAATCAGGGTCAGCTCATTAGTTCGACAGCCCAGTAGTCCAGGACTAAACCAGGATTGAACCTACACCGTGTCATTTGTGGATTATAGTTCTATACATGCTACAACCCCAAAGCCAATCGCCAGGACTGAACCTGGGACAGGCTGATGGAAGCAAGGCTGCTAATCTATGCCCCTCTGACCACCACCATCACTCACACTCACACCACTTTCATACTAGACAATGTGGGTGAAGTGCCTTGCCTAAGGACACAACGATAGTTTTTGTGGCAGGTGCCCCCCTGTGGCACCTGATTTTCCCAGTGTCTCCCATCCAAGTACTAACCATGTGAGGCCTCTGAGCTTCTGAGATCTGACAGGATCAGGCTTTGACAAGCTGGTATGGCCACAACAGCTTACATATTTGCTGAATTTCTAGTCATTTTAATCCATATTTTTGGCCTCCTTTGGGTTTGTCCTGGGTGTAGAACAGGTCGAGCATTTGTGTAGTGCAGTTCCAGCCCTAGTTAGAATAGTCCTGTTGTAGACATGGTTTAGATCTGGTTTAGACCCAAATCATTATTTGGACCATAAATACACCATTATGTGCCCATTTAAGCACTTTAACCAATGAATGGCCCTGTTTTTTAGTTTCATCATCTTGCGCTGCTCACAAGATGACTGTTGAATTTTCCATGGCAACAGAACCTGTATTCAATATAAACTTATAACTAGGGCTGTACCAATACTGGTATTGGACATAAGGGCCTATCCACGAAATTTGGCTGGATCGAATATCGGCCTCTTGTTATCACTTCAGCCAGTATCTTGTTTAGACCCTTAATTTGATGTAATAAGATTATTTACTGCCTGATGTAGGCTTAGGACTTCTCATAATGTTTGAATTTTATTCCTACAAAGCTGTTCTGTAGTTAGTTGCAGGATAAATAACTTATTACAGAATTAATCAAATTCTGATATATAACTGTTTTTTGGGGGGGAAAGGGCCATTCTACCTCCCCACACTGGTATTGGTTAATATTGGTATTGGCAGATACTGAAAGCCTAAGTATCTGTACTGGAGCTGAAAAAGCTGAATCAGTGGATCCCTACTTTCAAAATAATGCTCCTCTGGCTCTGTGTGTGTATGTGCAGTTAGACAAAGATGACATGGTGTACATGGAGGCATACGAACGCCTGCTAGACTCCTGGCTCACTCTGGTGCGGGACGAGCAGCACTTTCCTCGGGGTTGCTTGGACCAGCCTGCTGTGCAGGTATTCAATGCCTACATCCAGTGCCACCTGGCTGCACCTGATGGCACCCGCAACATGGTGAGACCCTCAGCCACACGTGCCAATCATCACTGCTTATATATTATACAAAACTGACTGAACTTTTTACCATGTTATAATTTTGTTACCTCTTGAAAACATACCTGGAGTTGTGTTTTATTTCATGTTTTGTTTTCACACAATTTAGTGTTTTATTTATTATTATTATTATTATCTCCAAAACTCAAAATGCTCTGTTCCAACTGGTGATGTGGTAGTTGCCATATACTTTTTGTTCAGTAGAGATAGTTAATTCCATGGCTGAAATGATGAAGGTGTATGGATTTTAAAAACACAGTGGAGCACTTCCGGTATTTCCACATGACATCACAAGGTGGAACAGTTTGAGAGAAGGACTCGGCCTAAATCTACAGGGTTTGTCTGTTAAATATGTGAAGACGAATGAAACGAAACACAACTCCTGATATGTTTTTAATGAAGAAACAACATTATAACATAGATGAGAAAATGCCGTAATATGGGCCCTTCAAACACAACACGGCCAATACACAACTGCTGTAGAAACAAGTCATATGGGGGTATATAATAAGATCGAATACTGACCAGTCAACAGGAGTGTTAAGCTTTGTTTCACACTATTCAGTCATACATTTTCAATATTTCCCCATACCAATTGGGGACCCTGTGAAATTAACACTTTGAAAACACATCAGATCTCAATGTGAAAAAATAGTCTGTTGGATACCTATACAAACAAAAATAACAAAGAGATGCTCCTCTTTTAATGGAAATGAAGAACAGGTGACACTAGAGCAGTAACATGAGACAAACCCTAAAACAGGACTGGTTTTACATGTGGAGGTCATTTCAAGTTTCTCCCTCTTGGTCTTTTTTGGCTTTTCCTCGAGTGCTGCTTTGGCTTCAGTGATCATCACTACTGGGAGTATGAGGTCATTCCTGAACCCTACAGATGCACAGATTGTCCAACTTCTCCAGGATGATACATCTGGATGCACTGTTGCAAGAAGATTTAATGTGTCTCCAGCACAATGTCCAGAACATGGAGGCTTCAGGAGATAGGCAGTTCCTCTAGAAGAGCTGGACAGAGCTGTAGAAAGTCCTCAACCCATGAACAGGACCCACATCTGGAACCATGTTCTACAGAATGACCCCCAGCAGGCCACTGATGTGAATGTTTCTGCCCAAACAATTGCAAACAGACTTCATGAGGGTGGCTTAAGGGCCCCACGTCCTATAGTGGGCCCTGTGCTCAGCGCGCAGCACCATGGAGCTCCATTGGCATTTGCTAGACGACACCAGAGTTGATAGATGTGAAAGAGTCTGGAGAAGACAAAGAAAACTGGTCAGTGATAGTCTGGGGAGGCAGATCCATGGAGGGACACACAGACTGGCTTGCAAACGGCAGTCTGACTGCTATTAGGTATAGGGATGAAATCCTTGAACCCATAGTCAGACTCTACACTGGTGCAGTAGATGCAGGGTTCCTCTTGATGTACAAAATTCCCCTACCTCATGTGGCAAGCGTCTGCAGACAGAACCTGGAGGATGAAGGGATTGATACAACCAAACGGCCCTCAAGATCACCTGACTTAAACCCGATAGAACATCTCTGGGAGATTATGTCTGGGTCCTTCAAACGTCGTCAGGTTGCTCCTCAAACTCTACAGGAGCTCAGTGATGCCCTTACACAGATCTGGGAGGACATCCCCCAAGACATTATCCGTCGTCTCTTTAGGAGCAAGCCACGATGTTGTCAAACATGCAGACAAGCATGTGGGGGGCTACACAAAATATTGAGCATTTTGAATTGCAGAAATTAAATTATGGCAAAATGGATTAGCCTGCCTGATCATTATTTTACTTTGTTTTTCAGGGTGTCTACAAAATGAAGCCCTCTGTAGGCTGAAAATTTCCTTTTGTTCATTTTTTATAGCTATCCAGCATATTTTTGTACATTGAGATCTGATATTTTCATATATATTTTTTAGCAGTTTATTATAATATCAAAACTAGATACTCATTTGAGCAGGTATCATATAAAGTCTATTCCTTAGCATTGAAATTGAACTGTTAGCTCAATGTTACTGTACTTCCGAATGTGATATATTATGAATTGTGCTACTCCCCAGTCTGCAAACGGCATAGCCTCACACGATGAAGAGGAGATCAACGAGCTCCAGGAGGACGACCGCGAGCTCTTCTCGGGCCAGCTGTGCAGCATCGGCATGATGGGCCGTGTAGCGGCGGACCACTGCATCCCCCTCCTAACCAGGTATATACAGTCCCTGACAAAAGTCTTATCCATTTTGTAGAAACAAAAGCTTATAACCTGACTTTAAATTAATCAATTGGTTTTAGAAATGTCTCATATGAAAGCTAAAACCCTCCCAAATTATGCTCAATATACTAAAATAAATTTGCTTCACTGAAGAAAGATTGATCATTTAATGAACACAGAAAGGTCAGATTTTGGCAAGACAAAAGTCTTGTCGCCTACAGAAAATTGAACAAATAATTTACTTCAAATACAAAAATATGTTGCATAACGTCAGTGAATTAAGTAGTGGTGCTGTGAGATCCATATTTAATATCTTGTATGACTTCCATGAGCTTGAAGGACTACATCCATGCGGTTTGACAATGATTCATACAATTTGTTGATGAAGTCATCAGGAATAGCAAAGAAAGCGTCTTACATGCCTCCCAGAGTTCATCAAGATTCTTTGGTTTTGCCTTCCATGCTTCCTCTTTCATTCTACCCCAGACATGCTCAATGATGTTCATGTCTGGTGACTGGGCTGGTCAGTCCTGGAGCACCTAGATCTGCTTCGCCTTGAGGAACTTTGATGTAGAGATAGAAGTATGTGATGGAGCACCATCCTGCTGCAAAATTTGACCCCTTTTATGGTTGGGAATGTAAGAGGAGCTAATACTTCTTGATATTTGAGGCTATTGATATTGCCTTCCACCCTGCAAATGTCTCGCACACCCCCATACTGGATGTAACCCCAGACCAGGATTTTTCCGCCACCAAACTTAACTGTTTTCTGGGTGAATCTTGGATCCATGCGGCTCCAGTAGGTCTCCTGCAATATTTGTGGCGGCTGTGATGTAATTCAACCGAGGATTCATCTGAGAAATCCACCTTCTGCCACTTTTCCAGTGTCCATCCTTTTAGCAGGCTGTGGGCCTTGGCAAATGCCACACATTTTTTTAATTGCCTTTTGTTTAGTGCTGGTTTCTGTGCACTGATTCGACCATGGAGGCCATTTCGAGACAGAATTCTACAAACTGTTGTGGTTGACACAGGGACTTGAGGTGACCAGGCCTGGTGGAGTCTGCTGCAGTGGAAAAGGGGCTGGCCTTGGATTTTCGAATCAACAAATGGTCCTCCCGAGCAGTTGTCTTGCGGGGTCTGCCGGACCTGGGCTTGTCAAAAACATCCCCAGTCATTTCAGATCTTTTTCTTATTCTTTGTACTTGACGCTGAGACACGTTGAAGGTGTCACCACCTCAGCAGTGGATCTGGTCTTCAGCCTCTTGATAATTAACGTTTTGGTCTTAGGGTGGATCTTAGGCATGTTGTCAGAGGTCAAGTTGCAGTTGATGTGAAGGTCTGGTGTGCTGGGGTTCTTTTTATACACACCCACTAATTGATTGATCAGTAACTGATCACAGGTGAGGCTGTAATCTAGGATTGGGTGCATCATATGACAAGGCCACAAGACTTTTGTCTTGCCAAAATCTGACCTTTCTGTGTTCATTAAATGATCAATCTTTCTTCAGTGAAGCAAATTTATTTTAGTATATTGAGCATAATTTGGGAGGGTTTTAGCTTTCATATGAGACATTTCTAAAACCAATTGATTAATTTAAAGTCAGGTTATAAGCTTTTGTTTCTACAAAATGGATAAGTGACAAGACTTTTGTCAGGGACTGTACCCTCCTCAAGAGGTACAGACGTGGAGAAAATAGTTGGTACCCCTCTGGCAATGAAAGAAAAATCAACAATCCCTGAAATAACTCAAAACTGATAAAAGCAATAATAAATTAAAATTTATGGAAAATTGTCCAACAAAAATCAAACATTGCTTTTCACATGTGGTTCAACAGAATTATTAGAAAAAACAAAATAATGAAACTGGCCTGGACAAAAATGATGGTTCCCTTAACGTAATATTTTGTTGCACAAGTTTTTAGGCAAACTGCAATCAAACGGTTTCTGTAATTGTCAATGAGACTTCTGCTTTGGTCAACTGGTATTTTGACCCACTCCATGTGAGCAAACTGCTCTAGTTGTCTCAGGTTTGAAGGGTTGCTTCTCCAGACAGCATGTTTCAGCTCATTTCACAGATGTTCAATACAATTGAGATACAGGGCTCAGAAGAACACTCCAGAAAAATCCAATGTTTTGTTCTTAGTCATTCTTCTGTGTTTTTAGCTGTGTGTTTTGGGTCATTGTCCTGTTGGAAAACCCATGACCTATGACTGAGACCGAGCTTTCTGACACTAGGCAACACATTTTGTTCCAAAATACCTTGATAGTATTGAGATTTCAATGTACTTTGCCCAAATTCATGACACCCTGTGCCAGATGCAGCAAAACAGCCCCAGAACAAAACCAAGCCTCCTTCATGTTTCACAGTAGGGACAGTGTTCTTTTCTTCATCTGCTTCATTTTTGCATGTGTGAACATAGAGCTGATGTGTCTTGCCACAGAGCTCCATTTTTGTCTCATCTGTCCAAAGAACATTCTCCCAGAAGCTTTGTGACTTGATTTGCTCTCAACAGTGGTGTCCTCACATGAAGTCCACTTTGGCTCAAACAGTGATGGATGGTGTGATCTGACACTGATGTACTTTGCCCTTCAAGTTCACATTTCATTTGTTTGGAGGTTGTTCTGGGCTCTTTGGTTCCATTCGTATGATCCATCTCTTTAATGTAACAGTTTTCCTATTGCAGCTGCGTCCAGGGAGGTTGGCTTCAGTCCTGTGGACCTTAAACTTGTGAAGAACATGTGTAACTGTAATTACAGGAACATCAAGCTGCTTGGAGATGGTCTCATTGTTTTTATCTTTAACCTCCTTGTCTATCATTTTCTTTCTAGTCTCCTGACACTTCTCTTTCTCTGGTCCATGTTCAGTGTTGTCTCCATCATGTCTCCAAACAGCACAATGACACATGTCCCCTTTAAACAGACAGACTGACTGAGGACAAGTTTGAAGAACCTGTGATGCAGATTAGAGACACACCGAAGTTTAACATGTCCCTATTGTTCAACTATTTACAATCTTTTCTAGGGGTACCATCATTTTTATCCAGGCCAGTTTCAATTGTTTGTTTTTTAAATAATTCTGTTGAACAACATTTCAAAAGCAGTGTCTGATTTTCATTGGTTATTTTTCAGATCATTTATATTATTACTTTACTCAGTTTCATATTATTTCAGTGACCATTGCTTTCTTTCATTACCAGAGGGGTATCAACAATTTTGTCCATGTCTGTATATACCCGTCTCCTCACCAGGTACAGTATATACCCCTCCTCACTAAGTAGATATCCTCTCCTCAGCAGGTATATACCCCTTCCTACCAGGTCTATATTCAGCTCTACCACAACTCACCATTAGCAGATAGTCCTATGTCCTGTCTGTCACTATTTCATCTTTGCACTCCTTGTATTACTGTGTTTCTATATTTTATTTTACTTGTACATAAACATTTATAATTACACAGTATAATATAATAAAATAATTATTATATTATACTGTGATGTGTGAGCTGCTGTGTCCAATCATTTCCCTTGTGGATCAATAAAGTTTGTCTGAGACTAAGTATATTCCCCCCTCCTCAGCGGATATACCCCACCCTTGGCAGGTATACATCAGCAAGTACAGCTCCCTTCTCACCAGGTACACCCCCTTTTCAGCAGGTTTTGTGTGTGTGTGTATGTGTTCGCAGCCTGTTGGAGGAGCGTGTGACTCGGCTCCATGGCCAGCTACAGAGGACACAGCAGCACCTCATGGCCTCTTCAGACTTGGGAACAGTTGACCGCAAAGTCCTGGATGACCTATATGAAGACATCCACTGGCTCATCCTTGTCTCAGGTCAGCACTCAGCGCAATTGTCATGTTGGGAGTCAAATCAAAGGTGTGATTTGTCCAAAAATAAACACGGATATTTCAAAGATTTAGGTATATACATATATTCAATACATATATTCAAAAGACTCAAATCTTACGTAAAGCCTATAGGTCACACATATATTGTTTTTAAAGAGGGAGTATTTTACTTGGGGTACTATGGGGTATTAATTTGTAACATATAACATATTTAGAGCATATCCCTTTGCACTCCCCTTTCAAGACACAATCACATTAGGTTTGTCAAGTTGTAATGCAGTTATGTATGTTTTTGTATATTTGTAAAGAATTGTCGTGTGGTAACATGCATGATATAGCCTTGTAGGCTGAGCATTGCACATAATCTTAGAGCTAACCATAAGGAGGTTCATATAGGGCCCGGGAGAGGTCACTGGATTACTCAAACATGCATGGATGACATCTAAAATCTCTTCAGGCATATTTTTGATGAGGGAAAAATGTTATAACATGGTAGAAAGTAAGCAGTGTAGGTGTGCGTAAATGGATGACCGCTGCAGTGTGGTTGACACCTGTGATGCAGATTAGAGACACACCTATGTTTAACATGTCCCTATTGTCCAACTATTTACAATCTTTTCTAGGGGTACTATCATCTTTTTCCAGGCCAGTTTCATTAGTTTGTTTTTTAAATAATTGTGTTGAACAACAATTCAAAAAACAGTGTCTGATTTTCATTGGTTATTTTTCAGGATTTTTTATTTATTTATTTATTATTGCTTTTCTCAGTTTCAAGTTATTTCATTATTATTCCATTATTATTCCATTGTTGATTTTTCTTTCATTATCAGAGGGGTACCAACAATTTTGTCCACATCTGTATATGAGTGGTAATTGTGTATGATGTGTGCACCTCAAGAATAGTAGAGAAGACACGGGAAGCCAGGGATTTGAATAATGTTTGTAGATAGCACTGAGTATCCTCCCCTTGTCTGCAGCTATGGCTCGGAGCTCAAGCCGTGAGCCCCAGAGAGCACTGAGCTCTGCAGGTCTTTTCAAATGACAAGTCCAGGATTCTAGTTTATGGTTGATGAGAAGCTAAAGTGCAGTGGTGATCTGTCTAATAACCTGCACACATGTTCAGGAGGCCTCATATGTAAGCTTTTAGCTCACCCAAGTGCCATTCTTTGACATTCAATTATCTGAATGTGTTGCTCTTCTGCTTTGACTGTGAACTTTCACCCTATGTGTGGTCCCTAAATATTTAAAATATGTTGATGGAGCCTTAAACGTAATACTAGTCTATCACAAATAATTAGAATATCATGATAAAGTTCTATATTTTTTGTCTCTAATTTCAGAAAGTCAAACCCATATATTATATAGACACATGACACACACAGAGAGAGAGTTTGTTTCTTAAATTTTTATGATTGTGGCTTTTACAGATAATGAAAAAAACAAAATTCTGTGTCTCAGAAAATTTGAATATTACTTAAACAGAAATGTCAAGCTTCTGAAAAGTATGTTCATTTCTACACACTCAATACTAATTACTGCATCAGTGCGCCGTGGCATGGAGGAGATCACCCTGTGGGTCTGCTCAGGTGGACTGGAAGCCCAGGTTGCTTTGATAGTGGACTTCAGGTCATCTGCATTATTGGTTCTAGTGTCTCTCATCTTCCTCTTGACAAAACCTCAGAGATTCTGCATGGGGTTCAGGTCAGGTGAGTTTGCAGGCCAGTCAGGCAGAGTAACACCGTGGTCAGTGAGCCATCTTTTGGTACCTTTGGCTGTGTGAGCAGGTGCCAAGTGCTGAAAAATGAAATGAGCATCTCCATAAAGTTTGTCAGCAGAAGGAAGCATGAAGTGCTCTGAAATGTCCTGGTAGATGTGTTGACTGTGGACTTCACAAAACACAGTGGAGCAACAGCAGCAGATGACATGGCAGACCAAATCATCACTGACTGTGGAAACTTCACACTGGACTTCAAACAACGTGGAATCTGTGCTTCTCCATTCTTCCTCCAAACTCTGGGACCTTGATTTCCAAAAAATATGCAAAATGTACTTTTATCTGAAAAGAGACTTTGGACCAATGAGCAACAGTCCAGTTGTTTTTCTCCACAGCCCTGGTAAGACTCTTCTGACATGTCTCTCTCTCCATAGAGGCTTTGTCTGTGCTTAGTGGACTAAAGTCTCAGTCCTCCTTATGAAGCTCCCCCATATTCTTGAGTGCATTTTTCTTGAGAATCCTCTCAGGGCTGTGGTCGTCCCTTTGGCTGGTGCTCCTTTTCCTTACACACTTTTTTCATCTATTCCAGTTTCTCTGAATCTGATTGGATACAGCACTCTGAACTACCAGCTTCTTTAACAATGACCTTTTGTGGCTTATCCTCCTTGTGGAGGGTGTCAGTGACCCAGACTGAGAGACCATTTAAAGGCTCGGGAAACCTTTGCAGGTGTTTAGATATTCTAATTATTTGTGATAGACTAGTATATTACAAACTTCCAACACAATATTGGCTGAATTTTGGGGTGTGGATGTGGGAGCTGAAATAGGCATTTGGCCAATAATGTTTATCCTTACAGTGCTCTCCCTGGTGACTCTCTTGTGGATAGTGTTGCTGTGCTTTAGTGTTTATTAAAGATTATTTTATAAAGATTAAAGCTGTGTTTTCAGGGTATGTTCTGGCGGACGACCCTCAGGGCGAGACTCCTGTCATCCCCTCTGAGGTCATGGACTTCTCCATCAAACATGCCACAGAGGTGGACATCAACACCACACTGCAGATCTTGGGCTCTCCGGGTGAAAAGGCCTCGTCCATCCCAGGCTTCCACCGCACAGACTGTGTGATCAGGTGAGTTTCCTCCACTAGGCTTGTGCAGGTACTGTCCAAACCTCACATAGATGAGAATTCTTCCCTGCATAGCCCCTACCCAGCCCTACCAGACGTAACCCAACCCAACCTAAGCCTGTGAACTTGATCAGACAACTTGGGTTGTGTTAAGTTGCTTTTATGATTTGTTTGAGAAAGCTTTATGTGCTAATAACCTTAAGTGTAGTACATGTATCTCCTGCACCAAAAGCACTTGTGCTACCCTCACTCTCTCTCTCTCGAAAAAGAGGGGACTGATGGCTGCGTTCAGCATACATGGGAAGCTGTCAGCCCTTTGTGGAGATGTTAAGTAGCACCAGAAAGAGACATGCTCAAAGCTGCTCTGCATCCCAAAAGACCCCAGACCATCCGAACTCTAGTATCAAGACATGGTTCAGATTACGGCTAGGCAAAGAAGTGTGCACAGACTGTGATGGGTGTGTTTCTACAGTTCAGACTAGCTCCTGGGGGCAGCTTTTTTTACAGTGTAACAGAATATTTGAGCCTCATGTTGACACAAGTATATGGTTTTGTTGTGGCAGGCTGCTGTCTGCAGTGCTGCGCACTTCTGAAGTGGAGTCCCGGGCCACCAGAGCTAGTCTGACAGAGCTGCTCAGTCCTCAGATGGGGAAGGACATCATGTGGTTCCTCCGCCGTTGGACCAAGAGCTACCTGCTGCTGGATGAGAAGCTGTACAAGCAGGTAGAGCTGTAGGCCTGTAATCTTCAAGTCAATTAGTCACTGGCAAGGCAAGTTTATTTGTATAGCACAATTTGTACACAAAGTAATTCAAAGTGCTTTACAGAATAAGAAATACATTAAAATAAGGGTTGTCCCTATCCGATCACGTAACTGCAGACTCGATCCGGACTTGGACAAGAGCGAAATGAAAACCTTTCAGTCATATGCACAGCAAAACAACGGTTTTGCGCCTGGATTTAAACAGAGTCAAAGCAGAGGCCTGTCTCAGATGTTCAGGAAGACTGTTCCAGGTTTTAGCTGCATGAATCTGAAATTCTGACTCCCTGTGTTTAGTCGTGACTCTGGGCACCAGCAGGAGGCCAGTCCCTGAGCTCCTCAGAGTGCTAGATTATTCATGTGGCACTAACATGTACTTTGATGTGGGCCTGGTCAAGCAGAAGTAAACAGCAAGGCCAAAAATTCAAGTTAATGCATCTGATATAAAAATGTATTGAACAGATACATATGTACTCTAGTTTATGAAACTGTTGACCTTTTTTCTGTACCATTTTTGGTTCATACATACGTTTTAAACAGACCATGTATGCAACATGAAACAAAAATTATTTCCCAAATTTCAAAGACCTGCAAATCATGTAAATAAATGGATGTATTTGATCATATCATGTTATTCCATCTTTGAACTGCTGATGGAGGTACATGATTTAAAAAAAAAAATGTATTTAAAATTATAAAAATTTGCTTGGAAGGACTGACATTTTATAGAAATTGTTTCCTTTCATTTTGAAGTAATATTAAAGTTTTCGGAAGAAAAAAGCTGACAAACTATGCAAAATCATGCACCTTCTACTTGCTTGCACAATTTTCCCTCCGTTACTTTTCCCTCCGTTACCATGACCTTTCTTAATAAAAAATCTCATGAGTCAAAAAGTAAGGTTTTTCAACCTAATCTTGTACCATATGGTAGAAAACTATATGAAGCAAATATTCAAACCAGTTTGTTAAGGATATGTAAGTGAGAACCGCTAATTATCACTGTTTGTATTTATTGCCCAAAAAGTGCTGCATATTTCATTCCCTCCGTTAACGACATGAGTTTTTAAATTTTTTGTCAACAACTTGAAAGAATATTACAGATTTAAGTTTAGCCTGTTGGAGTGTTAACTCTTTCTTTAACCTTACTTATTTCAATAGTCCCTCTAGTTTCTGAATAAGAGCTATTTGAATGTAAAAATCTGCCCCTGTTTCCGTCCGTTACCGCTTGACCGGACCCATGTACTTTGATGCTCGGCCATGGAGAGACTTGTATGCAAGCAGAGCTGCTTTAAAGTCTATTCTCTGAGCCACAGGAACCAGTGCAGAAACCTGAGCCACACGACTTAGTGTGCTTGTGCTTCCTGGTTCGAGTCAGGACCTGAGCTGCAGAGTTCTGGATGTACTGCAGTTGTCTCACAGCGCATTTGGAGAGTCTCTCCAAGTCTCTCCAAGTCTGATTTAGACAGTAAATCTTTGATTTTTGTGATTTTTGCTGTTTTTAGATGGTAAAATCTTGCAGATGTTATTGATTTGATGTGGCTGAGTCCATTATTACCCCTAGATTTCTTGCCTGATTTGAAGGTTTTAGAGAGTTGTTTCTGTAGACCAAACACTATGCCTTCAGTCTTGTCTGAGTGTAGCTGGAGAAAGTTGTTTTGCCTCCACACACTGATCTGTTGGACGCACTGGCAGAGTTAGTCCACTGGTCCATAGTCTCCTGCTGCCAGTGAGACGTAGATCTGAGTGTCATCTGCAGAGTTGTGGTAGGACACATTTTTGCTGTGTATTAACTGGCTTAACGACAGCATTTAGAGATTGAACAAAAGGGGGTCCAGGATTGACCCCTGAGGCACCCCACAGGCCAGGGCCATGTGATCTGAGACAACAAAATAATTCCTGTCTTCCAGATAGGACTTGAACCAATTTAGTGCAGTACCAGAGATGCCCACCCAGTCCTCTAGTCTCTGTAAGAGGATCCCATGATCGGCAGTGTCAAAAGCAGCACTCAGATCTAACAGGATCAAGACTTTTATGACTGGTGTCATAGTCAAACAAAACTTGTATTAGTTGACTAATCATTTTATGTAAATGTATTAATATAATATAATGATTTTTATGGGACAGCAGTAGAAAGGAGAAGTGAATAAGTTATCAGAAAAGTAGTTATTTTTTTATATTTATATGTAAAAAGGCAGATTAAACACAAGTCTTTTTTTTTTTTTTATAAATACATTGTTTCCTAATACTTTTTCTGGATAAATAGTAATAGTTTTTTCCCATGAACTCCTGTGCATGTGTAGTCTTGTGAGTGCAGATACGAGATAAGCCAGTTTTGAAAACATTTTCCACCCCCCCGCTTTGTAGACTAATTGATTAACAGCAAGGCAGGGTAGCACAGCTCCGAGCACGCTCAGATGAAGTGTGTTCACCTGTGGTCTAAAGTGGTCTCCTGTCTCACAGATAAGCATCCCTCTGAACACAGCATTTGGGGCGGACACAGAGGGCTCCAGGTGGATTGTGGGATATCTGCTGGAGAAGGTCATCAGTAACCTGTCAGTGTGGAGCTCCGAGAGTGAACTGGCCACTGACACAGTGGAGCTGCTGGTTACACTGGTGGAGAGGAGGGAGAGGTGACTCACAGCAACACATACCAACATCCTAACACCAATACTCCTAATAGCTCTCACATGGCTCCTTTGTCAGTGAAATAAGCATTACACAACTTTAAGAAGGTATATTGTACTTCTGCTGTTAAGTTATAATCTATGACACGAGGAGCATTATTTTTAATCAATATGCGCGTGCCCCTTCATGTTGTGTCACTGTATACATGAAGGTTCTTCACTTTGCAACAGAGGATATAACTGTTGGATGTGTCTGTGTGCAGGGCCAACCTTGTGGTGCAGTGTGAGGGCTGGTGGAGGATTGGCTAAGCAATTTGCAAGCCGCAGCCCCCCACTCCACCTGCTGTCCAGTTCTGTGCAGAGGAGCCTCATGAAGGCACTGGTCCTGGGGGGCTTTGCTAACATGGACTCGGACACCAAGCAGCAGTACTGGGCTGAGGTGAAGTCTTGCTGGTCACATGTTTTACTGCTTCTGCTTTACTGCTCATAGGAGATGCTCATGCTTCATGTTGTCTGAGCAGGTCCTCCACCCGCTGCAGCAGCGCTTTCACAACCTGATAAACCAGGAGAACTTTGCTCAGATGAGTCAGGAGGAGGCTGTGAAGCAGGAGATCATTGCCACACTGGAGGCTCTGTGTGGCATCGCAGAAGCCACACAGATCGACAATGTGGCTTCTCTCTTCTCCTTCCTCATGGACTTCTTGTCCAGCTGCATTGGACTAATGGAGGTACTTGGACATACACAGTAGTGGCTTTTAGAAGCTTTTAAAGGTTACACCTGATCTATGTTATAATGTTGTTTACTCATTAAAAACATACCTGGAATTATGTTTTGTTTCATTCACACATGTTTAACACACAAACCCTGCATATTTAGGCTGAGTTCTTCTCTCAAACTGAAAACACTTTTGTTCCACTTACTGTTCCACCTTGTGATGTCATGTGAAAACACAGGAAATGCTCCATTGTGTTCAGCAGAATCTTTTGGATTATTTCAGACCTGGAATTGCCAATCTCAGTGGAATTAAAGGAGTTGTTAACTTGAAAACTTCATCTTCATGACATCACAAGATGGAAAAAAGCATTTTGAGCTTTGGATACGTAGAGACTAATAATAAAGGCTTACTCAAACATGTGTCAATGAAACAAAATACTCCAGGAATTTTTATATAATATAGGACCTTTTAATAATGTGGTCTCCAACACATGCGGTAGTATTTAAGTGTTTTTATTTAAAATTCTAGAATAGAAGACTACAGTAAAATGAATGCATGACTTATGGCCTGTTGCAGGTGTACAGCAACACTCCAGAGACGGTAAACTTGATCATCGAGGTGTTTGTGGAGGTGGCTCACAAACAGATTTGCTATCTGGGAGAGGTACTTTAAGTCTAATCAGTGCAGCACGTTGGATTTATGAATGGCTACGTCTAACTTTGTGTTCTTGGTGTCTGTGTGTGTTATGCAGAGCAAGTCCATGAGATTGTATGAAGCCTGCTTGACACTGCTGCAGGTTTACTCCAAGAACAACCAGAGCCGAAAGCGCGGAGACTCCACAGCCGAGGAGGACCAGTACCAAGACCTGCTTCTCATCATGGAGCTGCTCACCAACCTGCTGTCCAAGGAGTTCATTGACTTCAGTGACACAGGTCAGACAGGAGGACTTTGAGTCCTCTTTAGTTTTGGTTGTTTTTTCATTGTGGTAACATTTACATCCTTATGTTATAAATATTTTGGAGAGTTTTGGAGTACTACTTATAGTACAATATAACTGGATATAACCAAGGATATAAAGGTATAGTAAAGAATTGTATTTGTACCTGAGGCAGCGGCTTGCAAGCGTGCCAGACTACACTTGGGGTTCACCACTGGTTTACAGTATTCAAATAATCATTTAATCTCTTACATGTACAAAGAGGTTAAGTAAATGTTTTTTGTTGTATTATCTCCAAATATTCCCCAGAAAAAAGTGTGTCTAGTTATGAGTGGACAGAATGAAGTGCGCCTGCTGTTCCAGTTGCTATTGCAGTTGTTGACCTGCAAGTCATGTGGTGTTTCAGATGAAGTATTCCGCAGCCAGGACCAGGGAGCCTCGGCCGGGCGCAGCGTGTCGGCAGCAGACGTGGTTCTGTACGGAGTCAACATAGTGTTACCACTCATGTCACAGGACCTGCTCAAGGTATGTGTCAGGACCTGCCTAGGGTCTGTTTGAATGCAGCAGGAGCTGGAACTGGACCACAGAGCATGACAAAGTGCCACCCTAATTTGGGACAGTCTATCCATAGACCCTAATTTGAATAACGTGTCTCTCAAATGCTGAAGACATTTCTTGAAAATTCCATTCAGAACTAAATATATCACTTCTTTTATTTGAGATATATTCGATGTTTGGTAAAGGTTCATTCTGTCTTCAGTTATTAGTTATTAGTAATATTAATATTAGCTTTGGCGTGATGGACAGGTGGAGTAACCAATCAGCGAGACGCATGATCCGTTTGGGTAAAAACAAACATGATGGCTTACACTAAAAGATGACTAAAAAACAGTGCGAATATCTGCAGAAACAACAATGGAAGCACCAAACTCTAATTTATCTCTTAGAATTAGTGGTTCTTTTAGTCAGACAGGTGTTTGTTCACCTGCTTTAAATGTAGCCTTTCTCACATGTGTCACATGATTGAAGGAAGAAAATGGCACACAAGCAGAAGTGCCAGGGTCATTCATGCCATTGAGCTCTGCAAATGAGTTCCAAGGAGCATACACCCTATCACACACATGGGTTGCAGTCCCAGAGAAGGTGTCAAATAGCAGGGGCTGTAAGCTTCCCCCACTGTCCAGCAAAGCCAAGTAGAATCAAGCTAAATCCAGTTAAAGGAAAGTTAAAAATGAAGAAGTGATTAAAGAATGATACTGACGATATCATCTGTATCTAGCCATTTCTTCAGGCAGGTCATTCTAATGCGAGGTGTCCGGACTGAGAGGGTTTGATCACCCTTCGATCACCCTTTGTCTGGAGCCTGGACTTTGGAACAGCCACAAGGACCTGCGACAAGGAGGATCTAAGGCCTAAGGAGGGCTTGTATGGGGTTTAAAGTTCTGAGATGTGACTTGGTGCAAAACCTAGGGGAGCTTTAAAAGTAATGAGAAAAATCTTAAAATAAGTCCTAAAACACACAGGCAGCCAGTGAAGAGAGGCTCAAACAGGGGTCATGTGTTGATGTCTGTTAAACCCAGTGAGGAGCTGAGGTGCTGCGTTCTGAAGCAGTTGGAGGCAAGAGATGGATTTGGAGTCGAGACCAGAGAGGAGGGATTTGCAATAATGTAAATGGGAGAAGATGAGCGCATCAGGACCTTTTTCCAGGGCAGGAGAGGACACGTTTGATTTTGCTAATTGTGCGGCGGTGGAGAAAACAGAATTGGGTGACTTTTTTGATGTGAAGGTGGAAGTTGAGGTGAGGGTCAAAAATGACGGAGAGGTTTCTAGCCGCAGAAGTGATATTGGGAGTGAGAGGTGGATTGGGGGGATTGATAAAAAATTATTTCAGATTTGGAGTTGGTGAGTTGTAGGAAGTTCTGTGGCATCCAACTGTTCATGTCATTGAAGCAGTTTAGCCAGTCTGAAGCCAGTCTCTTGGGGTCATTTGTTCTCAGCGGGAGGTAGATGTGCGTGTAGTCAGCCTGGCAGTGAAAAGACGCATTATGGAGACGTTAATGTGTCCTAGGGGGAGCATAATAAATAAAAAATAAAATGGGACCTAAAATGCACCACACCACAGTAAATGGGGGCAGTAAAAGAGGTAAAAAGACGTCACTACGCCATCAGGTGATGCTTCTGAGGACATAGCTGAAACATGTAAAGCAGGGGTCTCAAACTCAAATTACCTGGGGGCCACATTAGATAAAGTCTGAGTGAGGCTGGGCCACATTGAGTATTCGATAAATAGTGGTTGCACAGGAAAAAGAGAGAGAAAGAACAACATGCAACACACTTTCTTAATCTTTAAAAACAGTTAAGAACATGAAAATGTATTCAGAACGTAAGTTTAAACTAATACGTCTACTTTTCTTCTTTTGCCTACTCCTTGCTGGTTGAAACCAGACTACGATTCATCTTGTACAGCTGAGAGATATTTGGCTTGCAGGAGGAAGCAGATCCTCAGGATAGATTGAAGATGCTCATCAGTGAGCCTTGACCTGTATTAGGTGCTTTCACACCGACAGTATTTGGTGCGCACCAATCGATCCATTCGAGCCAGAAGTGGTTAGCTCGGTTCGTTTGCGTTGGTGTGAAAGCGTCAATCGGACTCTGACCCGGACCAACTCAAGCGGACCGAGACCTCAAAAAAGAGGTGGTCTCTGTTCACTTGAATCCGCACCAAATGACCAACTTTGGTGCGGTTCCTCTGGTGTGAACACGAACCCGGGTCCAAACCATAGACAGCAGGTCCAAACGAACTATTCTAGATGCATCATGGGAGAAACGCGTCTCCTGCCTGTAATGACGCGCTGTACGACTCCAGCGCAGTAACAGATTGTTGTCCAGACGCAGCCGCGATTCATTTTCGAATTATTTTACCAACAATGGCCACTACAGAGAATGTAACACACAAAGATCAGAGCAAGAACGTGCGAACGTGTGGCTCCAGAGTGAGTCAAAAATGGGGGTGTGTACTTCTGTTCAGGACCTGCACGTACAGAGAGGTCCCGGTGTTCCCCGTGATCATGTAGGAACCAGCATTTGTTATTTTAGGCTTTAATTAACCAAATAATTTTATGGCAATAGGCAATCGCCCATTCAATTGATTCACCTTTAAAAAATGTTCTGCTTTTAGCCTAGTGTGAGAAATACAGTCAGACTAGATCCAAACCGGAGTCCTGAACCAGCAGGAGCAGCTCCGGTTTTGTCCGGGCTCAGACGACGTAGAGCGGGGAGTGAAAAGCGCTTTTCCCGGGCAGAACCAAGTGCGGACACCAACTAAACTGGATTCACGTTCTGTCCGGATGCTTTGCACCACCTCGGAACCAGCCGCGGTTCTTGAGCGCGGAGGACAGGAGCAGCACAGACCTGTAGGTAGTACACAGCACATTCTCACTTTCCCCGCACGGAACACGGAACCAGCGCGCAGACGCCGGAATGTACCCGCTCAGACCCAGTCATTGCGCACTGGTCTTGCTCGCCACCGTCTGGAACCAGCACATGGAGGACAGAGCCTCCGGACCATCTGACCAACGCGCTTGTAGGACGACAGAAGACCAAGGACCAGACCCCAGCGCTATCGTGAGGAGCTGCGCGCTACTGTGAGCGCTGTTGGCTGCTGCTGTTACCCGAACTCTGGACTGATGCGGTGAGTTTGTACAAAGTTCTACGTTGCTGTTTTATGAGTTCATGGTGATAAGATGAGGACGGCCCGCGGTATTAACAGGGAACATCAGTATTGGTAACTGGAGGTATCGTTGTTCTACCGGGATACAGAGGCTCGTTAATCGGACCAGTTTTGGTTCGTTTGCCGGTGTGAAAGCGGACCACACAGGAGTGTATCTGCTTCTCGTATGTCAAACATGGATGGAAGACGCTTGTTTTTGCCTCGTACTTTTTGCTAACATGTCGCCAAGCCTCTGGAATAGATCATTGCAGTTTTGTGGTGCTTGCATATTGATGGGACAGCTGTGTTTGCCGCTGAGTGCGTGTGGATTTCGGCGACGCACAGGTGGAGCTTGGTCATCAGGTTGCCAGCAAGTTACGCACCGAGTGTTGAGCAGGTAAACAGACTGTCAATGTCTTTTTATTTCTTATTAGCCCCTCCAATAAAGGTCCCATACTTATGAACAGGGGAATTTTGTCAGCGCCTCCTCTGCGCTCTGATACTGTGGTTGTGGGAGCGTAAAGTGAAGTGCGCACACGTGTACCACCACGTGTGGTTTGTTTTGGTTCTTCGGTGACGCCGTATGTGCACGTTTAACAGATCCACTTAGACTAGTTGCTTCACAACTGCTGTAAATTGAGTTTTGGGATGTAAACTGCGTTAATAATCTGTTGTGAATCTGCATGGGCACCGATTGCAGCTTCATCTGTCAGTGCGGCCCGCGGTAGGGGGGTGGGATTGTGCGTACATCTACCGCGGGCCGCACTGACATTATTCTTTGGAATCAAGTGGAGGGCCGCAAAAAATCCTTCCGCGGGCCGCAGTTGGCCCCCGGGCCGCGAGTCTGAGACCCCTGATGTAAAGCAAACACCTGTCTGACTTAAAACAACCGCCAGAGACAAATTAGAGTTTGGTGCTTCCACTGTTGTTTCTGCAGGAATCCCTGTCAATCACGCCTTTCTAAAGGTTTGGGCCTTTCTGTGTAGAGTATGCATGCTTTCTCTATGTGTGCTCCAGTTTCACCTCCCACTTAAAACATGGACAATAAGCTCCTCCCCTCAGAGGTCATTTGTCTTGTTCTTGGAAGTGCAGCATTATGGGTAAGCCTTGTGCTCTTCTCCTTCCAGTTCCCTTCACTGTGTAACCAATACTACAAGCTCATCACGTTTATCTGTGAGATCTTTCCAGAGAAGATCCCTCAGTTGCCCGAGGAGCTCTTCAAAAGCCTCATGTTCTCCCTGGAGCTGGGGATGACCTCGTATCCTTGACACTTCCTCTGTAAGAGCTCTGTGGGGCCATTTCACACATTCTATCTACCATCTGTAATGAGACTGGCCGAACTGCCCCTGTTGTATTCTTACATATCACACTAGATGCTTTACTGCAGGTTTCACATCACCATCTACTGGTAACAAAAAAAAATGAAATAAACTTACAAATGGTAGCTTTAATTCATAATTAGAATTATTACCTCCGCCAAGGAGGTTATGTTTTTGCCGGCGTTTGTCTGTTTGTTTGTTTGTTTGTCTGTTAGCAACATAACTCAAAATGTTATGGACCGATTTTGATGAAATTTTCAGGATTTGTTGGAAATGTGAAAAGGAAGAACTGATTTCATTTTGGGGGTGATCCGGAAGAAATCCTGGATTCTGGATCACTTTGAAATTTTAGTTAACATTGTGGTAAATGGGGCCAAAAATTTTGTTTCTCAATATCTCGGTTAATTATTGACCAAACCCCATGAAATTTGACTCAGGGATGGACAATGGGATCCTCTTTCATATTCCAAAGGCTGATCCGGATCTGATCCAGAAGACTGATTTTATCGCAATTTATATAAAAAATGGGGGTAGTCCTTGGCGGAGGTCTGCGCTCTCTGAGTGCTTTTCTAATTATATTATAGCATATATTTTAGGTAAATGTTTAATAACACCATAGCAGTTGTATTCACAGTTTGCATTTAATGCCCTGTGCTAGAGAAAACTGTCCTCAATTCCCTCTCCTCTGGCCATCCTCTCTTCCTCCCTCCTCAGCTCATCCTCAGTTCTTCTGTTCTGTTCTTCACACATCCACAGAGCCAACTTACTTTCTCCCCTCAGTACTCTACAAGTACTCCAGTCTCATTGTGGACTTCTTCCTGTTTCAAAGGACTTTTTGAGGTCAAAAGATATGAACTATTAATTGCTGCTATGGCAACAGTCCCACTGTCATTAGTCCTCAGGTCTGGGTTCCTTGGATTCCTTGACTGTGTGCAGTATGAGCTCGGAGATCAGTCAGTTGTGTCTGGAGGCTCTCTCTCCACTAGCAGAGCACTGCGCCAAGAGTCCAGACAAGGAGACGCCCCTGTGCCACGCCACCCAGCACTTCCTGAAGGTGACCGACAGCTTCTACACAGACCACACTCCCGTAGTCCTCTGCACTGTTGGCTAACAGACTCTGCTTTGTTCACAGTTGGTGTTTGACATGCTGTTGCTCCAGAAGCACAACACAGAGATGACAGTGGCGGCAGGAGAAGCCTTCTACTCCCTAGTGTGTTTACACCAGGTGAGTGTGTATAAATCAGGGGACAATCCCTAAGACTGTGTTGTGTAAATGAAGCCTTATGACACACCCAAAGTTCCCTGTGTTGAGTGCTTTTGCTTGTGTCTAGGCGGAGTACAATGAGCTGGTACAGACCCTGCTCTCCACACAGAGGGATGCAGTCATCTACCAGCGCCTTACAGATGCCTTCCGTCAGCTGACAGCCAGCAGCTCCCCTCCCGCTATGGACCGCAAGCAGAAGCTGGCCTTCCTTAAGAGCCTGGAGGAGTTTGTGGCCAATGTGGGCGGTCTCCTGTGTGTTAAGTAGCCCAGAGAGCAGGCAGTGACTGGTCCACCTGCCTGCGCAGCACCTGCGCAGCGCCTGCACAGTGACCCCCCTCCCCTCACATGAGATATTTTATATAGACGTGTGAGAGGCTAAGACTCCTGGTGTGCTGTGCTACCCACAGAAAGTGTATCACCCTGTTGTGGAGTGCACTGAGGCCAGAGCACCCCCCCGCAGCTCTCCAAGTGTACTGCAGTGAGGGGCTGCTCAGTGGGGAAACCCATAGTTTATTTTTCTAATGCTTTATCAGTTTGACGTCTCCTCCGGACTCTGGTAGTCATGAGAATTCAGGGATAGAGGTGGTTTGCCAAGAAATAATGTTTGAGCGTAGAAACTGATACCATGGAAAATACAGAGTTCTAAAGAAGGATTTTAAATCGAAGTAGAGAAGAGAATTTCCAGACAACACAGATGCCAAAATGGATCTACACAGTATGTTCTGATTGCTTTGTTTAATGTCCATTTTACCAAATTATATACAATTTTTTACAATGGTTAAGAAGTCTGAATATGTAAAACTCAGATGGAGGGCAGTGGTTTGTACAATTATAAAAAAGAATCAAAAATCAAAACAACCTGATAAGTGTTTTTTTTTTTTTTTTTTTAGTCTACCTAGATTATGCTGATGTCAGATATCATTGATGAATATTATTTATAGAGCATTTCATCTGAATATTGGGAGCAGCAGAATCTCATAAACCCTCCATCTTGGTTTGGAATTATTGACTTTAGAATAATGTGTGACACTGTGTTGTTTCCCTTTCTGCTCATTCTGATGTTGGATACATTTTTTAAGTTGAAATATCCATAACAACCACTCTTGATTAGATTGCAGAGCTGTGCAGTGTATTGAAGATTTTGTTCTTTGTTCTGACCCCCACGGTGCCTTTCTCTTCTGAATGACAAACATGAGTCAAAAGTGCCTGTCGTGACCATGTGACCAACCAAAAAGGACACTGAAGCTGTACATATGTATTATGAATCCACTAATGTGTTATTGAAAGCAACTGAAATGTTTTTATTGCCAATAGAAGGTGCCTCATGTTCAGACTGTGGTGGTATGACTTGTCCATAGGTCGTTGATGGTTGCAGTGTTGTGGTGCTGATCAGAGGAGTTGAAAAAAAGTTGGACTTTACACAAGGTGCCAGAAACTTTCACATGTCCCCATTTCAAAGATGCACTGGAATTAGAAAATCTATGAAGGAGCTGACCACCAGGGCACTGTGGCTCAGAAGACCTGTTTTCCATCAAGTGTACATAAAGTTGTTATAAAAAAAAGATGTTGCTTTTTTATTTCAATATTAACACATCATCTGACTAGACTGTCACAAAGAGGCATTTCAAAATGTGCAATCAAACACTGCTGTCACTGGTGTAAATGGTCACATAAAACCATATTTAAAAAATATTAGATTTTAAGACTGCATTTCAGACTGTGAGAAGAATGCGAACGCAGCATCAAAAATGGATTAAGGGAGTGTAACAGCGTTCAGCTCCAGCCAAATGAAGCTAATCGAGGTTTGTGGTAGACTACACTTACCAGTTAATTCAAATGCGGCGGCCATCTTGTAAATGTAAGAAGAGAAAAGCTGATTGAAAATAATGTAAAACACTGGAGCAATAAATAAATAAAATCATTGATTCAGTTGTGTAAAGTGACATATAATGGTGTACTTGTATGCTAATGATGTAGAACTCTATTTGTCTGTCAGGACATTTGTCTCTAAATTATGAACATAAATATTCGTTCACGTTAACACTGCACTGGTCGATATTTTATACAGAATTAAAATGTTATAATATGAAGTGTCATATGGACAACGATAATTATCCTGTTTACTTTACGCATATTACTTTAAAAGAACAATGTATTAACAATTCAGGATTAGATCACATGAGTGTGGTAGAACATGAGCATTAGAATATAAAAAGTCCGAGTATCAAAATATCAAAGAGGAAATTATAATGAAAAAGTGCAGATTCCTGTTCGTTTTGTCTGTTTGTCTGAGTTCTAAAATTCTACATTCACAACATGTCTGCTGGTGCTGAACATGCTTTAAGTAGGTTACCATGGTGACGGTCTCGCTCATTGGTCCCGCCTCCATTGCAGCAGTTTATGGTGAGGAGACAGAAGCTAACACCGTCAACACAACAGTCTCCAGGACGCTTTCACAAATGGAGAATGTGCTTTTAGCCGTGGAAGATGACGACCTTTACTCGGGTTATAATGATTACAACCTCGCGTTCGACACCGAGGTGAGTTTAAACAAGTGGCTCGGTTAGCTTCGGGATTAGCCAAAGTGGATTGACCGCTAAACCAAGAAACGTGTCATCTTTAGTGCAACGTTTATGTAAACATTAAAAAACGACGACCCGCGCGTTTGCCGTTTTATACCGCAAACAATCACGCAAACATCAATTCTACTTTGACTCCTGCATTAAAGTGCGGCTGTTGCACCAAACACTGCTAAAAAACTTTTCAGCCAGTCTGAAACTCAAGAAAAATATTCATTTAAACAATACAAGCATTCATTCTGTTTAGGTGTTTGATTGATTGACTAACAGAAAAACTGTTGACTACCTTATACCTTTTGTTTATTGTAGAGATTGGGAATTTTTCGGTTGAAATCATCCAAATGACTCTAGTGAAGGTTTATGGAGTTTAAAAACATAGCGGAGCACTTCCTGTATTATCACATGACATCACAAGGTGGAACAGCGTGTTTTCTGTTTGAGAGAAAAACTCAGGTAAAGATGCAGGGTTTGTGTGTTAAACGTGTGTGAATGAAACAAAATACAACTCCAGGTCTGTTTGTGATGAAGAAACATCATATAGATCAGAAAATATAGCACAACCTGGATCCTTTAATTACAAAAATTACATTTGCAATATTTTCATGCACAATATTAAATGATGAAAACAAAGATTTTTGAAGATTTAAACAGTTACACTGTTTTGAGTTGAGATTCATGTTTGCCCATCTACTAGTGGTGCTCTAAATTAGATTTAAGTTAAGTTTAAGTTAAAAAATAAACAAAACCATATTAGTAAGTTAACCTTTATTTATATAGCAAGTTTCACTGATAAAAACCCCCCACGAAGTATAGTGCAATGAACAACAATGCAAGAACAAGAATATTGTCTGTAACCTTAAAATACATTTTGTTCATGTACTTTTTTATTAGTTTGTCAAACAAAAGTGGTTTATTTTGTGCAAGACATTATTCTTAACATTAAACACTTATCAGTTCTTGGTGTTTAATCATCATGTCTAGTTATGTTTCTAATAAGCTATGCTAGTTTACAAAATCATAAAAACAGTCTAATGAACATATTATCTACATATTTCACTCTTGCGAACTAACGGATAACCCACAAAAACTGGAAATCCTGTTGTGCCGTAATACTTGACAACAAAAGGGGGAGCTCCTGGACTGGCTTTTTTCAGAGATTTTATTATAGTTCTATGAGAAGGACCAACAGGCCACTCCTTGACTAGGGTCATGCCAAAAATTTGCTTTCGATCTCGTCCCTTTTGCAATTTCCCATTTTGACCCTTGTAAAATAAAGGTTGCTGAATAACAGTTCTGGAATTACCTCTACGTAGGTGCCTGCCCTGTCCAACCAGAAAGTTAAATTATAAACCACAATAAAGTAAAACATAATTTTAATAATTATGCTAACTATATTTTAGTGAAATTAGTAGTCTAGCCTATAGTCTATACGCACTTTAACGCTAACCCTAACCCTGTGAATAACATGACATATTCATCCATCTTAGGAGCTGGATAATGATGTGGGCTTCCAGCAAGCAGTAAGGACCAGTCATGGCAGAAGACCTCCTGTGAGTACACCCTGTCACATATACAGTATGTCATAGTATGTCAAGCTACCATCCTCCGTGGTCATAGCAATTAATCTTTTGAATGGGGAAAGGTTCTCACTAGGTCCTCCATATCAAGAAGGAATTGTTTGTTTGAAACCCATGAATACTTATGCCATATACATAGCCCTGTGCTCACTCTCCTGTGTTCCAGATGACAGCAAAGTTCCCAGGTACTGCGGTCGGCTCACGCCCACTGGTCTCATCACTCGGGGTAAGAAGGCTGGGCTCTATGTCTGGCTTGGCATCTCAGCATTGTAGTTTTAGACCTTCTGTGCAATAGGGCTGTAGGCCTGTAGTTTTTTAGCTGCTTAATTGATCGATGGTGTGTTAGTTGACACGTTCTTTTCTTTATATTATAAGGATTTATATGAGACAACAGCAGAAAGAAGAAGTGAATGACAGAATGGGTTGGGTAGTGTTTGGTATTTAAATGTAAAAAGCCATATTAAACTCATTCACTCACTCGCTCACTCACTCACTTCACAAGTTTTGTCTGTCTTTATACAACAAAATTTCCTAGTACTTTTTTCTGCATAAATAATTTTTGCATGGACATGTGTATGGGTGTAGTATTGTGCTGTTTGGGTCAGGTGTACAGAGATATGAAATAGTTCCGAGAGTTAGTCGACTAATTGAAAGGCAGGACAAAATTTCAATATGTTTTGGGAGTGTCCAGATAATGATGAACAATATGAAAAATGTGCCACAATCTCAGCAGGTCTTTGTCAGATTCTAATGATGACAGAGTCACAGATGTGAGAAAGAGACAATCTCTTTTGATAACATTGTACTTTGCTGTGAACCTGATTATTTCTGTAACCATATTAATTTTACCTCCCCCTCATCTGTATTAAATATTATTGACCTGTAGAAAGCTGTAACGTAATTGCCGGATTACAAATAACATTTTATATTTAAATAATATTTACTACAGACAGGGCAGTTAAAATGAGATTCGACATTTGTGAATTTACCTTTTGAATATGTCATGGCAAAGTACAACATAATAGATAAACATATTTTATTGATCACGAAGGAAATTCAAAGTTTGGCAGCAGCAACATAGAAACGAACATAGCAACATAGAAAAGATATTTAAAGTTCTAGGGATGCATTGTACAGATGTAAGACATGTGGTACTTCCTGAGTGTGTCTGTAGAGCAGGAAAAGGACAACAACCTGTCCTCAAAGGTGTTGTCCTGTCACGTGATGGTGCTGCACAGGGGGGTGCGAACACTGTCAACAATACTCAAGTGTTTATGGCCCTGTTGAGGTGTTTGATTTTCATTAAAAAGGTGAGCTACCTTGTATTTTACACAATAATTATGGTTGGATAAATGAATAAATTAATGTCGAAATGGACGCAAATATGTGTTCCATGGATGTGAAATTAATTTTGATGGAATTTTGTTTATTGACCTAGGACCTAGTTTATTGACATAGGACCTAGGAAGAGGTATTCCTATTTAAAACCCAGTACTATTTCCTCTATTTTTTTATTATTTAATTGATGATTATTTTAATAAAAAATAAATTCTCTGTTGGCACTGCTCTGTTACTCAAGGTAGACTTTAATCTGATCTTAGATTTAACACAATCTGAACATAAAGAACGACTTTGCTGGAACCACAACAGGTAAGGTGGTTTGTGCTGTTAAACAAGTCCCTCTCTAATAACATTACAGTCACAAGCCAGCTAGCATTAGCAAACAGTTTTTCCACGCTCATATTTTTGTTGAAAATCAAACTCCTAAACAGGTCAGTAATTGCTGAACATTCCACCATACACATACATTCAGAACCCCTCCAAGTCTTTTCAAAATAAATGATGTGTCTGTGCTTAACTCTACTGATATTTTGCCAAGTTATAATTCTTTGATTTTTTTCTTTTTCATTTTTCTTTATACTTGACGATCTTGTCACAATACAAAAATATCATACTCTACTTCGATACTAAGGAATAGACTCAATACACAATACCGATTCTGATACCGTAATGAAAATGAAAAGCACATTTTATTTAGACAGTAGAATGTGATTTTCAACATTAAATCAAGCTCCCTTTTTTATTATCATGTGGCCTAATATCTATGCAATTAGTCATCCAGGTAGGTCCCATAGTGGTAAATGGGTGTATACTAGTCTATGGTACAGCTCAACATCATTTTAAAGCTATTGAGGAAAGGTTTGTTTCTGTCTAGGTATTGAAAGTCTCATTCACAACTCAAGTGATTGTCTAGTTTTGATACTAGTTGTAGTATTAATTTGTATCTGAATTTCAATCTTTTGACAGCACTTAACACCCAACATAAAATTTGAGCACATTTCTAAAAAAACATTGATTTATAAGTCTTGTATGACAAGGGTCAGGACTAAACTGATGTAAGCTTCCTGTTGTGTTTTGGAGGCTCGGGTCCCACTGGCTTCCTCAATGGCTTCTTCGCTGGGTCGACCACTGACTGGAGCAATGCAGGTGAATACTTCCTCTGTGTTTGAGAAGAGCTTATTGTTTGGTTTGGTCTGTGCCAAGGAACTACCACAGACTGGATTTTCTATGGACAGGGCTAAGAAAACTGCTGCAGTTAAATGTACTTCTTCTGATTTAGACTGCAGTAATAGAAGTAAAGTGTACCTACTGTAATTCCATAGTAATGAATTGCAGTTGCACTGTCAGTTTCCTTCTTGCCTAGATGTTTCTTTGTTTGGAATGTTGGCATGGTTTTAAATGTACCAATATATCAGTATGACCTTATTTGTCCCAAGGGGCAATTTAAGAGCATTGAGGAGTAAAATACAATAATATAAAGCTCAAACAAAAGTCTCAGTGCAGCTCAACTGATTCTGCCAGATGAGCTTTGGAGACACAAGAGCAAGGCCTCTTCTAAGGCTCTTTCTCCCTCCGCTCAGTTGTTTTGAGATGAGAAGGGAGTGTGGGTGTTTCCTTTCTAATGTCTTGTGCCATATTTGGTGTAGAAAGACTAGCATTTCAGAACCAGCTGGCTCCATGCTCGAATCACACAATCCATTAGTCCTTAACTTTTGTCCCTTGAACCACACATACTACACTCCTTAGTTTGTCAAACTCAAACTCAAAATTAAAGCCGCGCGCGGCGATGGTGGCCCTCGCCCCGGGCACGCACCGCCCCCCCTGGCGAATGCCGGGGACTCGCGACTGCCCCGACACACCGCTCTCTCTTCCCGACAGCTCCCGAGGCCAACAGCTCATCCACCAGAAAAATGACAGTGTACCTTTAAAATTGGATAAAGTGAATGATTCTAGAGACAAACTGTAGACACTAAGCCACAGGTCACGTGACTTTAATGGTCAAGAGCACTGTCACACTAAGGTCGTTTTCACACCGCTAGTTCGATTATTTGGTTCGCACCAGGCAATAAAATTGTTATTATGTAGCAAATACACTCCACTGTGGTCCGCGTTCACACCGGCAAACGAACCAAAACTGGTTCGATTGACGTGTCTCAGTTTTCCCCGGTAAAACGGCGATACTCCAGTTATCAACACCGATGTTCCTGTTAATACCACGGACCGTCCTCATCTCAAATTATCACCATGAACTCATAAAACAGCAACATGTAGAACTTTGTACAAACTCACCGCATCAGCCCAGAGTTCGGGTAACAGCAGCAGCCAACAGCGCTCTCAGTAGCGCGCAGCTCCTCAGGACGGGGCTGGGGTCTGGTCCTTGGTCTTCTGTTACAAGTTCGTTGGTCAGATGGTCCGGAGGCTCTGTCCTCCATGTGCTGGTTCCAAACGGTGGCGAGCAAGACCAGTGCTTGATGGACTGAGTCCGAGCGGGTACTTTCAGTCGTCTGCGCGCTGTTTCCGTGCGGGAAAAGCAAGAATGCGCTGTGGACTACAGGTCCGGGTGGGCTGCTCCGGTTCTCCGCGCTCAAGAACCGCGGCTGGTTCCAAGGTGGTGCAGCATCCGGACAGAAGCGTGAGTCCAGTTTGGTTTGTTATATGTTGTTCTGAGCGTCCGTCCTCCGCGCATTTGGTTCTTCCCGGGGAAAGCGCTTCCTCAGGTCGAGGCTCCCCGCTCCAGCTCCTCTGAGCCCGGCCTGAACCGGAGCTGCCCCCGCTGATTCGGGACTCTGGTTTTGATCTAGTCCGACTGTATTTCTCACACTAGGCTAAAAACAGGGACTTTTTTAAGTTGTATCAATTGAATGGGCGATTGCCTATTGCCATGAAATTATTTGGTTAATTAAAGCCTAAAATAACAAATGTTGGTTGCTGTGTGATCACGGGGGAACACCGGGACTTCTCTGTGTGTGTAGGTCCTGAACAGGGGTACGCACCCCCAATTTTGACTCACTCTGGAGCCACACGTTCGCACGTACTTGCTCTGATCTTCGTGCGTTACGTTCTCTGTATTGGCCATTGTTGGTAAAATAATTCGAAAATGAATCGCGGCTGCGTCTGGACAACAATCTGTTACTGCACTGGAGTCGTACAGCGCGTCATTTCAGACAGAGGAGACGCGTGTCCCTCCCATGATGCATTTCGAATAGTCCGTTTGTCCATACTGTCTATGGTTTGGACCCGGGTTCGCGTTCACACCAGAGGAACCGCACCAAAGTTGGTCATTTGGTGCGGATTCAAGCGAACCGAGACCACCTCTTTTTTGCGGTCTCGGTCCGCTTGATTTGGTTCGGGTCCGAGTCCGAGTCCGATTGACGCTTTCACACCAACGCAAACGAACCGAACTAACCACTTTTGGTTCGAATGGACCATTTGGTGTGCACCAAATACTGTCGGTGTGAAAACACCCAAGACTAAGTGCATGAAAACACATCCTCCACCAGAGAAGTTACATAGTGTGGCTTTAAATTTCTCAGAAGTGAAATTATTCTAGAGGCCAAAGTGTAAAACTAGGGCATAGGTCTTACTAACTTTTATGATGAGGAGTACGTCAGTGAATGTTTTGGCAAAGTTTTACAAATGAATGTAAAACAAATTTTATGTCACACAATAATAAATTGTGTGCATTCATATAGGTGGCGCTGTATCCCTGATAACTGTATTTGACATATCAATGGAATAAGGGTCATGCAGTGTATAACTGATAGAAATGTCATCACAATCGGACAAAACATGTGCATATAATAATTTTTACAATATTTTTGGGGGGATTCTCTGTGCCCCTGCTGGCCAACCGTGAAAAATACACCATGACTGTAATAGACATTTTTGCTTATAATCATGCAAAGAATTTATTCCCCGACTTTGGTCCGATAATGTTGACATTTCATGTCTAAAGAGGCGTTCACACCAAAGCGTCAAAAAACGCCTTGACGCCTCTATTTGGACGCGTTTGCGTTTGAGTTTAGACGCCCCCGACGCGCGTCTTTGACGCCGTGAACAAACGGGACAAAAATACTTGACGCGCGTCCGTTGCCCTGGAAACAAAAGCCCGGTCCCGGTCTTTTCCCGAAACAATATCAGACCAGACTGAGAGAGTGTTTTTATGACATAAAACATCAGCGGAGGAGATCGGGTCGACGACTGGGGCGTATATATATTTATACTCCGCTAATGATGATAATGTGGCCGTGACAGGTCACCGAAAAAACAGGAAATGAAGGCGTTATTCGCCGGCGTGCTACGGGCGAACTGTAAGGAGTATCCCAAAAAAATTTGGCAACTTCTGTGAGTTCATGTCTGTAGATGTGACATGTCAAATTTGAGCCAAATTGGACCAAACCCCGGGGACTTGAATCTTTTTGTAGACCCCCAAGTCAAAACGGCGGCGAATGTTTGATCCAATATGGCCGACTTCCTGTTCGTCATAGGGGTGCAGAATGACTGACTTTTTTGCTTGTAATCATGCGTAGAATTTAATCCCCAAATTTGGTGCTAATCTGATAATGTTGACATTTCATGTCAATGGTAGGGGGCGCTATAGTGTTCACTTTTAATATGTTTTATACTGTTTTATATTCAGGCTGAGATCACACATTAGTGATTCAAATTTCAGCACGATCCGATTAAACATGGGCATGTAATCATTTTTTAACTATTTTTGGGGGGAGTCTTTGCACCCCTGCTGGCCAGTGGTGGAAAATGCATCATGTCCGTAATAGACTTTTTTGCTTGTAATCATGTCTAGAATTTAATCCTCGAATTTGGTACTAATCCGATAATGTTGATGTTTGTCAATGCTAGGGGGCGCTATAGATTTCATTTTTCATATGTTTTATGGTGTATTATATTCAGGCCGTGATCAGGCATTAGTGATTCAAATTTCAGCACGATCGGAGTAACCCTGTGGGTGCAATCATTTTTTAACTATTTTTTGGGGGAGTCTTTGCGCCCCTGCTGGCCAGTAGTGGAAAATGCAATTTGTCCGTAATAGACTTTTTTGCTTGTCATCATGCATAGAATTTAATTTCCGAATTTGGTCCAAATCCGATAATGTTGACGTTTCATGTCTATGCTAGGGGGCGCTATAGAGTTCACTTTTATTAGATTTCATATTTCATTACATTCACACGAGCATCACGCAATTGTGATTTGAATTTGAGTTCTCTCGGACAATGCCTGTGGCCGTGACAGGTCACCGAAAAAACAATAATTTATAATAATAATAAACAAACGTAAGAAACCGGCGAAAAACAATACCCCTCGCCCCTAACTTTGTTAGTGGCGAGGGCCAATAATAATAGAGCGTAAGAAACCGAGCAAAAACAATACCCCTCGCCCCTAACTTTGTTAGTGGCGAGGGCCAAATATTAAGATAGAAATCATCTAAAAATTTTTTCAAAACTGCTCACTGTACCAGCTAGTCAAGAGCTGCCAACCGTGACCATGGCAACCACAGGTTCTATTTTGCATTTACATGCATTTTATTGATCAAGAATATAATTTCCTTGTCTCCATGAAGATTTGTTTTGTGCAATTCTGTGGAACATCTTAGACGGAACAATAACATCTGCATGGAGAACAGAAGGTTGCCCCTGAAAAGTGTCTCTAACATTTGTCATGTTGTGATGGGACTGGGTCTTGTGCAGGACGGAGCTCCAAGACCCATGACAGCCATCCGAGCAGCAGGCTTCACGTCAGCCCTGACCAGAGGTGAGACCAGCTCAAACTGTCATGTCACTGCTTACGCGGAGTTACCACTTTTCTGTGACAAAAACTGAACCAAAGACTAGATAGATAGATGGAAAAAGGAGAAATGTCAGTTTCTAGTCAAATACTCCTCAGTTACACATAATGCAAATCCACTGCCCCACACCAAACATCTCTACCACAGAGCAGCTGTCTGACTGACCAACACAGTCATCACAGACACTGAGCATCCTCTCCATAACCTCTTCAGCTTCTACCCTCAGGCAGCAGGAGAACTCATCGACTGTGGACTGTGTGACGTCACCCATAGTCTTTAGCTTCAGTCAAATGAAGGTCATGAGGTTTGCAGTTACAGGGGGAATTTGGAGCCAAGCTCCATATTAAGAAAAGGAATTCATTTATGGACAAAAATCATTGTGTTTTAGGATGTGAAAATGTCAGCCAGTGTCATGACATGTAGAAACAAATTTTCTTCAGGGACGATACATATGCTATCATATATGTCTGATTTCAGGCAGCACCTTTGATCCACTTGGCCAGTCCAGAGGTCCGGCTCCTCCCCTGGAGGCCAAGAATGAAGACCTGTAAGTGTATTGCAGTAGTATGTGCCACAGGGTCAATACTTTCTACCAGTTTGGAAAATTATTTCTCCAAACTACAGAACACAAACTGTAAGCTCCTTTGTAAACTCACAAGAAAAAAGCACCATGAGCATATCATTAGGCTGAGATTTAGTCTATATGATTTAAAGCACAAAACTGTACACAGCAATTTGACAAACCTAATGCAGTGTGCAGTAGTTTCATTAGTAGGATATACGCTGGTTGTGTTGTGATAGCACTCTGAAGGGAGAGTGACTTGGCATGAGGAGCAAAGGGAGGGGGGCTTAGAAGGTAAACAAAGTGAAACATATTAATACATGTTTTCTGTGAATGCAGCATTTTCAAAATAATAAAAGATAACCTGGTGATCTAAATATGTTATGTGTTAGCAATTAATATGCCCTAGAATTAAAATACCCCCTCATTAATTAATAAATTAAATCTGAAATGTGCATGAATTACACTAATCATAAGGCAGATTTCACAAATAATGTAAATTATTTATTTGTTTTTGCTGTAAAAGATACAGATAAGAGTACCAAGCGTCAAAATGGCGTAATAAGAGCAGTAGTATGACTAGATCCTTACCAATACCTTTTCCGTAAACAGCACAGACCACTTCGGCTTGGTGGTTGCTTGTATTGATTTGTGCTTGACTTGTTTTCGTATGTCTTAGGCCCGAGGAGAAGATCAAGCTGCTGGAGAAGAGAGTGAACGAGCTGATCGAGGAGAGCTGCATGGCACACAGCATAGGCTCCTCACAGCTGGTACATGCTCGTTTAGACCTCCACACTAGTCTCACTTTCACTTTCTACAGCTTTTAATCTGTCATAATCATGGTGTTCTGTTCTCAAGGCTCTTGAAAAGGCAAAAGAAGCGGGCAGGAAGGAGCATGCGTTGGTGAGGCAGAGGGAGCAGACTGGGAACAGGGACCAAGCCAATCTAGACCTGACTTACTCTGTAAGTACAGCTCAGGCAGCTCTGCACATTGTGTGTGTGTGTGTGTGTGTGTGTGTGTGAGACCCTGTGCGTAGAAGGAGTGTGCATGTCACCCTGTGTGTTACATGAACGTGCATATGTCCCTGTGTCAGAGTGTGCATGTGACACTGTCCTTCTTTCAGGTGCTCCTTAACCTGGCCAATCAGTATGCCAACAACGAGATGTACACGGAGGCCCTCAACTCCTACCAGGTCCTCATCAAAAACAAGATGTTTAGCAATGCAGGTAAGCCACAGTCAGTCCAGCTGTGCCCACTCACTATCTGCTGGGCTTCTAAGTATTTTATATCCCCTAAAGGGGGCGCAAAGTCAGAGAAGCTTTTCTTTATTAAAACAGATTGAATTGTTTATGGATATGGGGGTGTGCATGGTTGTGTTATACGCACACAGTGCACAGTGCTCTGACAATAAATGATTAATAGCATTTTATTGGCTACTCTATATGTCAATTCAAACACCTGTTAGAAATAGATCATGTTTTTCACCACAGAAGATTGTACACTTATAGTACTTTGAATCTATAAGTGATATGCTGCATTTCAAATGTCTCATCTGTCCAAAAGGCAGACTGAAGGTCAACATGGCAAACATCTATGTGAAGCAAAAGAACTACCCCAAAGCCATCAAGTTCTACCGCATGGCTCTGGACCAGATCTCCAATGCTCACAAGGAGGTGCGTATCAACATCCAGCAGAACATCGGCCTGGTCTTTGTGCTCATGGGACAGTACTCAGACGCCATCACCTCCTACGAGCACATCATGAGCGAGTGCCCCAACATCAAGGCTGGCTTCAACCTGCTTCTGTGCTACTTCGCCCTGGGGGACCGAGACCGCATGAAGAGCGCCTTTCAGAAGCTCATCTCTGTCCCTCTCAACATCGACGACGAGGACAAGTATATCTCTCACAGTGTGAGTACTAACTAACTACACACTCTGCTTACTTACTCTGTACTCTGTCCTCTGTACTCTGTACAGTATACATAGGATATTCAGCTATTGAGAAATTACAGTTACATGACACTGGGAGTGTTCTTCATACATCTCTATTGGCCAAATGTGCAGCAGGTACCATGGAGACACAATGCACACATTAAACACAGACAAAAACATTTAAGATAATAGCAAAAATCATCTTACCTGTTGTACTTCCAGCTAAGTCATCTTTTTCTAGGTAGATTGTGTTAAAATAAAGCTCAGATTAATGTCTAACTTGAGTAACAGAGCTTCAGACAGAGTAGTGTCTACATTTAGCTTCACACCCTCAGAGAATTTTGAAAACATTAGCTGCAAAAGTATAAGTTTGCTTTTCCCACTAAAATACAACATTCAGCTCATGAACATATTCTTCAACTGTTTTAATAATAATTTGTGTAAAAGTTAATCTAGAGCTTTCACTTTGTCAGACACCTGCTTACACCTTATATCTGCTTGTGTTTCAGGATGACCCTACCTCCAACATGGTCATCGAGGCCATCAAGAACGACCGGCTTCATCAGATGGAGAGGAATCTGTAGGTACCATGTGACCATGACAAACTTGATACTGATACTGATAATTTGCTGCTGATGTCGTCAACATTCTCCGGGGGTGTGATGCTAACTGTATGCAAAGCTCTGCCAGAAGCTCTATTAGACTTTAAAGATCACATATTGGGCTTGAGCCAGCTATATAATTATAATCTATGACACCCATGGATCAGTGTTATAATTCCCACATTTTAAATCACAATAGCCATCTGAAACAACTTCATTAAAGAAACAATCTGCAGACTTCTGCATTTATAAAAATGCAGGGGGAGCTGATGTCATCTTAAACACAACAGAGTCGGTGTTATGAATCTGTTGGGGTGAAGTTTAAATGTCTCATACCATGTACACCACAGAAAAGAGTCCTCCGTAGACACAGTGGTTGTCATAGCATACCCTGCTACGTGTCACATCAAGACATGAAAGCGAATTTTGCATTGTAGCTTCTTAAAACACCATCATGCAACCTTTTGTAGGCTTGACTGTTCAGTGAGGTAGTGCACGCATGAGACTGGTGTCGGTGAATGTGGCATCTTGAAAGCAATAAGCAATTAAGGATTACTTTTTAAAATTAAAATTATTTTCTTTTATTTTCTTAATCATGATACGTGCATGTTTAAGAAAATAAACATCAGAATCACTCCAAATACAACTGCAAGAGGTTAAAAGAGAAAGGAAAACAGCTATAACATGGTTAAAAAGCTCTGAAATTTTGCATTATAGGTTAACTTTAAATAATCTTTATTTTTAACACAATCTGACCAGAAAGAGCTTATCTAGGTGAGATGATTTGTGTCCTTAAACAAGTCTCTCCCACATAAAATTACACTCACAATCTAACCAGCCAACATTTTCTCTCATCTTTTTTGTTGAAGATGAAACACATAAATGAACGCTTACATTGATCACATGCTCCTGAAATGTGTTGCTTCTGTCCATTTTTCTTTTTTTTTTCTTCTTTTTTTTGTATCTTAAAATTTTTTAGACAGTGTTTGCAAATGTGTGCATTGTGTGTCCATGGTAACTGCTGATCATTGCGCCATAGAGATACATAGAGAACACCCCCAGTGTGATGTCAATGGAAACTATCAATGGTGGTCATGTGTCTAGACTCCCATAGGACTGTTTATACATGCGTTACACTCATGTCTTTCTGTAGGAAAGCTCTGGCTGAAAAGTACATTATGACAGCAGCCAAGCTCATCGCTCCAGCCATCGAGTCGTCTTTCGCTGTGGGCTTTGACTGGTGAGCCTCCGAACACACTCTACTTCATTATTAAAGAGCCCATATGACATCATTGTCTGATCTATGTTATAATGTTGTATCCTCATCAAAAACATATCTGGAGTTATGTTTTGCATATTTAGGTAGGAAGTGCTCCACTGTGTTTTAAACTCCATACATCTTCTCTAGAATCATTCGGATAATTTCAGTCTGTGAGAGAGCTGTAAACCACGGCCTCACTTATTGTAGGGCCGGGTGATATGGGAAAAAAATTATCACAATTTTATTTTCTTATATTGATCTCTATTTTTAATTAGCTTTTCTTCCATCCTATTAAAAGATAGACAGAGTAGAGTGTCAGGACCACTAACAGTTTTTATTTCGACTGGACTGGTAATTACAGAGAAATCCACATGTAAAGTTTGGAATACATTTGTAGGTGAGGAGAAATAAAGACACAAGACAAAGAGATGCGCTGCGGCCCTTCCTGCTTTTTCTTAAACGAGAGCATATCCTCATCAGCACTCCACACTCTAACTGCCACGTGATTGGCTGTAGTTCTGTCCATTAAAATGAGCATGCTTTATCAAGATCGACCTAGGTAGAGATTGAATCGAGCTTCTGATTTTTGGCACAGCTCTTCTTATCAGGTGTATACATTCAAGTTTGATGTGCTTGCAATAATGTGCATCAAATTAAATATTTACATAAATTACAGTTACATCCTCACTTTAATTATTAATTATTATTAAGTTGCCAAGTTTGTTTTCCCCTCTTTCACTCCTCTTTTCCTTTCCTTCAAGCTGATTGGCAGAGGCACTGATTTGGAGGTGCACCTTTCTCAATGCAGGCCTGGTGTACACTGCAGGTGGACTCTGTCAAGTGCTACTGTGGGATTTTTTATTAAATAACTATACACTGAATTATTTAAAAAAAAACTTAATGCAGTTGCTAATGCTGTTGCCAGTCTTTACTGAACAAAAGGTAAAACATAGCTGTTGAAAACTACCATTTCATGACGTCGTAAGGTGGAAGGACCATTTTGAGCTTTAAAGATATAAACAGACTAATAATAAAGGGTTACTTGGTTTGTTTTTGAGGAGGTAATAATATTCTAACGTGGCTTAAAGCTCACAATCAATTTTATAATTTTTTATTATTATAATATAGGACCTTCAAACATGTTCACACTGTAAAAAACTAACATTGCACTGCTCAGTTATGGAAGAAGTCAACTCATTTGGTTTATAATTCAAAGCATGATTATTTGAAACAATCTATGTACTGCCAGTACAGTTTTTGTATTTGGGTAAATTTGTACTTAATTTGCACAAGTGACTGAGTACAACGTTGGAAGTTAATATAATTGGAAGGACAGAACCTTCAATAGGGCACAGAGCTTTGTATTTTAAAATGACAGAACAAAAAAATAGAAGAAGCAGTGCATGAAACGGAACTGTTCAAAGCATTTCATATTGTCAAATGTCAACAAATGTCACTTGTCTTACTCGCAGTGGGAGGGGTAACTAAAACTTTTACTGTTGCACTGTAACCCAAAACATGCTACATAGGTCTCCAGGAAAAATTGCTGATAGCTAATGGAGGTCCGTTAAATACAATCAATCAATTAATTGCTGTAGTTGTTGTAGTAACTCAAGTAGGAGTAAGAAGTTGTGTCCAGAAACTACTTAGACAAGTACAATTGTATTAAGAAGTTATGCAAGTAGGTCTTATAATATGAAAAGCCATGGTGTGTGTGTCTGTCTCTGCTCAGGTGTGTGGAGATGGTGAAGAACTCTCAGTATGTGGAACTAGCCAATGACCTGGAGATAAACAAGGCCATTACCTATCTCCGGCAGAAGGACTTTAATAAGGTCAGCACACCCACAGTCCATCTCAAATCACCCCCTTGTCCATACTTATCTGTATTTGTAACAGCTTCCTGTGTCCTGTGCTGTTGGTTTGGCCGTTGGTAAATGATCTTGAGGGAGTGACTCAAGTTTTTGAACCTTTAGATTTCCCTGTAGTTGCTGTACTGACCAACTCCTACTAGTGTTGTCACAATACTAAAATTTCAAACTTGATTTCGATACTAAGGAATGGACTTGATACTATTCCCTTTTTAGAGCACTATTTTGGGGTCATGCCATTTTTAGTGTTGTCTGAATGTCCAGTTGGTGAAAAAGACCAGACAATATAGACCATTATGCATTGTGAGAGTTGGGAAAACAACAGCGTTCAGTGGCAGGTGTTTAACTGGACACAACATGACTGAATAAAAGCAGATAAAAGCGCTGGTTTATCACACTGTTGATCTGTCATTATGAATAAAACATTCGTAAATAAACTTATGCTGTAAAGGTTCCTAGCGTTAGCTGCTTACCTTAGCTCCAGCTGCTGAAAGAGCAGTAATTTCACACAAAAAGCAAATAATCAAGTCTGTTTACATGATATCCAGCTTGACAAAAACTTGTATGCTTATTATTAGTCCATAAATACTTGTGTGATCATTATAAATGACCTAGACACCAGAGTTGCGTGACCAGAATGTAGTGAGCTGCATGTCTAAAATGCTCTTTGAATGAGCGCTCCATATAGTCCATTAAAGAGTGCATTCCTATGTAGTAAATGAGGGGTTAAGGACTGGATTTAACATTCAGACACAGCCATAGTACTTTCTTTTCCATTCTCATGTGGTCTTATACAGCTCGAGATCACTGTAAAGCTATTTAAGAAAGGTATCTAGTTTTGATACTAGTTAATATCTGATTTTAGATACTTTTGACAACCCTAGCTCCTACTTACACACATCTTTGTCTTGCTTTTGTCTCACTTCCTCCCACCCTGCATGCCTAAGGTTGAGGTATGTTAGTCTGTTTTGTTTTCAGTCACAGCTTGTAGTTTACGTTGCATTGTTTCATGTAGCAGCCAAAGACAAACCAGTTAATCTTGACTAGAAACCTATCATTTTTTGGCATACTGTGGCCACTGTCAGGAAAATACATATGCTAAAAACTCCCATATCTGTTTCATTTTTCCAATTAAAAAAAACAATATTCAACTTTTGAAAGCTTTCACTGGGTTAATCAGCTATGTGGTAACTAATGGTAACAAGACCTCGCCTGGCAAATCCAGACTGATATCTCTCAGTATTTTTTTATATGTAGGATATCAGTCTGGTCTCTGCGTCCTCTTCGCTTCTAGAGTCCAACCAAATGTGATCACGTATGAAATGGTGTTTTGGAGATTTTTAAGATTTCTACCATGTTTTAGCATACGGTTACGGTTAGTTGTAACATTCTGTACAATGCTCAGCCCACAAGCCTACATCACCCTTGCTCCCACCCAACAATTCTCCATAAATATACATAAATGTGATACAAAACTGTACACAACACCTGATATGATGTGCAGTAGTTTCATTAGTGGGATGCATACTGAAGAGAAAGTAACTTAATGCAGGGAGCAAAGGGAAGGGAGAGTCAGAGAGTCAAAACGAAGGTGAAACTTATACATTCTTTTTGGTGAATATAGCATTTTCATAACAATAAAAAAATAACAGTGTGATCTAAATATGTTATGGGTTGGCAGTTAATACATCTTAGACATAAAATACCCCCTCTTTTGCTTCGCTCATTGTTTCTGCAGAAATCCACCATGTTTTTCAGTCCCTTGTGATATGTTTTTTTTTTTTTGTAAAACATTGCTTTTTGTTTTGGTAAGTGAGCACCATGCGTGTCCCTGATTGGCTAAGCCACCTATCAATCATGCCCATCTTAAAAACAGAAATTCACTTGTCTGGACTCAGTTCTTCATAATGTATTGAAGTGTGTATTCTGGTCCCAGGCAACACAAAATTAGTGTAATCTGTTATTAAAACAGAATTTTTGTAGAATTTTAGGTTTAATATGTTTTTGGACTGAAATAATGCGGTAATTATTATTACCACATAGCTGGTTAGCCTCCATCAACAAGATGGAGGCTTTAAGTTTTCATTACATTTTTTTTTTTTTTTAAGTTTATGGCAGAAATGAATGGGAAATATACTTAAAAAAATGCAGCAGGATACTTAAGTATTGTGGTATCCTTAAGATTGGGTTAAGGGAAGGTATACTTTATTGAGCTATCACAAGGGGATGTTCTAAACATATCTGTATGGTGAAATGTTTAGCAGTCACCATGGTGATATAATACACACACTGAACCAAAGGTAAAGGTAGCTGTTAACTTGAAACCTACTACTGCATGACATCTCAAGGTGGCACTGAGCATTTTGAGCTTTTGACATGTAGACAGATTAATGATAAAGGTGAGGTGAGGTAACCACATTCTAACATGGCTTGAACTAATACAAACATTCTATAACATTTCAGAACATGTCTGATCAGTACATTTTGTTTTTTGCAGAGTACATTCTACTATCTAAATAATCACAGTCTTTGTGATTTGAGAATTGCAGCAACTCAATTGTGATTTCAAATCGATGGTGATATATTGTGCATATAATACCTGTGTTGTATGTAGTAGCTAAATCACGTACAGATCATCTTTTCTTTTGTGAGATAAATTCATTTGTACATAGTCCCTGACAAATAAGGATCACTAATCCTCCTGTGTAGTGCGTAGTTCTTCTGTCTGTCTACGGTGGATGTCCGTAGTGCCTTCTGCCCCTAGTGCTGACGGTGTGCCACAACTTATCCTCGATATGTAAACTAATGACACCAGCAGAACTAAACCCTGTGATTTGATTTTCAGGCTGTGGAGACTCTGAAAACTTTTGAGAAAAAGGACAGTCGGGTCAAGAGTGCAGCAGCCACTAATCTCTCCGGCCTCTACTTCCTGGTATGTTGTGATGCTCAGGTCCTCTATAGGTACTGGTCACTGACATCTTCATGTTTACTTTTTGATTTTTACAATTTTTGGGGAGATAATACATTCAATTAATATAGCGCTTTTTGAATGCTCAAAGTATTTATAGTGCATTAGTCTTTCCCTCCATAGTTGGTGATAAGCTAGTAATGTAGCCACAAGTGCCCATGGATTGACAGAAGCGGGGCTGCATCATGGTCTTGCTGCTGTGTTGCAGCTCCACTGTGGGACTCTAATCTAGCTTGACACTTGTTTGTGTTTCCTTTTAAATTGGTTGCTTTTGGCACATGTTCTCACACATGCAGCTTTCATAGATGGGGGCAGCAACAGCAGAACACTGCTCTTCATGTGACTGTCACTGCAACAAAATTGGACCAACACTGCAGTCACAGCTGGGCCGGGTGCCGTCTCAGTGACGCATACATCATTCATACACTAATGTGGGTGCAGTGTCCTGTCTAAAAACATGACTGTTGTATTCCTTAGAAGAACGTAACAGTTGCTTTACTATAGGTTTCCATGGCAACAATTCCCCTTCAGAGTAGTTTCTGATCCTGAATCTGTTGTCTGCCTACAGGAGAAGGACTTTGAGCAGGCTGATCGCTATGCTGATCTGGCCATGAGCGCGGACCGTTACAACCCCGCTGCTCTCACCAACAAGGGCAACACTGTGTACGTCCAGCATGATTATGAGAAGGCTGCCGAGTTCTACAAAGAAGCCCTACGGAACGACTCCTCCTGCACAGAGGCCCTCTACAACCTGGGTATGTGCATCCTAGTGCTTCTCCTGTGTATTTGCACTGTTGTACTCCATCTGTGTTAACATGTTAGAGAAAGAACAATGGCTCAGTCAGATCAGAAGCTCAGGATTCTGGTGCAGTTCTCAAATCACAAAGGTCATTCATTCAGTAATAGAATGCAGAGAAGAACATATTGTTTTTAGAAAAATCCTGACATTCCTTATTGATTCTTTGCAGCTGATGTCATCAACATTCCCTGGGGGTGTGAAGCTAACTGTAGGCACCCCTCTGTTTAGGGCTTTAATTTAACACAATCTGAAGAACTAGATTAGTTACAGTTCTAAAGGTGAGATGATTTTTACTGATAAACAAGTCCCTCTCAAATAAGATTAAGGTCGCAAGTTAGTTAGCATTAGCCAACAGTTTTTTTTAGTTAGACCCTCTCACCTTTTTTGTTGGAAAAACCAAAAACAAAAACCACCAAAACAGGACCAGGAATGCTCACATTGATCACTATGAAAATGTGAGAAAAATGTTGTTTAAACACATTTAGTGTATTTTCTTGAGTTTTCAAATGTTAAAACTTTTTGGCAGTGTTTGTTAATGTTTGCATTATGTTGCAGTCCTTCTACCATAAACATACATGCAGAACACTCCCAGCGTGATGTCACTGCAAAGTATCAATTAGTTTGTCAGTTCGTACTTCAGTTTTCTCAAATTTGTATGTTTCTGGAGTTGTTTCTAACGCACTCTCAACAGAGATTACTTTTTAATTAACCTTTGTAACCTCAATTGTCACAAAACCATGTCGCCCTAATCGGACTTTCCTTAGACATGGGCTGGATTGTGCTCACAGTTGTTTATCTGGAAGATGAATGCTGATGATTTCCCTTTGCTCTCTGTCCTGTCTTCCTTTCACACACAGGTCTGACCTATAAGAGGCTAAACCGACTAAAGGAGGCTCTGGACTGCTTCCACAAGCTCCACGCCATTCTAAGGAACTGTCCACAGGTCATGTACCAGCTTGCCTCTCTGTATCCTACCCACACTTTCAACAGAACAATGGATTCACTCACTTCTCTGACCAGTTTGAAATCTTTTATCTTATTTTTCTTATTTTTAGTACTTTTTCACATTCAGGTTCAGGTTAGAATTAGGATTAAAGTTAAGTTTAAAAACAGGTCATTTGGTGCCAGTCCTCATCAGCACCATGCGCTCTTACTGCCACATGATTGGCTGTTGACTTGTCGATTAAAATGCGCATTCCTTATCATGGAGATCGACCAAAGTTGAAATCGAGATCTATCGATAGGCACAGCCCTACCTTAGACTCTTTCCTGGATGTTTGTCCTGTGATGGTGACTGGATTCTGTTCAGCGAAGTTTCCTGTGGTCATGTGCATGATGCATGTAGCATGTGATGCCTTTCTCTCTCATATGCTTTTCCAATACTGTTCGGTCTCCAGCTTTGGTGGGTCTGCTCTAGTGTTATTACCCTGCCATTCAAGTGGTCCTATTAAAATCCTAGACATTTGACTTAGTCGAATGATGTAGTGGTCATGTTTTCCTGAGCAGGCTGCGTTAGTTATGAGCTGGTGGAGGAACGTCCCCATGCAATGGACTGGCTCATGCAGGTGCTCACTGTGGTGCCCACAGACGCCAAAGTCCTGGCTAAACTGGGCGAGCTGCTCGACTGTGAAGGAGACAAGTCTCAGGCCTACCACTACTACTATGAGGTACTGTACCATACTCTTCACCCACAAAATGCACAATATATCATACAGTATTACAATGATCACTATCGCTAAAACACAAAAGCTACACAGACCTGCCAGCCTCCTTGGAGATGTTATGGTTGTGCCAGGGATTTTTAACAGTATCAACTAAAATCAGGGTAGATAAATGCCGGTGGCCTGGCCAAGTTACAGGTCAGATCTGTGGAGAGGCATTTTTGAGCAATAAAACCACCTACCACTGAATAAATGCAAGATATGTTTTAGACCAGGGTTTTTCAAATTGGGTGAATGTGAGCCAGATGTGCACCGTTATTTTTTCTTCACATGTGTCGCGCCTCCCTAGTGGCTCTTTGGCGCCCCCCCAGGGGAGGCAGGTCTCACCTATTGAAAACCTGTGTTTTATTTTACTATTATGTCCCTAAATCAAAATATGATCATTAATAACAGACCAGTGAGGTGCCGTCTTTCCCCAGGTTTGCTCCCGCTAGCGTTAGCAACCGGTTTGATTGACAGTGTTGCTAAGAGGAAGGGGTGTTGCCTTCAGCAGCCTGATTGACTGAATTTCAAATTTGGAACTTGGCTCCAAATTCAGCCCTATAAGTGCTAGCCTTGATGAAGTTTATTTGTATGAAAGTGAACACTGTGTATGTGTCACACTCTCCTGTCTCTTCTGTGTACGGTATATGGGCAGTAGTGAGCTTAGTACACATGAGATGTTATAGTATACAACTGCACAGATGTCTGCCCTCTCAGTCTTACAGGTACTTTCCGTCCAACATCGATGTGATCGAGTGGCTGGCAGCTTATCACATAGAGACGCATTTCTTTGAGAAGGCCATTCCATACTTTGAAAGAGCCATGCTAATACAGTAAGTTTACTCCAGGACAACAAAATTGCTATTTATTATTTATTATTGACCCGATGACCAAACAGCAATGAAACTGTGTGCAATTGAGGGGGAGAGGAGGAACTGTGTGATTGGCCTAACCGGTATCCCCTACAGCCAGGTGTTTGTATCAGAAAGTGGCTGTGGCCTCTAAAGTTTGGAGTTGACCAGAAAACTACAGATGTACCTCGTTTGTGCTAAAATGGCCAAAAAAGCACTAGGAACAGTAGACAATGCTATTAAAATACCATAGTGTTTCCAGTTAAATCTTCAAGGACACTATACCTGCACTATAAAAAAGCTGTTTCAGGGTTCTTATGACACTCTTTACTCTATACTTGCAGACCAACAGAAGTCAAATGGCAGCTCATGGTCGCAAGTTGCTTCAGAAGAAGTGGTAAGACACTTGCTTTTGTCTGTGTTTAAAAATTCACGCTCTCCTCGGGGTCACATAGACCTGAAGAATTTTTTATTTTTTTTCCTTTCCGCTCTCTTGGGGCAGGTCAATCAGACCCAAAAGTGCTGGTTGGACACTGCTTTTGTATCTGTCTTTGTCTTTTTCAAAACTTGATGAGATGTACTGTGAATTTTTTTTTTTTTAGCAATCTTTAATTGCTTATTTTTCAAACGCCATTTTGCCAATCTTCTCCCATTTAGATGAATATTGAATATTTAAAATGTGCAAATTAGAATATAATCCACAGATGACAGATTATAATAGCAGACACAAGCAAAATATGTCTTCTGTCAAAATTATTGTTGATTAAAAATGTTTCATGCTATTTCACATCTCTGCAGGAAACTACCAGAAATCCTTGGAAACGTATAAAAAAATCCACAGCAGGTTTCCAGAAAATGTGGACTGTAAGTTTAAAGTTTGCTTTTAAAGCTGTATGTGGTGTGGAGGAGCTGGCTCTGACTGGGTCTTGTATGCAGGCCTGCGCTTCCTGGTGAGGCTGTGCACTGACAGGGGTCTGGCAGATGCTCAGGAGTATGCTGGAAAACTCAAGAAGCTGGTGAAGATGAAGGAGCTCCGGGAACAGGTATGCACCATCAGGCAATACGATTCCCTTACGGTTCCTTACCATACATGACTAACGACACCGATAATAACATGATAGGCAATACTGCTATAATCACTGTACCGAACATGGTATTCAATATCATTTTTAATGTGGGACTAAATGCCCAATCTCCATCCATAGTAACAATTCAAAAGCTGCTGAACTTGGCAGTGCCTAGAGGCCTCATGAGGAGTATGCGGGGAAGGGGTGTAGCTATTCCAGTTTGTCGAACTCCGCCCCTGCAGCTGTGTGTGTGCGTGTGTGTGTGTGCTCGTGTGTGTGCATGTGTGCACGTGTCTAACTCCGTCTCTACAGGTTTCTGTCTAACCCAGGCCCTGCATGTACATCTAACTCCTTCCCTGCAGGTGTGTGTCCAACTCTGCTCTGCAGGGGTGTCTGTGTCTAAGTTAGAATCAGAAAAAAGTTGAGTTTTTTGTGGTAAAATCAGGCATGGCATTCCATACAAATATCTCTAACAAAATGTCATGTCAGACAATATACACTGCTCAAAAAAATTAAAGGAACACTTCAGATCACATTGTGAAATAAATATGCTGGATATTAAATATGGACAGGGCAATGTCTTAGGAAGAAAGCTCTCCTAGAGTAACTGCCTGTCTCCTGAAATCTCCTTCATGTTCTGGAGATTGTGCTGGAAGACACATTCAATCTTCTTGCAACAGCACATCCAGATGTACCACCCTGGAGAAGTTGGACAATCTGCATCTTCTGTAGGGTTCAAGGGACAATGGGCTTCATTTCTTAGTGAGCCAGAGTGTTGGAGACGTGTGGAGACACTTTTTAAAAAAAATATTCCATCCAGTCCTTGTATTTGCAGAGGTCACTGGTGCTAGACTAGTGCATGTCAATGGTCATAGTTCTCCTGCCACTAAAAACAGTCTTACCCACTCCACAAAACACCCGAAACAAATCTATTATTACACCAGACTGTCCATGTGAATGTCTGTGTTGATAGAATAATGTCTGATATAAAACTAACCTTACATCACATGAATTGTCACATGTTGAGGGACTATTATTTTCTCATATATCAGTCCGCTGCTGCCGAGCTTTCTCTCAGGAAGTTCAACTCACTGCTGCTGCTCACACAGAAATCCTTCAAATGCAAGATTGGTTTTACCTAAAATTATTCCATCAACACAGACACTCACATGGACAGTCTGGTGTAATAACAGAATTGCTTTGGGTTTTGCTTTCGGGGGGCAGGATAACTGTGGCCATTGACATGCACTAGCCTAGCACCAGCGACCTCTGCAAAGACAAGGACTGGATTGAATATTTTAAAAAGTCTCCACACGTCTCCAACACTGTGGATCACTAGGAAATCAGGTCCTATGTCCAAAATTTGTCTAAACTGTCCCTTGAAGTAATGGCCTCATACTCCCAGTAGTGATCACTGCAGCCAAAGCAGCACTTGAGGAAAAGCCAAAAAAGACCAAGAGGGAGAAACTTGAAATGACCTTCACATGTAAAACCAGTCCTGTTTTAGGGTTTGCTCTAGTGTCACCTGTTCTTCATTTCCATTAAAAGAGGAGCATCCTTTTGTTCCTAAGACATTAACCTGTCTGTATTTGTAGAGATGTCAAATTTATATTATTTCACATGGAGAAAGTGTTTCTTTCATTTCTGGAGCAGTATAGTTGTAGTTTTCTTGCTCAGCCTATTTGTCTGTTCTGGTGCAGAGGGTGAAGTCAGGACATGAAGGCAGTGCCAAAAACCGGAGAGAGGGCAGTGCTGGGAGCACAGGTGAGTCTTGGAGCCCGCAAAACCTGGGTTGCAGCCACCTCACCTCTTCCTATGCTGGTTTTTATATAATAAACACATATTTGTACTAGTATTTTTGGTTTATATTTACAATAAACAAATCAGTGAGTTGTACATCAGTAAAACCTAATAACCGCCTGTCTCCCTCTTCTGCGCGGCATAGAGGACATAAAGACAGTCTGTCAGTCCCTCACTGCTGCTGTCCCTCAGTCTGTCCCTCACTGCTGTCCTCTGTCCCTCACTGCTGTCCCTCACTGCTGTCCTCTGTCCCTCACTGCTGTCTCTGTCCCTCATCCCTCATGTCCCTCACTCTGTCCCTCACTGCTGCTGTCCTCTGCTGTTCATCACTGCTGTCTGTCCTCTGTCCCTCACTGTCCCTCACTGCTGTCTGCTGCTGTCTGTCCCTCACTCACTGCTGTCTGTCCCTCACTGCTGTCTGTCCCTCACTGCTGCTGTCGTCTGTCCCTCACTCACTGCTGTCTGTCTGTCACTCTGTCTGTCCCTCACTGCTGCTCTGTCCTCTGTCCCTCACTGCTGTCGTCTGTCCCTCACTGCTGTCTCCTTTGCTTTGGATCCTCCCTGGATGAGTGAAGCTTTCATTAATAAGTTATTTAATGCTAATCAACAATACACCAGACACTGAGACTGTGGCTGAATCATTCAGATAAAAACAACTTTCAGAGCCTACAGCATGATTAGCTGCCGAAATTCAGTTCTACCGTGAGTCTGGAGCTTTGTAAGTCTGGTAAAAGGCTTTGGCTTTCTTCGATCTCTGATGATGTGTTTATCCCGGTGCAACAGTAATCCACAATCCCTGAAACTCCAGTAAAGTTTGTTGATTGTGGCCCACACCATTTCTACTAGAATTCTCAGCTGCAACCACTGAGAACAACCTTAACTGAACACAACTTCAGATGTGAAATGAAGACTGCGTATTCTTGGTACTAATTGGAAGTTTGTGGATCTAAGCCTGTTCAAGATGCCTTCATTTGAATGGCAGCTATTAGGGAGGGGAACTTGTGAGTGAGCCAGAGTTGGGGACAGGGGACCAGGGCTCTGCTGGTAAACAGGTCAGCACTGAGTGCTTCCACAGACTACCTGAGAAATTTCCCTCAGCTGTGCCAAACCCGCAGGCCCATATGGTTTTCTGTTCAGCACAAAATGTCTCTGTCTCTGCTCATATTTTTACAGTGAAATTTGTTCATATCATTGTTAAAGAAAAGCATGCACATAACATTTATTTGAGGCTAAATGAATGACTTTGTACTAGTATTAGCCCCTCAAGCAATGAGGACATAATCAGCAACTGTTTCCCAGTATTCAGAGGTTCATTCACCTAACTGTAAGAAAATAGTGTACTACAAATGTTGCATCATGTAATGTTGTCATACCAAAATAAGTAATGTACAGATGGCTTTTAGATATCATATTTAGTGTTTGAGTAAACTAGATCTAATTGGAAATTGTCGTAAAAATGTCAAAATTTTTGACATTTTACCACATTTTTTCAAATTATAAATCTACTGTAATCCCATGCAGTTGTTATAGTGGATTTAATGGACACAAAAACGTGATAGCTTGTGTGTCTGTCTGATGCATGTGCTGTATGAATTCTCCATGTTGACTGTTGAGGAGGTGTGAACATCGGGGGAGCGTTGAATTTATCTGCCCCCTCTGAAAGCTGGCCCTGGTCCCACTAAAGGTCCACCTCCTCCTGTGTTTGCAGACAGTGGACACAGCAGCAGCAGCCGAGGAGAGCGCCTGAGCTCCAGACTTCGCTCACTGCCTGGGAACCACGAGCCCTATGAGACCAGCAATCCCAAGGAACTGGGTGAGACCTGGGGGCGTAGAGGCAGGAGGATGGGATAGAGACATGGGAGGGTGGAAGAAAGAAAGATGTTTTTATCTCACATACAATCCCATCTTTTTGTTCCCACTGGAATTGTCGCGTGTGCGCAGATGCATCCTATGTGGACCCCCTGGGACCACAGGTGGATAGGCCCAAGACTGGAGCCAAGAAGCGTCAGGAGGAGGACTTTGAGGACGAGGAACTGGGGGACGACCTGCTGCCTGAGTAGTCCCTGTCCACAGCATAGATCACAAGTGCTCTCACCTGTATTTCTACCTCATTTGGTTTCCTGTAGTTTTTTTTGTTTGTTTTTCTTTTTGGGGGGGGGGGGACATTATTGACATTATTTTCATTATTTTCCACAATAAAAGTGGTTTCTTTCTTTTCTGTTTTGCTTCTTCTTTTGCTCTTCGCAGCAATTGCAGCTTCTAGTGTTGAAGTTTGAAATAAAGTGATGAGCGCCCTCTGTGTCAGTAATTCTAAACAGAACAAGGGAAACATATTCTTCCTGATTCAGTCAATGCCTTACCCCCTCCTCCTCACTCACCCATCCCTCTCCCTCACCTCTTCTTTACCTCTCCTCCCTCGTCTTTGTGACCTCTCTTCCTCCTTCACCTCTTCCTTACCCTCACTCCCATATCTCACTTGTTCTGTCTCATGACACCCCACACCCGTTCCCCCTCTCATCCTTCCCTCCTCTTTTACTACTTCCTCCCTTCCTCTCCTCTTTCTTCTCCTTACCGTTCTCCCTCCCCGCTCCGTTCCTCACCCTGTCGTGGCTAGTGTTATTCGAATGGTCCAGCCCACGTCTCACGGAAATGTCCCGTTATACCTTCGGCTCAGAAGGAGCTGCGTGGCCCGTTTCCCAGCGAGACTTCACCGCGCCACATGTCCTGGAATACATCAGTGAGGAGCGCACTCGGGTGAGTAGTTCGTGCGTCACCGGCGCACCTGCTTTGGACCCCTACAGTGGCCTACTGGGTTTCAGAATGTGGTCATGCCATTCTTTCAGATGCGGGCAAGAACCAAAGTTTCTTATTAATTACACTGTTGTTTGTCATGGAATCTCAGAAAGGTCTTCGTATCTTGTAAGCTAAATGCCACGTGTAGAGGTTTGTCGTCATTGTGCGCTGTGTTTTGTGTTTTTTCAAAGTGCGATGCTGTTGCGTAGACCGAGCCTGTCTGCCCTGCTGTCCGCTTGGCTCCTGCTTCTGTCTGCGGGCCCGGGGTTTGTCCCTGGAACCGTCTCTGGGGCCGGACTGATCCGTAAGAAGCCTCCTGTGCGCCGCGGGTGCCTGCCCCTCCCGGAGGAGATCCTGGAGCAGATGTACGGCCGGCTGACAGTGGGAATCATGAGCGCCTTCCACCACGCGCTGCAGCTGGAGCAGAACCCTCAGCAGCAGCACAACGCCAGCTGCCCATTCGCCGCGTGGGCCTCAGCCGCCTCAGGGCCCCGGCTCCCGGTCAACCTGCTCAGCATCTCGCCATGGGCCTACAGGTTAGTGCGTGGGGGCTGTCACACTCGAGCACTATATGAACTATCTGCCATGGTTCTAGCGGAGACGGACCATCACTGAGCAAAAGCCAAAACCCCGGTTACTCTGGTCCTTTACTGACATCTAACGGCGAATCAAGGAAGTGGGATTCTCTGTGATAAACACTGCTCCCCACTCCACAAAACAGAACCTGCTTAGTAATTCGTTAAACGCTTATTAAACCGAGACGTGAAGGTTCCACAAACGTTCTACTTAGACAGTCCAATCTAACCAAGACATCTTGGTAAACAGTTTGAAAATTCCATTTCATGTACTATCAAAACTTAAGAGACACTTTTTCTAAATTAAATGTCTATCATTTGTTTTCTCTGCAATTTTGTCATAACTTATTGAAGAACATAATTCACAGTTGGCTTTTTGTAATCCAGAACTACAGATTGCTCATACATGTTAAAGAATACAGTATATAATGTGCATAATTCTGTAAATAGTGTGCTGCTGAGAAGTTGTTTTTGTGCTTTAGGATGTCTCAGGACTCGTCCCGGTACCCGCGCTCCATTCCAGAGGCATACTGCCTGTGCAGGGGCTGTCTGATTGGTCCATATGGACAGGAGAGCGCAGACTTCCGCAGTGTTCCCGTCTTCGCTCCAGCCGTGGTGCTGAGGAGGAATGGCCCATGTGTGGGTGGGCGTCACACCTACAGCGAGGACTACATCTCTGTGGCTGTAGGCTGCACGTGTGTGCCAACCATGGAGCCGGAGCCCAGGGCCCCACAGGGCAACAGCATCTGAGGGCAGCACGGTCTGAGGGTCACTCCTGGAGACTGGTCAAGCAGCTCTTCTGTGTTCTGCTGGATCTAAATGCACAGGTGTTAACTCCATCAACTCGTAATTCTCTAATAAATGTTGTTGGTTCTGTACTACGCTTAATCTTATTGTTAGCTATAAAATATATGAGAGAGAGACACCAGATCTTATCACTACACAAAAGGAAAGGCCTTGTTCTTATTTCAATCTGGTGTTTTGGTTGGAGATAAAATGGGTCATTCTCTCGGTTTCTTCTGGAAAATCCTCTGCCACATTTGCTGTCACATATGAAATCCTACAGGCTTTTTACAACATAAGTTATAATGCTGAACTACTCCTCTGACCAGCACTAACCATAATGGAATAATTGGAACGCCAAAACCAATAGACAATTTATGTACAGTAGACTGACACATGACATTAATCTGAGATTACCCTTCATACATGAAGAAGCAAATAATCACCTGAAATGTGTGTGTGCTGACTGTTCCCAACATGTTTTTAAATGACATGTTCAGTCTTTTCATTCATGTGTTTGAACCAAATGTGAGACATTCAAGTCTCTGAATGCCTCACATTTGGCATTGGACGTTTGCTGTCACATATTTGTAAGTTCTCCAAGTCTGAGGCAGTCTGAGGTCCACACCCAGGGAGGAATGATGCTATAAAGACTCCAGTACATCTAGAACTCTGCTGCCGGCCTCCTCACCCGCACCTCCTCCTCACCCGCACCTCCTCCCTTGAACACATCAGCCCTGTCCTCAGAGATCTCCGCTGGCTCCTCGTCCCCCAGTGCATCCACTTCAAACTCCTCACCATCCCTCCATAACCTGGCCCCCACCCATCTCCCTCTCTGAGCTCCTCCACCACCGCACCCCCACCCGTGCCCTCCGATCAGCTGTCGCACAAGACCTGGGGGAACAGGGCCTTCTCCGCTGCTGCCCCACCCTCTGAAACTTCCTGCCCAAACACATCAGACACTCATCCACACTCCCCATGTTTAAAAAAAGCCCTGAAAGCCCATCTCTTTAAAACCACCTTTCATTAACTGTCTTATTTCTTTTGTTTGTCTTTGTTTGGTTCATGTAAAGCGTCTTTGATTATCTAGAAAAGAGCTACACAAGTGTTACGTATAATAATAATAATAATATTATTATTATTATTATTATTATTATTATTAATAATAATATAATAATAATAATAATAATAATAATAATAATAATAATATAATAATAATAATAATAAAAAGATGGTCACGTTGAAGCCATTTTTTCTTTCAATAATCGTATCGTCCCAGAGGTTGAGTGTTGTCCTGCCATGACTGGGCCTGTGAGTGCACTGCACTTAAGTGTTCCCGGAGGGGGCCCCGGCCGACAGCCCAGAAGAGGGGTAGTTGGTGTAGCAGCGGAAGTCATTGGAGAGGTTACGGTGATGTTGAGGGAGGAAGTCACACATGTCCACATCCAGCAACTCTTTGGCTGTACTCTGCATCACTGCCCTACAAGAGCACAGACAGTTTACATACTCTGCATAACCAGCCGTAAACTACTACTGCAAGAATACCAGCACTAGAAAATGTAAGAAACTAACCATTGAATTTATGTGGTATCTTTTCAAAACACCTACAGTGAGTTACAATCCAATATTACTTCTACATTCCACTATTATTTCTACTTCTGATCTCTTCTCACCAGTGCACAGCAGCACTTTGCCTTTGCTCAAGTAACGCACCGTCTGAGCCACTTTGCTCAGACACTCGTGGGACAGGTACGGCGGGTCAGCCAGGACCACATCAAAGCTGTGCGGGTGGACGTGGGCGGGCAAAGCCAGGGGCTGATGGTAGTCGTAGAAGATGAAGTCGTCGCCGTACGAGGCAAACCTACGGTCATACTCGAGCAGCTGCACTGATACGTCCTCTGACCCAGCCACCACACCTTGCTTCAGCTTCTGGTAAACACTGGGCGCGCTCACACATGCTATCCTGAGCAACACACACACAAATACGTTTCTAAAGTTTTTGAAGCTGAAGAAACTATGTCAAATACAGCAACCATATTGTACCTTCCTCCAGGCCCTGCTTCCTGCACCAGCTCCTCTGCAAGCTGCCTGGCCGTGTCCTCACTGTACCAGAACTGACTCAGGCCCTGTACACACACATCATCACAATACAGTTTAAAAATGGACTGTTATGATGAGTAGCAATTCTAAAGAAAATATGATATACATTGAATGGGGGAAAACACACAATATAATTATGAGAGTTTTTGAAAGAAATGTCCATAGATCCACAAATGTTGAACCTTATCAGCATTTGTTATGAACTGACTCTACATACTTGTTATATTAACAGGATTTACAGAGATATTAACCATAAACCAGGTCAACAAATCTGCAATCAGACTAGCTCAGTTTGAACAATAGGGATTCTACAGTAGATTGTCATACTAAAACTAATACCGGTACTGACACTAAAACAAGTATTATCTAAACTTTGAGCAAGTATCAGGGCTTAAAAAGTCCCATTCAAAAGGACAGAAATAAACCTTTCCTGAATAGTTTCAGAATGATGAAAAAGTTCAATATTTTGTGTCTCTCATTTCAGAAAGTCAGACCCATATGGGTTCGGTCAAGTGGTAACGGAGGGAAACGGGCAGATTTTTGACATTGAAATAGCTCTTATTCAGAAACTAGAGGGACTATTGAAATAAGTAAAGTATCAGAATGTAGGAAAGAGTTAACACTCCAACAGGGTAAAGTTAAACCTGTGATATTCTTTCAAGATGTTAACAAAAAGTTAAAAAACTCAAGACGGTAACGGAGGGAATGAAATATGCAGCACTTTTTGCGCAATAAATCCAAACAGTGATAACTCTTGGTTCTCACTTCCATATCCTTAACAAACTGGTTTGAATATTTGCTTCATATAGTTTTCTACCATATGGTACAAGATTAGGTTGAAAAACCTCTTACATTTTGACTCATGAGATTTTTTATTAAGAAAGGTCATGGTAACGGAGGGAAAATTGTGCAAGCAAGTAGAAGGTGCATGATTTTGTATAATTTGTCGCTTTTTTCTTCCGAATACTTTAATATTACTTCAAAATGAAAGGAAACTATTTCTATAAAATATGTCACTCCTTCCATGCAAATTTTTATCATTTTAAATACTTTTTTTTTTTAAATCATGTACCTTCATCAACAGTTCAAAGATGGAATAACACAAGATATGATGAAATACATCCATTTATTTACATGATTTGCAGGTCTTTGAAATTTGGGAAATAATTTTTGTTCCATGTTTCATACATGGTCTGTTTTAAAACATATGGAACTTTAGAACCAAAAATGGTATAGAAAAAAGGTCAACAGTTTCATAAACTAGAGTACATATGTATCTGTTCAATACATTTTTATATCAGATGCATTAACTTGAATTTTTGGCCTTGCTGTTTACTTCTGCTTGACCAGGCCCATATATTGTATAGAGTCATGACATTATTTCTTGAATTCTTATGATTATGGCTAATAGATAATGGAAACCCAAAATTCTGTGTCAGAAAATATCAATATTACATAAAATCAATAAAAATTACATTTTAAACACAAATGTCAGGCTTTCTGAAAAGTATGTTCATTTCTATGCACTTAATAGTTGGTTGTCCGTTGTCACCATATTTATTTATTATTGCAATGGAAATATTAGCTATTAAAGTTAGATTGAATACAAATATTGAAGGACTTATTAATAACAACACAGAAACAAAAATAACAATGTATGCTGATGACACAAATTTCCTTATTAATATTATTATTCCTAAATCTCATCTCCTTTTGAAATCCTTTTCTCAGTAAAATAAAGTTGAATTATAATAAATGTAAAATGTTGAGGATAGGCAGTTTAAAAGGTATTATTAATATTATTATTAATTAATTTATGAAACCAGTATTGACGTGCAAAATAGATTTTTTCAAATCAAAATTATATATAATTTTCTGCCCACACGGAAAATGTAAAAAAATTTGGAGTATGACAGACACTGATGAATGCCGTTTTTGCTTTTTGGAAGTGGAGTCCTCTGAACATCTGTTTTGGTGCTGCCATATTTTCTCTTCATTTTGGAGTGAGACAGAGAAGATGTGTTTAGAGCTGGGTTTGGTTTTTAAGTTTGATTTAGCCTCTACCTTACAGGGAGACTTTAAAAATAGAATTCATCTTGTTAATTTAATTATTACCCTGGAAAAAAGTTTTATTTTCAAAGCAAAAAATCGATTATCAGTTAATATTAACTATTTTTTAAACATATATTTACCAATACTTAACCTGGGAAGATTATACAATTGAAATGGACAAAGAGAAAGAAAAGTATAAAAAGAGATGAGAAGTTTTTAAACACCTGGGAGAAATATAATCAGTATATTTATATGCTAATCTGTTTAGGTAAACTTAGTTGTATATATAATTGTATATATTAATGTATATAATTTCTATGGCTAAAACCAAATAGATGTATTCATATGAATATTTGTATCCATATGGAAAATGGACACATACAAACATAATATACATATAATATACATATATAGTTACTTTCACATTATATTCAAATTTTCTGAGACACAGAAAATTAGAGTTTCCATTATCATCAACATGTCAAATAATAAAGGCTTGAAAGCTTCAATCTGGTCACTGTGACACTGCTCTCAAGAGAAAATGTTGGAAATAGTGGGGACTTCTAAAAAAGTTCTACGTCTAATTGTAGTTGTAGAAATGATGTGAGTTGAACACAGTTGAGCTTTTACCCAGTCCTCCCCCAGGGCTCCCACTGCAAACTGCTGGGTCGGTTCAGGGTCCAGGCTCTGGACGCCCAGTGTCTCAGCGTAAAACTCCTGCAGCGCAGCCAGAGTGTGAGTGGACAGAGTGGGCACGTCCTCCTCACTGTCACTCATCATAAGACCGACCAATGAGGAGCCACGACCACCAGACACACCCTCTCAGCACCGCACACCTGGTCCAAAGATGGAACTACAGAGGGACAGAGGACACTTCACTGGACTACAGAGGGACAGAGGACACTTTACTGGACTACAGAAGGACAGAGGACATTTCACTGGACTACAGAGGGACAGAGGACATTTTACTGGACTACAGAAGGACAGAGGACATTTCACTGGGCTACAGAAGGACAGAGGACACTTCACTGGACTACAGAGGGACAGAGGACACTTTACTGGACTACAGAAGGACAGAGGACATTTCACTGGACTACAGAGGGACAGAGGACATTTTACTGGACTACAGAGGGACAGAGGACATTTCACTGGGCTACAGAAGGACAGAGGACACTTCACTGGACTATAGAGGGACAGAGGACACTTCACTGGACTACAGAGGGACAGAGGACACTTCACTGGACTACAGAAGGACAGAGGACATTTCACTGGACTACAGAGGGACAGAGGACATTTCACTGGACTACAGAAGGACAGAGGACATTTCACTGGACTACAGAGGGACAGAGGACATGTCACTGGACTACAGAAGGACAGAGGACATTTCACTGGACTACAGAGGGACAGAGGACATTTCACTGGACTACAGAGGGACAGAGGACATTTCACTGGGCTACATATATGTACCACTTGCGAGGGGTTAAACAAAAACAAAAAGCATTCCAAATAAACAGCCCAAATTAAATACTGTAGCCCAGTTTTGAAAAACTGAAAAGTAAAAAAGTGAATGAATACTTACAGGAAAAAGCGAGCATGTGGGCTGTCGCAGAATGATGACGTAGAGCCTTTGGCTCCGTCCGAAAATGGGCTAAGATACCTCCTTCCTTATTCGTCCTTCTTGTTTTATTATTATTATTATTATTAGTAGTAGTAGTATTGTTATTATTATTGTTATTATTACATTTTTGATACATATATATACAAAAAATATACAGTATAAACACATAAAGCAGACATTTACAATCATTAATAACATTATCACTGACCCCTGAAAGCTGAGGTCGACTATAAGGACCAAGGAGGAGGAAGAGCAGAGAGGAGAAGGAGCTATCGAAGCTCTAGGTGGATCCAGATCCTCCAAACCAGCAGCAGGAACTAGTCAAAACTACAACTCCCAGAAAACAGACTACAACAAGCACATCATCTCCACTACTGCGCGAGTCTCATGAGAATGATTTACTATTAAACAGAAGGTAGTCGATACTGTAGAAATCTGTACAGCTTTGAATGTTTTCACTTAAACTCTGACCCCTCCTAGTGTGAAAGTAGAGCGTTTCCTCCTTTCCTGTCCTCTTTTATTTCCCCCTCCTTCCTTTTTTATTACTTTACTTATTATTTATATTATTTGTAAATTTTGTACGATGCAGTTCTTGAATGTAAAGCACAGTTCTTTGTACACTGCATTATGTATATACTGCTTTACTTTTCAATTATAAAAAAAAAGAAGAAAAAAAAAAAAAAAGAAATGAGAATGATTTACATCTTTCAGTCTTTTCATCACAAGGGAGCCGACATAAATAAAGTGACTGTACATGAGTGAAATGTTAAATAAAAACCTGCACACAGTCGTTATTACGAAAGAGCATTGTAGTCAGTGAAAAAAAAAAAAAAATCTGGACGGGGGAGGGGAGGGGGAATTATCTCGTAATTACGAGATACTATCCCTAATTACGCTCTCTAGCATCAGGATCCGCAGTGGATCCGCTTTCGGTCCGCCAAATCCGCCCCACAGTCCGTCCGCTTTGCGGATCCGCTGCATATTTGTTCCGTATTCGCTTTCTGACTGTTGCTAACCCTAACCCTTGGATGGCCTGCTGTTACAGAGAGAATATGCGGTTAAATCATCTTAGATCCGCACTGTGAACGTACTTTTAACACAATACTTTGTTTTTGACACAATGATTTGTACTATCAATGCGCGGATCCGCGGCTAAACCGGCTTTCCACCTGAATGGAAAGAAGCAGCATCCACCTGTTGTCCGCGGATTTAACTGTAAGTAATAGTTTAAAAGTTAATTGTATTAGTCATCATTAATGTACATAACGTTAACGTTATATTGTGGTGTCTGTACATTTGTGACTGTGTTTTATCAGTTTTGACACGTGCAGTAGGAAAGTTAGCGACAGTAGCAGCTGACGTGATGAAGACGATGTGAGGTCAGGAGTCAGGATAACTCCGTCTCTTGAGGTAGATCCCAGTCTAAATACTATTTTTATATAACGCTACTTATATTCTTGTATATTTTTACGATCACAGAATTGTAATTCTGCTCCGTGATCATTGGTCGTGTCTAACGGGCTCGGTTCTGGCTGGATGCCGCTCTCGGCGCTCTCCCTTCGGCTGTGGAGCGACGGTGACACCGGTGTCTGATCTGGTTGTGTTTTTAACCAGAGATAATTATTATTTGTGTAGACTAGAGTGTTGACTGTTGGGTTGAGACTAAAGTGCAGTCATGTCAGTGCCTTAATACAATAATTTAACGCAACGTGCCATAATACAATAACGTAACGTAATAAAAAGCACAACTTTTAACAACAGCTAACGTTATAGCTAACCAACCAAAACTTATGTTGTTTTTCCCCAGATGACATCAGGAGCCCCTGTCCTTCTGCTGAGTGTCCCCATCAGGAGCCCGGCACGCTGATCAGAAGTAAGTACTTTTAATGATTTTTGTGACAGTGAAGATTTAGTTTAGAGCCAGATCTGACTTTGTCTCTAACTTTCTGTTATGGGACTTGAGACGGTGCTTCAGACTTTCAGTGAGAGATGTTGACATGAACACTAATGTGTCACATCTGTATTACACTGATATTGACTATTAACACCATCATAAATTGATTATTATATTTTAAATGTTGTGGTAAAAGTAAATGTAGTAAAGTATTGTGTATTAACAGCAGTGAAATATGTCTCATGTTCATACTCAGGCTTATACTAAAACAAAAGAGTTCAGTTTTACTGCGCTAAAGTATTTCCTATGAGTTAAATCATGTTTTTCATCTCAGTTTCAGAATATACTATGGTTAATAAGAAGATGGACATAACAGCATTATAAAGACCCTCTGGAGGTAAATACTGCACTTGGATTAAACACTGTGGCCTGAAATGATCCAAACTGATATTTGTGTTTCTCTTATTTGATGTATTACAGGATTCCCTCTGCTGGGCCAAGTTCCAAAAATGTAGAGACAGACCCTCTGTAAGTTTACTGTATTATCCTACTTTTATTAACTTTCATAACTAAACATATGCACATTATAATCACACCTGTTGTTGTGCATATTGTTTCTTTCAGAACATGCTGTGGTTGAGTTTAAAGACTGACCCTCTGTAAGTGCACAGATCTCTCCAATCAGGTATTCACCTTTCATGTTCAAATCACACAGCCACTGTCATGGCTTACAATGTTCTTAACAAACCTGAACTCTAACTCCTTACAAGAATAAGAGGTGTAATGGGATGTTTAATACACACTGGTGTCATTTCAGATGCTGTGAGAAAGGGGAAGTCCAGAGCTGGACACTGACAGACTGGATCTTCACCAGTAGGACTGAAGAGGAGCCAGACTCACTACACCTCTGCCTCAAAACCTCTGCCTCAGACTGAAGCTAAAGACAGAGGCTCTGAAGCTCCCACACTGCACACTCTATAAGAACAACCATCCGTCTAATTGTACTGTGGTGGTAAACACAAGTTAAGTTTTAGTTTTAAACAGTATGGTATGGCTACACTCTGTCTCATCTGTCCAGGCTTTTACTCATATAGCTTATATTTGTTTTTTGCCATTTAAAAAAAAAACAAAAACTTTGCTTAACTTGAACTATTTTTAGTAAAAACTGTAAATTGTCATTTTCATATTAAGAATGAAGCATTGGTTAACTCAAAGGGTATATAAGTCCTATAACATTAATAATAATTATTCATGTCCTAAGATTTCTAATTAATGATTTATATAAATATTGTTTACAATGTAAAAAAAAAAAAGTTTCTTTTTTTCTTAACTAATGAGATTTAGTGATAGGATATCACTGATCCAACTTTGAAATTGTTTAAGTTTATGTTTTTAAATTTAAGCCTTTATATCCTAGTTTTAATACTTGCTGTAAAAGGTTTATGTACAATTACAATGCAAATGCTGCTGATGTGTATTTAGGTCAGTAGGAAGTGGATCAGAATTAAATCTGAAGCATATTTAGGCTCCTCACGACATAATAAAAAGATCCGCGGCAGATCCGGGGCAGATAACCCGGTTCCGAAAGCGGATCCAAAACGGGTCCCGGGCGGATCCGCGAGATACGCAGCGGATCAGCCGTGCCTCCGCCGCGGATCTGGGTTTATTTTGACGGATCCGCGGTCTGTCTCTACATTTTTGGAACTTGGCCCAGCAGAGGGAATGAGACATATTTCACTGCTGTTAATACACAATACTTTACTACATTTACTTTTACCACAACATTTAAAATATAATAATCAATTTATGATGGTGTTAATAGTCAATATCAGTGTAATATAGATGTGACACATTAGTGTTCATGTCAACATCTCTCACTGAAAGTCTGAAGCACCGTCTCAAGTCCCATAACAGAAAGTTAGAGACAAAGTCAGATCTGGCTCTAAACTAAATCTTCACTGTCACAAAAATTATTAAAAGTACTTACTTCTGATCAGCGTGCCGGGCTCCTGATGGGGATGCACTTTAGTCTCAACTCAACAGTCAACACTCTAGTCTACACAAATAATAATTATCTCTGGTTAAAAACAACCAGATCAGACACCGGTGTCACCGTCGCTCCACAGCCGAAGGGAGAGCGCCGAGAGCGGCATCCAGCCAGAACCGAGCCCGTTAGACACGACCAATGATCACGGAGCAGAATTACAATTCTATGATCGTAAAAATATACAAGAATATAAGTAGCGTTATATAAAAATAGTATTTAGACTGGGATCTACCTCAAGAGACGGAGTTATCCTGACTCCTGACCTCACGTCGTCTTCATCACGTTAGCTGCTACTGTCGCTAACTTTCCTACTGCACGTGTCAAAACTGATAAAACACAGTCACAAATGTACAGACACCACAATATAACGTTAACGTTATGTACATTAATGATGACTAATACAATTAACTTTTAAACTATTACTTACAGTTAAATCCGCGGACAACAGGTGGATGCTGCTTCTTTCCATTCAGGTGGAAAGCCGGTTTAGCCGCGAATCCGCGCATTGATAGTACAAATCATTGTGTCAAAAACAAAGTATTGTGTTAAAAGTACGTTCAAAGTGCGGATCTAAGATGATTTAACCGCATATTCTCTCTGTAACAGCAGGCCATCCAAGGGTTAGGGTTAGCAACAGTCAGAAAGCGAATACGGAACAAATATGCAGCGGATCCGCAAAGCGGACGGACTGTGGGGCGGATTTGGCGGACCGAAAGCGGATCCGCTGCGGATCCTGATGCTAGAGAGCGTAATTACGAGATAGTATCTCGTAATTACGAGATAATCCCCCCTCCCTCCCCCCTCCAGATTTTTTTTTTTTCACTGACTACAATGCTCTTTCCTACGTTATAGTTGATACATTGTAAAATTGAGTGTATTTATACAATAGATTTTATGTAATAATCCGGTGCAGTGTAGAACTTGTATAAAAGTATCTGGAAACGGTTGGTATGATCTGATTGTAGGATGCCTCGTGTGCAGATTAGACAGTTGTCAAAAAACAGTCTAACATAGACCCTTTAATGACAATACAGTGAATCAAAATTTCTGGTATTTGGACGCAGTTACTGTAAATTATCTGCGTTGAGATGTATTGAGTATACATTTGCAACTAACATTTGTCGCGTTTGGTAATTAAATAAATCAACTTAGACAAAAATGATAGTAAAAGTGCAAATCTAAAATTTTCGAGAAATTCTGAACTCAGCACGCGCAGAGGTTGGGCGCGCGCGACAGCCGGAGTAGGGGAAGGTACCGCCTTCCTCGCCTCTGATTGGCTCTCCTCCGATTGGCTGTTTCATTTGGCCACGAAAACGTCATCTCACGGCTGCCTTCTAACACACTCTTTTTTTTATTAAATTTTTTATTTTTTTAGTTATTATTATTACACACAACTGGGTGCAGAGTTTTTTAAACATTTTTGAATACATTTTATTAATACAAACAGTTTTTTTGAGACATTTTGTGTAGTTCTGTTTCAGAAGTTTAACATGAACATTTGGTTGGATTGAGCACAAAAGAAAAAAAGATGATCAGTGCTTTCAATCTCCTTTTCACAAAAAGTGCAAATGTTTTCATGAATTTTAAAGCGCAATTGAAGTAATTCTTTGGATGGGTATATGTTATTCATGATTTTGTAATGTGTTTCCTTTACTTTAGGAGCAACAGGAAAGGCCAAATACATTGTTCTCAGTTTTGTTATTGCTTCTTTATCAAATTTATATTGAATATCATTTTTTATTTTGCAAACCAGGGAACATTTTTCCTGTTAGAACTTTTCTAATGAAGTAATTATTGCATTTTCTGTCTGTTATTGACACTCCTTGTATTGATAAGGCAGGTATATGTGGGTGTATATTTTGGTTTGCCAAAATGTTCCTTGAGAGATAAAGAAATTCTTTAGGGAGAGCATTACATAAACGTATGAAGTCCAAATATGAGGGATTAAAATCATGTTTTGCACAGAATTGGTTGTAATTTAGTAAATTGCCACTTTCATTCATTAAGTGTGCTATTGACCAAATATTTCTTTCAAACCAGTCTTTGTAAAACAGTGATTTGTTACGATGTAGAATATATCGGTTATTCCATATTATTGTGGAGTGTGGAGAATAGTTATGAACATATAACATTTTCCAGTACAGTAAAATTTGCTTATGGAACTCTGATAAAGAGACAGGAAGCTTATTGATGTCAAAGTCACAAACAAGTAGAAGGTTTAGTCCACCCAATTTGTTAAAAATAAAGTTAGGGATACAGTACCATAAGGAATTATGGTGCTTAATCCAAGATTTGAGCCAATTGATTTTTAGGGTTGCATTGAGGCACTCTAAATCAATTACATTTAGACCACCTTCACTTGTTTCTTTCACTAGATGACTTTTCTTCATATAATGAGGTCTATTTCTCCATATGAAATTTAGATTAACTTGATTTATAGATTTGATTAAATACTTTGAAATGGCATTTGAATAGAGTGGGTATATACATCTTGATAAACTTTCCATTTTGGTCAAATAAATACGGCCTAATAATGACAGATCTCTTTGGAGCCAAATGTTCAGTTTTGATTTACATTCTTTAAGTTTGCTTTCTATATTGACCAACTGGCTTACTTTTTGTTCTCTACAGAGCTGAATACCTAAATATTTTATTTCAGTTTTGACAGGAATGTGGCAGATTTCCTTTATCTGAGTCTCATGGAGAGAGAGAAAAGTTCACATTTTTTCAGATTTAAAAATAATCCTGAGGCTTTAGAGAATTTAGCAATTTTGTCAATAGATTTTTGAATCTGGTGCTCATTTTTTAAAAATAAAGTTGTATCGTCTGCTAACTGACTGATAACAATTTCATTGCCCAGGACATTTAATTTTTGGATATCAGTACAGTTTTTAATATAAATAGCTAATAATTCAGTGACCAAGATGAAGAGGTACGGAGAGATTGGGCAGCCCTGAGGAATACCAACTTCTACGTTGAAGCTCTGAGTAGAGCCCTTTGAGAGAAGAACACAGCTATTTATGTTTTTGTATAATCCACCGATTAAATTTCTAAATTTGATACCAAACCCAAAATACTCAAGTGCAGATATAATAAATGGGTGTTCTACTGAATCAAAGGCTTTGTAAAAGTCCAAAAAGAAAATAAACCCGTGGTCTTCAATTAAATCACTGTATTCAATTAGGTCCATAACCTGTCTTATATTATTATGGATAGATCTACCCTTTAAAAAACCGGATTGAGTCTCTGCAACAATGTTTGAAAGCCCTGACTGTAGACGAGAGGCAAAGATGTATGTTAGGAGCTTATAGTCTGAATTCCTGAGTGTAATAGGTCTTCTATTTTCTATGATTCTAGGATCTTTATTAGGTTTTGGAATGGAGATTATAACCCCATGCCTCATTGTAACTGGAAGTGAACAGGTCTCAAAGATTTCTAAGAATACATGGTAAAGTAACTGTTTTATATCTTCCCAAAAGAATTTATAGAAGTTTCCGGTGAGACCGTCTGAACCTGGGGCTTTGTTGGGAGATAGTTTGCCAATTATGGCATCAAGTTCGACAATAGAGAGAGGACTATCACAGGTTTGTTTATAGTCCTCATTTATTTTTGGGATGTTATCTGAAACCTCTTTAAGAAAGGCTTCACAGTCAATTTTAGAAAATTTAGAGGTGTAAAGTTGCCTATAAAATTTAAAGATCTCAAAGGACATCATTCTTTCATCAGTAATTTCTCGGTCATTGATTAATATGGATTTTATGCAGTTTTTTTCCTGACGTCTTTTTTCTAGACCACAAAAATAGGCAGAGTTCTTCTCTCCTTCTTCTATCCACTTTGCCCTAGATCTAATAAATGCTCCTTGAGCTTTATGAATATACAACTGATCTAAAGAGGATTGAAAATGTAAAATGGTTTGTTTATCTTCTTCACTCTGAGTGGGTTTGTTACAGTAGAAATTCAATTGGTTAATAATGTCATGTTCCTTTTGTTCAAGATCCTTTTTCTTTTTTTTACTATAGTAGATTGAGAATTCACGGATTTTAAATTTTAGGAATTCCCATTTTCTTACTGGAGTTGAAAGTTCCTCATTGCATTTAATATCATTAATTAATGTTTTAATATGTTGGCAGTAATCCTCATTTTTGAGCAAGCTTGAGTTGAATTTCCAATATTTGTTAGAATATAATCTGCTCTTAGATTTAATGTGAAGATATATTACACTGTGATCAGTTAAAGGTGCTGCAGAAATATTACAGCTAAAGTTAGAATAGATTAAATTGTTTGAAATTAACCAGTGATCAATTCTAGATTTTGAGCTATAATTTGGGTGAAACCATGAAAATTGAATTAAATTAGGATTAAGATATCTCCAAGCGTCAGTTAGGCCAAGTTCGTCACAAAGATTATTAAATGTCTTATTAGGATGAGCTGAGGTGAATTTGGGGGGATATTTATCAAAAAAATCATCATTGACCAAGTTCAGATCTCCCCCTAATAATATATTCTCAGTTGAATGTGCCACTTTTAGGTGGTCCAGATGTAAAATTAATTCATTTAATAATTGTTTGTTGTCATTTTTATTATTGTACCCATAGACATTTACCAATATCAAATTGACATTGTCAATATTTACAATAAGAATAAGCCAATGGCCATTATCATCTGCCATACTATAAATTATCTGGCCAGCAAATTTTTTTTAGGAAGATAGCTACCCCTGCTGATCTGGAAGTGCCATGACTGAAGTAGGCTTTATCACCCCACTGTTGGGTCCAAAATGAAACATCATCTTCCTTTGAGTGTGTTTCCTGCAGAAAAAAATAAGTTAACTTTTTTCCCCTTACAAAATAAAAAGAGACTTTTCCTTTTTGTTAAATCTCTAAGGCCCCTTGCATTTACAGATAAAAGAGAAATTGAACTTTTAATATCAAACATATAATACTGAACAAAAGTGATTCACTGTAAACAGTAGAACAAACAACTAAGTTCTCAAAAGTGATACCAGCAAAACCCTGAATACTTTTAATAGAATATACCAACAGGACCATTTGATTTAAGGCACAACCCTCTGACCGTTGATGTAGGCATAAGGACCACGAAACATAGTCTTGTGACCTTCCCTCCTAGCTTGCTCCACTTTGGGCCAGACTGCTTTTCTTGCTTCTCGATCTTCTTTGCTGAGATCCTCCACGAAGCGGATGCTGAGGTCTTTGCAGATTTGATTGTTTTTTGTCACTCGCCACAGTTCGTCCCTGTAGATTCTCATGGTGAACTGCATGATGACCTGTCTTGGGTGGTTGGTAGTGTGTGGACCCACGCGATGCACAGAGTCCAGGATGAAGCCCATTTTCTCCTTCCAGTGTGGGGCAATCTTTGAGAGAAGACTTACAACAAGATCTCGAGTGTTCTCCCCTTTGTCTTCCTTTAAGCCGTTTAATCTTAAATTCCACCTTCTCTTGTACCTCTCTGCTTCTGCCATTCGACTTTCTACCTCTGCTGCCCTTTTCTCTAGATCTGCATTCTTCTCTTTAAGATGGATTACTTCACTTTCCAACTTTCTATTTTTTTCCTTGCAATCTTTTATCTGTGATGAGTTGTACTCTACAGATTTGGTGAGGTTAGTTAGGGTCAGCGTGTTTTCTTTTAGATCTTTCTGCACGTCGGTCAGCAGCACTCGGAGGTCCTGTATCTGGTCTGACTGGGTCTTGATTGCCGCCAAAACAGTAGCAACATACGGTGGCTCCGATGAGGAAAGAACATCAATATCATTCGGCTTAATCTTTTTTTGAGGTTGCGGAGGTTTCGTAGGTGAGGATAGGGCGTTCTTGGCTCCTTTAGTGTCAGTTTCCATTTCCATAAGCCCACAGTAGTCATGGGAGGCGAGCGCTTTAGCTTTAGCCATTCCCTTAGCATTAGCGTTAGCTTTGGCCATCAGTACCAGTAGATAAAAGTTTACCAGCTTTTAGTGTAACTTTTTCCGGTCCTAGCGAAGGTAAATGTGTTGTCAGAAATTGTCAGGGAGTTAATCTCAACTATGAATATTGGTCCAGTTTGAATTTATTCAGGTTTTGCACCAGAGAGCGGTTACTGAGCGTCTGAACCCTCCGCCATCTTTCCTTCTAACACACTCACTGCACCTCGCTCTTTTTCTTTTACTACAAATAAAGTTATTTATGGTTTACCATGACTCTGGTTTAGATTTTACCTTCTTACACAACTCTGGTATCTAAAATCTTAAAAATTCCTTTTCCAGAAATCTTCAAAGTGTGGCTTTTACTGGTGACCAACCAACACGGCAAACAAACAAGTTGACATGGCTGGAACTCAAACATCATAAACTCACTCACACCAACACAGAGACTTTGTCCAGATCCACACTTATTCAATCAAATCGGTCATGTTTGAGTCAGATTGTGGTGTCAGAGCCTATAGTTCCTACTCTACACTCATGGAAACGAGTGATTGGCTACGTATATCATACTCATTCATCAGGTTCTTTAAATAATACACAGTTGAACAGGGGCAGATAGGTTTGGAACACAGTGAGAACTTAAATGACAATCGCACACTACAGTGGAGTAAGATCATCATAATAATAATCACAGAGTCCATTAAGGCTCCTGACGTGATGAGAGACAGAGGTGACACAGATATGTTCTAACATGTGTCCTGCTTAACAGCGGCATGAGGGTCATGAATCCATCGGTTCTAGTATTTTTAAATTATATTTAAAAATCGAAATGCAGTAGTACTGTACAAATTATTACACGTAAAAATCACTATGTATCATACAAAGCATGTTCATGAATAAGATGCAACGACGGAGCCTAGAGCATCGCAGAACCAGCCCACAGCCTAAACGTGAGACGACGTTTTCGTGGCAAAAATGAAACAGCCAATCGGAGGAGAGCCATTCTAACCAATCAGAGACGAAGAAGGCGGTACCTTCCCCTACGATCCTTCGACTTGCAAATTCACCTCTGGAGCTCCGAGAAGCAGCCGCCCGTCCACCGAGCCCCCAATCTGCGGCCCTTGTACCGGAGGTCCCCAGCACCCTTCAACATCCTCAACCATGGCAGCGGATACCGAGCGAGTAGAGCCGGGGGAGAGCGAGGAGGAAGTGGAGGATGTGTACGAAGTGGAGAGGATCATAGATATGCGAGTGGAGGAGGTAGCTGCAGCACACTGTGGCGCTATGAACCAGAGAGACTAAACCAAGAGAGATTCCACACGGAGCCCACATCAACAAAACAATGCCATTTGAATAATGTTATGTTTGTAAATGTGTAAATGATAACTGGTTCTAGTCCTTTGCAATAGTTATTCTGCACTTACATCACTCATGTCTCTGTTAAAGAGTTTCATATTTAGCACTATAAACAGCGCTCACGTTTGGCATCTCCTTCCGGGCCATGGCTAGGTTTGCTAACATGGCTGGCATACATGGATATCCACCCTTTGTAAACTATAACGCGATCATAAATGTCAAGAGCGTGGTTTCAGCCTTTTGGTTCTGTAAATGATGCGGAATATGTAGTGCTTTTGTAACTACACTTCTGGCTCGTCTTGTCGCACCAGCCTGTACCATGTTGTCTGTGTCCCTTTCTCCCGAGCTCGGCCCCCGCTGAGGCCAAGGACGCAGCCGGCCAAAGGCTGCTCAGTTATAGAAGCACTGCAGCGTCCGTTCAATGTCAGATCAGGATCCACACGCCACATCCCAGGAGCACAGTATAATACAGAGCACTGACTGAGATTATTAGGCTTGCTTTAGTTAATTTTCGTTTACAGTTACAACAAAATCTCTATATGAAAAGAGTCTAGCTTTGGGAGAGAAAAGTTATTGTTGAATTGACGCTGCAAAATAGATGAATTGACTTGTTTGTGTATTAGACAGCTGAGGAGAACAGGCCAATCAAGATACACGTCACCTTACAGAACTTATCACCAAATATGTCCTTTTCAGTTGCAAGCCTTTTACAAAATAACTTGTTGTTACAAATAATCAGGAGACAGACACCCATACTGTTGGTTTAAGCCTTACCCTGCCTTCCTTGTTTCAGGGAGAGGTGCTGTATCGCGTGCGCTGGAAGAACTACTGCTCAGATGATGACACGTGGGAACCCGAGGCCCACCTGGAAGACTGTCGAGAGGTTCTCCTTGCATTTAAGAAGAACATCGCAGAAGCCAAGTCCAAGAAGGAAGCAGAGGCCAAAAAGAGTGTGGTACGCCCCCCACCCCTCATTGTGCAGGAGTCTAACCCTCACCATTCTGACTAAGAATAGAAGACAAAATAAACACTCTGCACAGTAACACTGGGAGGACATGCACACTCCACTCAGAGATCAGGAGTCTCTGAGTGGAGTGGGTCAGTGGAGGAGACAGGAAAACCACTCTGCCACAGTAACATCGGAAGTATATCTTTGCTGCTATCTATAATTACTGATGGTCTGATATACATTTTTTGAACCTTACTTACTTACTGTTGCTGGTACAGATAATTGCTATTCGCAGTTTCCACTTTTTCTCTTTTCAAATCTATTGTATAGACCAAGTTTGAGGGGGATTCATGCTCACTGGCCCTGATTTACTAACATTGCAGTGAAAAGGGTGTATATTTTCCTGGGACGGCAACATATGGAACCGTACCCCAAGGCCCGTCCAGACCAGAGAGAAAGCATTTTATCCTGAGTGCTTCTGTACCTTTACCAGTGATGACTGGTGCTGTTGCCTAAACTCGGGCACTTCTGCTCTGGTCCAATGCACAGCATGTTGTGTCTGAAACTATGCTACTAGTTTTCTTGATAACTAAGCATAAAGTTATGATGATGATCAACAATAGTTAACTAGCAAACATGCTTATGATTGCCAAACTACAGTAATTAAACTGCATTTCTGGCTCAACTAATCCTGAAAAAAACAATACATTAATGGGCAATAGGTCATGCTTTAAAAGATTCCTCTTCATTTTGTCATTTTTTAAAAATGGATGTGTGTAGTACGCCACCTCCGAACCTGCTGTACAATTTGTGCACACCGTGCACTCACTTCAATTTTGATAAACCTTGTTTACGTGCTGATTTTGCACGTATTTTTTGTAAATGAGGGTCAGTGTGTTGACACTCTGAAGCACACTTAGCGTGTGGAGCAAAGGGAGGGGGACTGAGAGTGTCAAAATTAATACACTGTTTCTGGCAAATATAGCATTTTGAAAACAATACAAAAATAACATGGTCATCTAAATATGTTAGTTAATATCCCATAGAATTTAAAGTCTTCCTCTTTAACTTTTCACTTTTGTAAAAAATAACAGAATGTATTTATGTGGGATAGAAATTCATATTTCTATTGAGATTTGTCGGTACAAAAAGACATATCTGATGCACTAAGGACAAACTGGTATTGACACATGGGCACATAGAGGACCCTGCACTCAGAGACATGAACCCTCAGGACACAGCTAAGATTACAAGACTGAGCTGGCAGTGAGAGCCCTCAGTATACCACAGAAATGGAATTTGTCTAACGCTGACCAATCACAATATCTGGGGAAATTCTCCGATATCGCTGATAACTGATAACCAGTGTACCATCCCTCTCTGTAATGGTGTCATCTTTGTCACCTTTTAGAAAGTGCTTCCTGCCAAGAGCGACCTGTTGATCGCAGACTCTGACAGTGACAGTGACAAAGACCGTCCCACTGACCTCCCAGTCAAGAAAAAGAAGAAGAAGCAGCATATGGAAGAGCCGCTTCCGAAAGAGAAGAAGAAAAAGAAGAAGAAGAAGGAGCGACATCAGGATGACTTCAGGCCACTGCCCGCCCCAGAAACAGATGAGGAGGATGAGCCCACCACCACGCCGCCTTCTTCACCAAAGAAGAGATCAACCCACTCCGAGGATGAGGACGAACAGGACACTGTGCCAGCTAAGAAACAAAAGAAGGACAAGAGCAAAGAGGCGCCCAAAGCCAAGCTTAAGGCTGAGGAGATCAAGAAGAAAAAAGGCAAGAAGGAGGTGAAGATGGACACTTCAGATGATGACACAGCTCCTATTGAGGAGGACATCAGCGAGAGTCTGTCTGAAACACCCGCTGAAGACATCACTTCAGAAACTCTCAGGACAGCCCAGAGCATCTACCTGGACGACAAGTTCAAAGAGAAGAAAGGCAAATGGGAGGTGAAACTGCAGGGCTTTAAAAACCTGATCCAGAAGAAGGAGACTAAAAAGCCTGATACCTCACCCAAAGAGAGCAGCCTTCAGAAGCTCAAGAGCCTGACGTCTAAGGCCAAAGAGGACTTGGCTCCAAACTCCTCCGACTCCAGCGACAGTTCCACGGCCCACAGGAAATCCAAGAGCAAAGACAGAGCTACAACCCCCTCTTCTGTTTCAGCTACACCCAGCACCAGACCCAAGGAGGAGAGGCCCAAGGAGGAGAGGCCCAAGGAGGAGAGGCCCAAGGAGGAGAGGCCCAAGGAGGAGAGGCCCAAGGAGGAGAGGCCCAAGGAGGAGAGGCCCAAGGAGGAGAGGCCCAAGGAGGAGAGGCCCAAGGAGGACAGGCCCAAGGAGGACAGGCCCAAGGAGGACAGGCCCAAGGAGGACAGGCCCAAGGAGGACAGGCCCAAGGAGGACACTCCAGCACAGAAGGATTCTACTGGCAGCACCAACCTGTTTGAGAAATTTCTGTTGAACTGTGAGGCCAAGGACCGAGCGCCACGGAGACCTGCACCGCCCCCAGAGAAGAGCGCCAGCAAGCCCCTCAAGGTACTGCACCGTGTACTGCACCCTACTTGAGAATTTAGTACTTGTTTCCATGGAAATGTCATCGCTCTGCCTGGAATGTTCCACAATTTGACAGTAAACAGTTCTACCTTACATGTATTCAATTACATTTGTTTCTATTGCTCAAAAATACCTAGAAAAACAGGCACTCTGACTATGAGCGGGGTCTCCTCTTCACAGATCTGATCTATAGCTAGATCTGGTTTGATAGAAGATAGAAAGGTTTAATGCCATGCTGTGAAACATTTCCGACAAAGCAATAACATCTCGATGAAGACAAGCATTTGACGGACATTCCACCAAAAAAGTTACACAATGCACCTTTACTTTGTACCCACATACACATTATACCCAACCAGAAATACTTGTTTCCTTTGAAGTGCACATGTGGCACTTCTTAGCTGCTTAAAATCCCATGATATGATGTTAAAAAACAAGCTCAAAACACAAAACGTTTTGGCCTAACCCATGTTCCCAGTATTGGAGCACTTCTCTAAACAAGGTGACTAATGTCCAAATGTGCATTCTATTTAAATTTTACAACATAAAGTGCATAATAATTGTTGTTTTTATCTCAACCGTTGGCAAAAATACTTATCTCACCCTACCAAAATCAAGGGCTTTTGTTGCTGTCCCTGTCCTGCTCCATGGACACACTGAGGTTGTTTGTTCCACACGCCATTCAGATGTACAATGCTTCACTATAAATCGATATAAATTTATGTTATATATTATATTATATATTGTATAATGTATTGTATGCTGCTTGAAAAACAAATATCCTTCAGGATAATAATCTGTCTAATTTATCTAGTCTAATCTTGACAACGGGAATCTTATTTTCTTTCCTATTGTCTGCCGTCACTTAATTTTGTGCTTGATATACTTTTCCATCACTAGTTAATTGGGAAAATTGAGAAGATCCCTAAGTCATCCAAGGAGTCTCCTGTGCAGAAGGCAGATGCTGACAGGACTGAGAAGCTCAAGCAGACAGAAGGTAGGTTCTGCCAGTGTCTGTGTGCGCATCTGTAATGAGTTCATCCATATACAAGCTAGAACTGAAAACGCAGCACTTGGAAATGTGACAGGCCTCGTTTTGTTTCTGCTTATTTTTCATATATAACACACCTAGAACTATGTAGTGTTATTTAAGAACATAAGAACTAGTACTGGGCCTTTGTTCTAAAAGCAACACACAGCCTGTATGTACTCTGCTGCAGCGGTCTCCAAAGCAGGCCAGAGCCATGGCTTCAGTCTGGACAATGATGAGAAAGAAGGCGAGTTCAGCCCCAAAAGTCGAGGTGGTGACGAAGCCCGGAGAGAGCGTCCTGATGAGGGGCAACGATCAGGCTGGGACAGGCACAGCTGTACGCCCCGACGGAGAGAGGATAGCGAGCCCAGACTCTTCATGGCCTGTGAGGAGCCCCTGGAGGACCTGTCAGAGCCCAGTGACAAGTCAGGTAGAGAGACACACACTTCGCTGCCTTTCCATGCACAGTATTGTGTCTAAAAGTGTCTCAAAAGTTTTTCCAAAGGTAATATAGGAATGTTATACAAAATCGAATCACTTGAGCTTCCACTCAAACAGACCTGGAGTTGTGTTTTGTTTCATTCATGTGTTTGAGTAATCCTGCATTATCAGTCTGTCTACATCATCAAAGCTCAAACTGCTTTGTTTCACCTTGTGATGTTGTCAAGCTATTTTAAGCCTCAATTTCAGTTATTTACTTTTCAATACTCAGGAATAATCAAAGGCTGATGCCTTTAAAAAATATTTTCATTTTACGTTTTCTTCAGTTGAGTTTTTGAGTTAGAAAGTTTACAATATCTTCTGTTGTATCGAGGAGTGAAGACCTTTGAACCACAGCTTTAGCTTCAACATTTGCCAATTCCAATGCTGTAAAATATTCAGATGAAGGTGTATGGAGTTTAAAAACACAGGGAAGCACTTACTTTATCACCACTCAATTACATCACAAGGTGGAACAGAGTGTTTTCAGTTTGAGAGAAGAACGCAGCCTAAAATATACAATATTATTGTGTGTATGTGTGTGAACGAAACAAAACACAGCTTTGAGTGTGCTTTTGATGAGGATGCAATACAGATCAGAAAAACTAATTCTCATTGAATTGTGGGTTCTGTGCAGAGAAGACCCAAGCCACTCTCAGTCTGGGGATGGATCTGAATCTGGACTGGATGACACTGGAGGATTTTCAGAGGCATTTGAATGGAGACGATGAGGTTCTGAGTGGACCTCCACTATCTCCCAGTGAGTACCTGTACTTCCCTCGAATACATGTAACACATAGACACACACATGTTTGTGTTTGTCTGCTATTGCTTCTCTTCTAAACCACTTTTCAATTTAAGCTGTGAAAAGCTCTTTGTTCCTTTTGTCTTTTAGGTAATGAAGCAAAAAATTATTCCAGAAACATCCACCCAAAGTAGCAATAGCAAAGGTTTGTTGGCTGATTCCATGCCCCTCTTGTTATCATAGGTGAGCTGAGAGATGCTGTAAAGAGTGGAGATTACCTGGCTGTAAAACTAGCTCTGAACTCTAAAGAGGACTACAATCTGGACCAAGAGGTATGTCTTCTGCTTTGAATTTGTTGGGCTTTTTAGCTGACCAGACTGTACTTTGATACTTCATCCACCTGTCTCTTACATGCTAGAAGCTGGTTGAACTTAGAGTTGTGGAGTAACTTCTTTATAAAAGTTTATAAAACCCAACCAGTGAAAACTGAGTCATTTTAGGTTCATGTGCTGCTTGAAACTGTATATTAACTGTCTCTAACCACTCTGAGTGAAACACTGAGCCACTGACAACTGCAGCTCCAGCACAGATCAGGCAGAGACTGACAAAGTTCAGCCAATAGGAGTCAGTCTTGAGGAAATGGGGAGGGACTGTCTCAGGGGCACAAGTGGAGGTGATTACAGCAAAAAAAAAAACAAAAAAAACAACAACAGGAACCAGGAGTTTGGTTTTTTTTGTTTAAGTTTGCTCTGAAATGATCCCACACTCAAACTAAACTGGTTTTTAGTAAGAAGCCTCTAGTGTTGGTATGTGTTACTGCAACTGTGCTTTCAAATGGTCATTAGACAATCTTCCCCAGGGCAGCTGTGATACACAGGCACCGGTCCACTCTGAGAATGAAATGCAAACTAGTCTGAATATACATTAGTGTTTTACCGTGGTCGTGTTTTACTGTGCTCGTGTTTTGCTGTGGTCGTGTGTTACTGTGGTCGTGTTTTACTGCGGTCGTGTTTTACTGCGGTCGTGTTTTACTGCGGTCGTGTTTTACTGCGGTCGTGTTTTCTAGTGAAGCTTCTCACTCTGAAGTTGCCATTGAAACACATTCGTGTTGGTGCAAGTTTAACTGTAGTGTCACCAAAGTGTGATGGGGTCTGTTCTGTAGCTCGCACCTTGGCCGCCCCAGAGTGTGTGTGACTGATGTTGGCTTCAACATGGCATTTACACACGTGTGCACAGACGTCTAATACACAGAAGCTCCAACACAGTTTCAACTGAAAAACATTGTAGATTTTACGTTTGTAGACTTCTCGTCTTCTGAGCCTCATCAGCAATGAAGCAGCCTTTTCAGCTACACATGCAGGTAAGAAACAGCTCCTCTCCAAAAACACTTACAAATGACTGGTGTATCATATTAAAAAAAACAAAAAAAAAACTTCACATTTATAAACAACTATTAAAGCTACCCCCACTGATCATAGATGTAGATGATTCATTTCATATACATTAACATCTGATGAATATGACAGAGTGCAGTATTAATTCAAACATATTGTTCTTTGCAGTGAAAAAAGAGGAAACTGACTTTTGACAAGAGGAAGCACCTATTGAAGCAGGTACATACTGACTCCTAACTTCTCAAACTGACACCAGTGCTTTAGTCTGAAAGTGTTCTCTAAAACATGCTATAAATACTACTTGACATACATTAAAGGTAGTGTGGTCTACTGCTCATATAATTCAAACAAAACAAAAAAAACTCCTCACATAGCTAACACAGGCGTGAGAAGATTGCCATGATACAATAAAAGCATTGCTCTTGTGGAATGGGTCATGTGGTGGTTTTTGGATTGGAGCCTGGAGGTGTTCTTGATTGGAGCTGTTGTCTGTATGAGCTTGAAAATTGGGTGGGGCTTTGCCAAGGTGCTGTTGCATCACACAGCGTTAAGTAATTTGCACCACTATATGGCAACTAATTGAGTTACTTAGTACTAACTGAACTAAGTTTTACATCTACTTTTTCTTTTGCAGGGGTGTGCAGTTAGTCTGAAGAACCACCACCGAGTCACAGCCAAGTCTACTTTGTCCAAGACTGCAGTGGAACCTTCAGCACATTGTCACAACACCAGTGAGCCATTGAGCAAACCAAGTGTAAGAAGCAAAAGCAATGCAAATGTGAATGATGCAGCTCAACTCCTGCTGCCCAAGAAGACCCCAACAGCTTCAGCAGCAACTCAGACACATCTGCAATCTGGCACAAAGGATGTGACCTGTGCTTTACATGCTCCTAAGACATCCAAGATTACACTAACCCTTGGACAAATCCACAACAAAGGAGATGGTCAACATCTCTTCATAGTTCCCACAAGTGGAGAAGAGGAAAACAAACCAAAGACACAGGCCAACCATAAATCCAGTCCTGCATTTTCTAATGCGCCTGAATTATGGGAGGATGAGCAGTTGGACAAGACTGTGAATGGCAGCGTCAGTCTCCCTGTATCCCAGCAGTTTCTCACTGAAGAGCAAGAGGAGATCCTCCACATGATGAAACAAGACCACATCTCAAGGCACATCCAGAAGGACACGTTAATTTGTAAATATGGCAAGGCCCTGTCAGCCAAACACCACCATGACAAGTCTCACTTTCCATATGTAGCACAGTCAATGCGAGAACTTGGGAGGTTTGTTTTAGCTGCAAATGAACTAGATGGCAATGTGCAGTGTTTGCAGGATATATTTCTCCCAACCAGGTTTGAATTGGCTGTAGAAGGTGCTAAAAAAACAATAGGTTTTGACACGTCTTCCAGCACATGTAAAACCTCTTCATTGGTATCAAAGATTGGATCCTCTTTAAAAGTAGCTGCTGAAATAGCCCTTAAAGGAAATCATATGAAGGACTGTGAATCGGAACGTGAAATCCAAACCTTCATTGATCTTCTGGATGCCAAGTGGAGCACAGCCTTTTCTCCCTGCACAGCAGCACCTGCACCAGAGGAGCTTCAGGAGGTGGTAGATAAGTCCACTGTGACCTCAGACCTGGTCAAACTCCACTTGTTCATCTCACAGGAGGAGGAGGAGGCCAGGAAGGACATCCTGCTCCATCCTACTCTGTCCACATGGAAGAAACTTAGTGAAGCCACTTTAGCAGATGTGTGCCTCTTCAACCGAATCCGGGTAGGAAATATAGGCAGGCTACTCTTGGAAACATATACTTGTAAGAGGAGCACGGGGCAATTTGTGCCCTCTGCTGATCAAATCCGGAAAAGCACCAAGTTGGAGCTGGAGCTGGGTGAGCAGTTGACCAGACTGGAATTAGAAGGGCAGTTTGGGAGGAGCATGCTTGTTGTGCTGACACAGCGCGTGTCATCATTAATCAACTTGCTCATTGAGTATCGAGATCAAGTGGGCGTGTCACAGAGTAACTTGTACCTGTTTGCACGCACTGAAGGCCCATCTTTTATCAGAGGCCTGGACTGTCTCCGCAGGGTAGCGGTGGAGTGTGGTGTGTCTAACCCAGAAGCACTGCTCTGCCCCTCTTTGAGACAGCAAATAGCAGCCAGCTGGCAGCTCCTCAGTCTGTGTGACGGTGACCTGGGTCGAGTGTCCAAACTGTTGGGAAGAAGCAGGCAAGAGTGTAGTCAGTTATCTCAGAACACAGCCCTGTTGGAGGAGCTGAGCAAGCAGCTGCTCCAGATGAACCGGGTCGTGCCCTCAAACACCACAGCCTCTCTGAAAGAGGGTAAGTATAATTCATGGCATGTTAAGTCTAGTCAATTTTGTTGTTAATGTATTCATTTAGCTGTCATAAATCAGTGCCATGCAATTGTGATCTATAATTTAATGTAAAGAAGCTCTTATCTCAGCTATCAGCACATTTTTCAGAAAATAACATTCAGCTGAAGAGGGTTTCACTTTTTTTAAAATATTGTTTTTTAGGAGTCCAGTCAAAGAGCACTGTGAAGAGAAGACCTTGGAGTGAACAGGAGCAGACAGCTGTGAAGCGCTTTCTGTCTGAGTTCATCACGAAAATGAAGGTTCCTGGTAAAAAAGAATGTAATGCTTGTTTAGCTGCTGAACCAGACCTTTGCAGGAGGTCTTGGACTGACATTAAAAACTTTGTTCACAATACTCTCCAAACACTTAAGCGGAGGCAGAACCAACCAGAGAAAGCTAAGCCTGACAAGACTGCAGTGAAGCCAAAGAAACAGAAGACTGTGAGCTACAGTTCCAGCAAACAATGGGAAGTCAATAACAACGTCCAGCCTTATTTAGTCCCTCATCAGGAGGAGTCTAAAACCGCACCATCACATCCACATCGGACTGAACAGGCAGTGCTTTTCCCTGCTGACCTGCCATATGTGTCCTTTTGTTCAGCCAACTCTGACATTGGCCACAACAGTCTCACATGTAGCTTCTCATCACTCAGTGTTTTAGATACACAAGTGGTTCCAACGCACACTCCACTGGGTACAACAAACACAGCAATGCATCCACTGTACTCGCCTGAGAGCAGATATCTGACACCTCTGTCCCCCTCAAACCCACACACTACAGTCAGTGTAGCTATGCCTTTTGTGGACCTTTCTCTAGATACAGAGCCTCCTGTATCTCCTGCACTCTCCTCCCTTAACTGTCCCACCACAACAATGCCTCCAACCTATACAACATTAAGTACTGCCATTTTCCATACATATTCCACAATGAATGACAGAAATGACTTTTCACCACTAGATCAAACAAGCACCTTTTTTACCACTACACCTCTAACACCGATCGCTTGCTCCCAAGTGGTCCCTAGTGAAGAGGGCATGTCTGCTTCATCTGACCATTTAAGCTCTCTAGTTTACTCTCAGCACTCCAGTGCTCAAAAAAGACACCCAAGGCTAGCAGAGGAGGAGGACTTGAGGAAGCCGCTAGCAGACTTTCCACTGGTGAAAGCGCCTGGGAAAAGGGAGCCTGAACAGCACAGGGGGACTGTTGTGATGGAGCCATACTTACAGCCTCTACACAATGAGTGGGACCCGCCCGTCTACATGTCTCTATAAATGTTTTTTCTATGACAACATTTCTCAAGTATTACCATAGAAATGCAAACAAGCGCCAGTACGTGCTGAGTGTTTAGACAGGACAAACCATTTAACTGTGACAAATGAACTGTGCTTCCATAAAATATTAGCATTTGAATCATTTAGAACCATGGACATTTCAATCCATATTTCAGAAGACCTCTGACAGGACCTGCCACTCAGTGCACAGCCCTGAGTGGTGGTGTAGGGTCCCGCTGTAGCCTTTTGCCAGTGGTTTGAAGTAACTGGATGTCTTTCTTCCCAAGAACGTAGATATGAACTGTATTTATATCCCTTTTTATGCTGTTGTTTGTGTATGCAACACTGTTTCTAAAAGCTTTAGTAAAGTCAAAGTTAAATCACAGTTAAGTGTACTGATTTGTTCTCATTCTGACAGTTACCAGTGGGAGTTAAAAGGTAAGAAAGCGGAGGGCCTCTTAAATCCATTGGTATCGACATTACCCTTTGCATTGTTACACATTTCAGTGCATTAGACTACTCTACTCCTGTTTACACACTCATGTACACTTGCATATACATATTGTTTTTCCAAGTCTGTATTATGTAATTTGGTAATTGTAGGCAATTGCTCTGGTGATTATTATATTTACTGTTTCTGTGTAGTTATGCTCTCAGTGATATTTAAGCCTGCTTCAGTTCTATTTGAAATTGAGGGTGCAGAGTGTTAAGTTGGGCTTGGCATTATGGCAAGAGTGTGCACTTTAAAGGGCACACGCTATACACTTTATCACTAGTTCTCCAAGCCTTAATTTACAAGTGAATGCCATACTGTGGTACATTCTAGGGCTAAGTTCTTGGGCAACCAAACGGGGATTGTAGCAAAAGCTCTCAAAATGATTACATATCTCTAAGTATCTGAGCCAAACTGCACAAAGACTACACTTGCATGGGAGTTCATGCATAAACCACTTTTTATACAGAAAGAAGTATTAGGAAACTGTATTTGTATGAAAACAGTTTAAACCCGCAAGTGTAATTTGCCTTTTTACCTATAAAGAGCAAATCATACCAAATCGTCTGCTAGCTCACTCACTTCTTGCTTTCTGCTGTTGTTCCACATAAATCCTCATAATTTAAGTTACATTATTAGCCAGCCAAGTCATCATCAACCAATTTTTCAACTAAAGGCCTACAGGCCTAGTGCCTTCCAAGTTAATAACAGCTTCATGGAAACCTTCAGCAAAAAAGTTACTTTACAGACTTTATGTCAACAATGTAGCTGTAGTTTGAATCCAACATTAGTGAAATGCCTTTGCTGATGAATGTGATGTCTGCTGGTGTTATGGCAGGATGGCAGTGGCATGTCTCTGAGCATGCTGGCTGCAGCTGGAGGCCAGGACGACATCCTGAGGTTGCTCATAAGGAAAGGAGTGAGAGTGAACGGACGTCAGAAGAATGGCACCACAGCACTCATGCACGCTGCTGAGAAGGTATCCTCTGCACTTTCTAACGTTACTAAAATTACAAACTTAGTTTAGATTCCGATACCACAATGAGTACGTATACATGCCCTCCAGTATCCAGATTCTGATTGGGTTTTCTGAGTATCCTGGTTACGTGTATGTTCATGTAGACACAGTATCCTGATTTCAGTATCCTAGATATGCCAGTAACCCAGTTATGAGAAACCGGAATACCCTTACTGGGGTTTTCAGAGAGTATCCAGGATAAATATTAAGTCATAAGTTACAAGCAGAGGTGGGTAATATGTTACATTTGCTCGAGTAACTTTTAAAATAAACTTGCAACTTGTACTTTCTTTTACTTCTACTTGAGTAATAATATTATTGAAGTAGTATTCTTAAATAAAAGTTGTCGTGAGTAAATCTATAAGAGACAAAAGCTTCATCCTGACAATATTACATGATTTGAACATTTGTGTTTCTTGCATTACTCCTTCAGATATGATTTAGTTGTGCCTATTCTTTGAAAAGACCAGATTTGGGGCATTATTTAATTTAATCTTTTGTCCTCACAGTTACATGAACTTTAAATTAAAACATAAATCAGATTGTACCAACAGTTTATCTTACTTGAGTTGTAGTTTTTTTCAAATACTTTTAGTAAACAAAAATTATACATGTGTAGAGGTCCAATTTGAAATAGTTTTACTGTGTCAACCATATGGTGCCAGTTTATGTTTAAAATTCAGCGCCGCCTTCTGGTGGTCGGTAGAGAGGAAATAGACCAACATTTATTGTGTAAGTTAGGCATGTTTTGGCTCTTGTTTACAGAATGTGCAGGTCCAGGTCACAGTTTTGACTTTATGAAAAAAAAATGGACCAGGTTTAAGCTAAATCTTATCGTTACTACTATACACTACTATATCAGTGTAAAGTGTATATGACAGGTTAGACTACATTTAACTGTTGGTCTGTAGGTATATACAATATTAACTCTCATTTTTTTCTGACCTTTTTTTTTTTTGTCCTTGTAGAATTTTCTGACTACAGTGGCCATCTTGCTAGAGGCTGGGGCATATGTGAATGCTCAGACATTAGGAGGAGAGACAGCACTGATGAAAGTAAGATGAGGACCGTGGGTAAATCTGAGAAAAATGTTTGTGGACACTGATATTTTTTTAATTGTCCCATTTTGTAATATATCCAATATTATGTTGCTGTACCTCTTAAAGGTTCTATATTATCCAAAATTGACTCCTGTGAGCTTTTAACAATGTTATAGTGTTGTTATATCCTCACAAACATACCCGGAGTTGTGTTTCATTTCGTTAAGACATTTTTGAGTAATCCTGCAACCTGCATTATTAAACTGCCTACCTCTTCAATGCTCATTGCTTTGATCCACCTTGTGAAGTCGTTTTGTGGTAGAAGTTAGCCACTAGAACAATTATACTACTTTTAAAAATATATTTTAGTTTTACCTTTTGTTCAATTGAGATTGCTACAGAAAGTCTTACAGTATCTTCTGGTGTACTGAGGAGTGAAGCATTTTCAACAATTTCAACAAATTCACTGGTTAAATCAATAGATGTAGCTTCAAAGTTTGTCAGTTCCAGGGCTGCAAATTATCAAATAATTTTAGTGAGGATGTATGGAGTTTAAAAACACAGAGGAGCATTTCCTGTATCACCCCCTTAATAACATCCCAAGGTGGAACACTGTGTTTTCACTTTGATAGAAGAACACAGCCCAAATATGCAGGATTATTGTGTTGAATAAAACAAAAGACAACTAAGGCATGTTTTTGATGAGGAAACATAAGAGATTTTAAAAATTGCATAATGCACTAGTGCATCTGAAAAATTTGAATATCATGAAAAAAATCAATATTTTTTGTCAACTCAAAACCTTATATTATATAGATTCAATACACAGAATGAAGCTTTCAAGCATTTATTTCTTGAAATTTTGATGATTATGGCTTAAAGATTATGAAAAGCCAAAATGTTGTGCCTCAGAAAATTAGAATATTACATAAGATCAATAAAAATAAAAAACTTGAAGAACTTGGTTGTGCCTCCTTTGGCATGAATTACTGCATCAGTGCGCCGTGGCATGGAGGAGATCAGCCTGTGGCACTGCTCAGATGGACTGGAAGCCCAGGTTGCTTTGATAGTGGACTTCAGGTCATCTGCATTGTTGGTTCTGGTGTCTCATCTTCCTCTTGACAAAACCTCAGAGATTCTCTATGGGGTTCAGGTCAGGCGAGTGTGACTCAAGCAGCATGGATTCTGTGCTTCTCCATTCTTCTTCCAAACTCTGGGACCTTGATTTCCAAAAAATTTGCAAAATGTACTTTTATCTGAAAAGAGACTTTGAACCACTGAGCAACAGTCCAGTTGTTTTTTTCCACAGCCCTGGTAAGACTCTTCTGACATGTCTCTCTCTCCATAGAGGCTTTGTCTATGCTTAGTGGCTCTTGATGCACTGACTCCAAAGTCAGTCTACTCTTTATGAAGCTCCCCCAAATGTGGATTTTGCTTGAGAATGCTCTCAGGGCTGTGGTCGTCCCTTTTGCACTCTGAACTACCACCTTCTTTAGTAATGACCTTTTGCAGATTTCTCCTTGTCGGTGTCACTGACTGTCTTCTGGACATGTATTCAGTCTGCAGCCTTCCCCATGACTGTGTGGAAACCTTTGCATGTGTTTTCAGTTAATTACCTGATTAGGGTGTGACACCAGACTTTCCAATACTGAACTTTTTCATGATTTTCTTTTGTGCATAGAATATATTTTAGATGTACAAGTCTGCCCTTTGATGGTCGTATATTACACAAAATTTACTCTTGTAAGCTTTAAGCCATGCTAGAATGTTACGCGAATGGCGCAAACAAATCGCGTCAAACGCCCCTAGTTTGCCACTTGACTTTTTTGAGTCATTCGTTTCATTCACGCTTCTTGGTCGCTCGAGTTTGGGAATTTGGTCGCGCAACTGAATTCAGTACATGGACTACATCGAGCGGGCTCACCAGACCAAGACGGGGCCGGGGCCGGGGCCGGGGCCAGACCTCAGCCGGGGCCAGACCTCAGCTCGAAGCCGAGGCTTGGACCTCAGCTCGAAGCCGAGGCTTGGACCTCACGGAGGCTTGAGCCCACGGCCGGAGCTCGACTGAGACCGGGACCAGACCGAGTCTGAGACTGGGACCAGAATAAAGGAGAGGGGGACAGAGTGTGGTGTAGGTCCTGCTCTGTGGAGTTTATTCCGGTCTCTGTACTGTGTAATATCAGATAATTTCCCACAGGAACAATGCGTGTCTCCTCCATGTTGAATCAAAGTTCATGTCTGTCTCGGCATTATACGTCACTATCAGAACACGGCCCCTGACTGGTTGATGTGACGCAAATATTCGTGGAAAGTTAAAAAATGTCAACTTTCAATTTTAAACAACAATTGTATACTCTTAGAAAGCATTATTTTACTGGTAAATGTACATTTTAACAGTTGTGTTTAGGAGGCCATGCTAAGCTACAATCCACACTGAAGAGCATGACAGTCAGTCTATCCACTGTTCTCAGGCCTGTAAGAGGGGAAACCTTGATGTGGTGCGCCTGTTGTTGGAATATGGAGCAGACTGCAATATCATGTCCAAACACGGGAAAAACACGGCCATGTACTTCGCCAAACTGGGCAACAACCTGATGGTGGGTGACCTCATCAAGGACCACACCAGCATGTGAGTAGTGACTTCAAGAAGACCTGATTTAGCATATTTTTCTTAAAGAGGGGCTATTATGCAATCATGTTTTGTTTTTTTTTGTTTGCCTGAAGAAGTTTCAGTATTTTAGTGATCTCTCCTGTCCTCGTTTTCGCCTCCTACCTCAGCTGTGAGATTCTATGCAATGCTCAACCCACAAGCCTATGTCATCCATGGTCACATGCAACAATTCTCCATAAATATACAACAGCAGGTTACAAAACTGCACATAACATCTTGACAAACCTGATGCAGTGTGCAGTAGTTTCTCAGCAAAATGCACGCTGATTGAGCTGTGATAGTGTTTTGAAGAAAAAGTGGGGAGGGGAGGTTCAGGGCATTAAAAACTGAAGTGAAACACACAATATAAAAATATGATGGTAATACATTGTTTTCAGTGAAATATAGCATTTTCAGAACCATAAAAGGTAATATGGTGATCTAAATATGTTATAGTATTGCAGTTACCCTATAGAATATATACAATATTGAAATAAAATTCACTCTTAAAATAATCCCTCTTAAAAGATAAGAAGAAATTCTATTACTTATTTAAGGATATATGTTTGTTAAAAAACTGCAGTGATCTATATTTTATGTTTAATTAACCTATGTTTATGTGTACACCCTATAAGGCTTGCCTGGGATCCAGACTACACATCCCCAAGCTCAGATGGGCGTGACTAACTGAATTAGCCAATCAGGGACATGCATGATCTGTGCATATTAAAAGAAATATGCCTGCTTATAAGGGAAAAAAGTACAAAATATCACAAGCGAGTGAATAACAGTCAAGCAGAATGAATGAGCAAAGGACTTAACTTCGTTCAGCTGACGTGAGAGAAATGTAATTTAGTTTGTAAATGATAGACTACCAATGAGCTCCTTTTTTCACATGGGTCATTTCACATGTTTAAAAAATACAGAAAGATATTCTAGATTTGCCAGGCAACTAAATGACCGCAGCCACTGATTCGGTTTATTTAAAGTCAGTTACTATAGAAATTACATTACATTACATTTTTACTAACAATTCACTTTTTTCCTATATTTTTTTCACATGAGTTTGATTGAAACTGTGCATTAAATAAACAAGTAAAACAAAAAGTATAAGATCTCAAAGGTCTATAACTAGTTCCTTAGCTGGCCTCATGTACGGCCTCCATGGAAACATGAAAGACAGGTCATTATACACAATCCAACAGTCTCTTACTTGTGTCCTTTGAACTGCACGTGCTGCACTTCTTAGTTGGTTTAAATCCCATGATTTGATGTTGAAAACTGAACTCAAAAGAGAAAAAAATTCAAAAACTGGGGAGCAGTAAAAAAAAAAAAGAGAGGGATACTTGCTGTATCTCTCTTGTTCCCGAGGGAAATTGTTGCAGCTACATTTCCACTGCATTTCTCAGTCACTTTTGTTTCTCAGTGAAAGGCCTCAGTGCAGTTTAACAGGAGGACTGGTCAGGGAGGGTCAGCAGATCTGTGTCAGGGCAGTCTGAAGAGAGAAAGAGCCAAAAGTGTCCCTCCTCTGTGTCCTACAGCATCAGGTGAACACAGACGAAACAGGAAAGGCCTCGTTCTTACTCTGCTCTGTTGTTTCTGTTGGTGATGATGTATTTCTTGTGCCACATTTGCTGCCATGTATGGTGTAAAAAAAAAAAAAAAAAAAAAAAAGTAAAGAAAATTATTGGTTTTCCAAGTGGCACCAGATCTAAACCATGTCAGTAACAGGACTATTCCAGATCTAATCTAAGCCTAAACCAGGTCCATAACATGTCTACATCATTTCCACAGTTGTAACACAATGATACAAAGGAGGACCAAAAAATGTATAAAATTACCTGTGAACTGAACTGTCCAAATCCCACCTGAAGGTACACAGTATCACCAGTGGAACATGCACCACAGTTTGGGAAACATTGTAATAAATGAATTATGGGCTTGTTATTATATCTTTAGTCTGAACGAAAATTTTCTCTAATAATGTAATAACTGCAGTCAATATTGAGGTAATGATTCTCAGAGTATTGTAATGTTACTGGTTCATCATAGTAATTGCATTATTGACCTGTTATTACAATACTGGTTGTTATCATGGTATCGATTGCTCCACATACTATACTAAACTACCAGAATGTGGTCACAGTTAGAAAAATATGAAAACATGTCAGATTCACTTTGATCTAGTTTGTGTAGCATTGCTTCCCACTGGAGATCCGTACTGTGTTTTGTGGTCCCCAGGCTATGCAGTGTGACGGATGAGGCCATCAGGGCGTACTTTGAGTCTCGTCTGGCAGTTCTGGAGCCAGTCTTCCCTTTAGCTTGTCACCGCCTGTGTGAGGGACCAGACTTTTACATGGAGTTTGGATACAAGCTGCAGCCACAACCTGAAGGTACTGCAGTGTGTTTTGATCCTTTGCAGCTGATGCCATCAACAGTCCCTATGGGTGTGATGATAACTGGAGGCACTGCTCTGTCAGAAGCTCTGTTACTCAAGTTGCACTTTAATCTTAGCTTTGTTTTAACACAATCTTAAAGTACACCTATTTTGCAAAATGGACTTTTCAGAGCTTTTAACCATGTTCTAGTTGTTTCCCCTCATCATTTACTCACTTGAAGTTGTATTTGGAGTGATTTGTGCATGTTTGAGCAATCTTTAATTGCTTATTTCAAGATGCCATTTGCTGATCTACTCCTGTTTTCCAATTTGAGTTTGTTAATCTGAGATACACATAAGTTTTGGCAACATCACATAGTCATTTTGGTACAAATGAACACTACTCAATAGTGTAATGGGCAAATGATGGGTGCCCACGGCTACACTCTTTGTTGTGATGAAGTTTATGGTGACATCAGCTCCCATTGAGCACAACAGTTTTCTAACATGGAAGTCAGCTGACTCTCTTCTTCTATTAAACTGTTTTAGGTCAATATTGTGATTGAAAATGATCCATATTATAACATAATGCTATAGCAGATACAAGCACAATAGACAAATAGTCAGTTTTTGTTGAAAACACCTGCACAGAACCATGAAGACATGTAATGGTCACAGGCTCTTGAAAAATCCATTCTGTATTTTTCTTGATTTTAAGGCTTGGATCTTTAAAACTGGTTAGGCCTTTTTTGCTAATGTGTACATAGTGTCATCATGGTAACTGCTGAATATTCTACCATGGACATACATGAAGTACCCCCTAGACATGTCTCTGCAAAGTATCAATTTTGGCTTTTGTTATGCAGGACAGTGACAGATGTGTGCTTGTCTGCCATTACCTATCTGACTGTTTGTGCAGGCGCCGGGATCCTCCTGTTCATTTTCCACGCCAACTTCCAGAATGAGATCACGGCTCGTTTGTGCGGCCCTTGTGCCGTCCACGCAGTTCGTGCTCAATGAGAAATTCCAGCTGCCAATCTTCCTGGTACCCCCCCCCACACGCCTCTCTCACCCTCTCTCCCTCCCCGTCTCTACTCCTCTCTTCCTCCCCCTCTCTACCCCTTGCTCTCTCCCCTTCTTTGTCTCCCCCTTCTCTCTCTCTCTCTCTCTCTCTCTCTCTCTCTCTCTCTCTCTCTCTCTCTCTCTCTCTCTCTCTCTCTCTCTCTCTCTCTCTCTCTCTCTCTCTCTCTCTCTCTCTCTCTCTCTCTCTCTCTCTCTCTCTCTCTCTCTCTCTCCCTCTCCCTCTCCCTCTGTCCTTCCCCCTCTCTACCCCTCGCTCTCCCCTTCTGTCTCTCTTTCTCTCTCTCTCCCTGCCCCCTCCTCCCTCTCCCCCTCCCCCTCTTTCTCTCTCTGTCCCTCCCTGTGAGTCTGCTACAGTGAAACTAACACTCTCTGCTCTTTCAGGACAGTCACTTTATTTATTCGTTCAGTCCTGTCCCAGGCATCAACAAGCTCTTTGTCCGCCTGGCAGACTCTCCTACAGCAAAGGTAACTCCAACTATTAGTATACAATCTTCATTTGGTAAAAGTCGCTACTCTTTGGCAAAGGTTCATTCTGTCTTCAGTTACTTAGAAGTATTAGTTCTTGTAGTCAGAGAGGAGAGTTTGTTTACCTGCTTTACCTGTTTCAGCTACTTCCTGCAGCTTTCCTCAGAAGCGTCTCATGATGCTGTAGTGACGTGTGTTGCAGGCTGCATTACTTGGTTTGTGGACCAAGGACTGCCTCCCGTGTGTGATAGTGTGTATGCTCCCTTGTCCTGGTTTATGCTCCTTGGCCCTCGTTTGCAGCACTCAGTGGCATGGATGATCCTGGCATTGTTCCAGTCCATGATGTGCTTTTGTCTCTTGCAGTGGTCAAATGTGGCTGATTTTAGATTTCCCTGTTTTGCTTGTTCTTTCATTGCTCTTGTTTGTCCGTATGCCATTTTCTTTTCACATTCTTTTTCAACAGTCTTTTTTCTGTGTTCCAAATTATCTTCCTGTTTCCCCCACATGTGTTTTGTTGCATGATTGATATGGTATTTCATTTGTGTTCTGGTTGCATTCTGTTAGGTGTTCTGATGTCCATAGTAGATAGTGGTTCATGTGTGTGGGTTTGTGGTGTATTTCCATTTTTATGCTCCTGTTGATGCCACATTAAACATAGTTCACGATAGACTAATTTAAACTCTCCGCAAAAGAACCAAACTCACAATAGAAGACATAATGACTCTCCTGAGATTTGTTGCCTCATTTACATGTTTTCAATACCAAAGAACCATATACAAACAGAAGGTAGGATTCCCCATATCAACATATTTTTCATGGAAGATTTGGAACAAGCAGACATCACTACAGCACCAATAGGATGCAGGATTACACTCTGGAAAAAGTACGTTTATGACATTCTTGAAAAAAATCTAAACCGGCCTCACTTAACAGCTCACAAACCACCTCAACCCCAAGGACCACATCAAAGTCACATGAGGAGGAGGAAAAAGGACATACATAATACCAACACGTCTGCAATAGTCACAATGCCATACATCAGGATGGTCACAGAACGCATATGAAGAGCCATGAGGAAATAAAATCTCTTCTATACACCGGTCAAACCACACACCAAACTCAGTAATTAATGAAACCCACGGACAGAATACAAACTGAACACAAATACAATGTAATATATCATATCATTTTATCGTGCAACAAAACATATGTGGGTGAAACAGGAAGATCATTTGGAAGACACAAAAAAACAAACAAATATGAGCAATAAAAGAACAAGCATAAAAGGAAAACCTGAAATCAGCCATGTCTGACCACTGCAAGAGACAAAATTACATCATGGACTGGAACAATGCCACTGTCATCTGGGCTGAAAGCAACAGACACCACCACTAAATCAGAGAGCCCATCAAGATCTGTAGACGAGGTCCAGAGAGCATAAACCATGATGAGGCAGCATACACCCTATCACACACATAGATGCAGTCCTGGAGAAGATGTCCAACTGTAGGGGTGTGAACTTCTCCCGTCTGGCAAAATCAAGTAACGCAGCCTATGACACGTCACTACACCATCACATGATGCTTCTGAAGAAGGTTACAGGAAGTACCTAAAACATGTAAAGCAAGTAAACACAGGGTGTTTCTAGGATTCTAGGCTTCTGAAACACTCCGAAGTGGTTCAGATCCACATCATCAGAGCTTCGGCAAGTGTTGTTCAAATTCACCTGAAGCCCTCACGTTTGGCTCGTACCAATGATGCACCTGTGGATCCTTGGCCGCCTTGGAGCACTTGAAATTGCCCACAGTGCACCGAAACTTTATTTTTTATAAACATTATTTAAGCAGTAAAATGCATTTTAATCATGTAAAACTCATTATACTATAAAAGGAAGTAAATAGTTTGCAATTTTAACCACTTTGCTGCAGATTACATTATTATCAGATGATTTCAAATTAGGACAACTGCAGCAAAATCTCTTAAAGAAAGAGATTGGGAATACAATTAGCCTATTAGCTGAAAATATTTCAGCCTGTGTATTTATTTATTCAGGTTAATTATCAGCCTAAATAACTCAATAATAGATGATTCACAGCCTTTATTATTCACATTTACAGCCTTTATTATTCACATGTTTGAATGCATGTTGACTAAAAGAACTGAACTGAAGTTGTCACTGTTCTAATAAATGACTTAAAGTAGGTGACCTGATGAACAGTGTGGCTTAAAGGCTACATAAACACACTGTATGTTGCTTGCACTCTTAGTTTTAAAAAACACATTAAAATCACATCTTTCCCAAAAGCCCAGAATGCAACTTTTGCCAAAAAATAGACTAAATAAATGAATAAAATAAAATAATTTATTCATTCATGTTTTCATTGCAGTGAAAACCATTAGAAAAAATACCTGTGATCCACAAACCTGACTCGTTTTTGACCTGGAGGAGGGCCTTCTCCTGCTTGTTTCCATGGAAATGTTGTGCCTTTTGGATATAATATTCAACAATATGGCATCAAACATATATACCTCCATGGAGAATGTTCTGAAGTATGATTTTAACTTTCTATTTCCATGGAAACATGCACTTTCCACCTCCAGAAAGTTCTACTTTACACACTTTAACTTAAGGTGCCAGTGCTTTAACCTGCAGACACAGGACACACCCAGGTTTTTCTCATTCTCAGTACTAGTACTAAATTAGAATATCATGAAAAAGTTCAATATTTTTTGTCACTCATTTCAGAAAGTCAAACCCATATATTATATATATACTCATGACACGTAGACTGAAGCTTTCAAGCCTTTATTTCTTGAAATTTTGATTAATATGATTGACAGATAATGAAAACCCAAAATTAGTTTTGTCTCAGAAAATTTAAATTTGAAACAGAAATGTCAGGCTTCTGAAAAGTTTGTTCATTTTTATGCACTTAATACTTGGTTGTGCCTCCTTTGGCATGAATTACTGCATCAGTGCACCGTGGCATGGAGGAGATCACCCCGTGGCACTGCTCAGGTGGACTGGAAGCCCAGGTTGCTTTGATAGTGGACTTCAGGTCATCTGCATTGTTGGTTCTGGTGTCTCATCTTCCTCTTGACAAAACCTCAGAGATTCTCCATGGGGTTCAGGTCAGGTGAGTTTATAGGCCAGTCAGGCAGAGTAACACCGTGGTCAGTGAGCCATCTTTTGGTACCTTTGGCTGTGTGAGCAGGTGCCAAGTCCTGCTGGAAAATGAAATGAGCATCTCCATAAAGTTTGTCAGCAGAAGGAAGCATGAAGTGCTCTGAAATGTCCTGGTAGATGTGTTGACTGTGGACTTCACAAAACACAGTGGAGCAACAGCAGCAGATGACATGGCAGACCAAATCATCACTGACTGTGGAAACTTCACACTGGACTTCAAACAACGTGAAATCTGTGCTTCTCCATTCTTCCTCCAAACTCTGGGACCTTGATTCTGATTGATTGATTGATTGATTGAGGCTCTTCTGACATGTCTTGTGTCCCATAGAGGATTCATCTGTGCGTAGTGGCTCTTGATACCATTCCGGTCAGAGAGACATTTTAGGATTAAACCTTTGGATTTTAGCTTTGGAACTGGCAACACAAATGAAAGACTGTGTGAGGCTCATTCAGATTTCTGATTGGTTAACATCTGGAGAACCAAAACATTAAATAACATTTGTGATGTGGTGGAAGTGGTGGAAATGTGTTTTTGTAATTAAGAATAAATTAGCAATAGTAAGATTTATATTTGACTTGCACATGTTCACCTGGTATCCAGGGACATATATACTTAGGTCATGTTTATGAAATTTAAAGTCAAAATCTTACATAGAGTTCTTTCAGGATTGTTTTCAGAGGATACAACACAAAGAAATACACATTATTTATTGTCAGCTTAATTGTGTACAACCAGAAACGGATCATGTACCATTTGAATAGTCCAAGAAATAACCATATAAAATCTCTTATTTGTCAATTTGAAGAGGCCATGTTGAAATATTGAAATGAGTGTTCTGAATGGACTGTGAGCTCAGACCACACCACGCTGGAATTCTGGTTAAAAACATAAGTCTCAAACTGAACCCCATCTTATCTTTTACAGAGTTACTTCCTTTGCCTTTGCTTAGGCAGAGGTGGGTAGAGTAGCCAAAACCTACTCAAAGTACTCAAGTAAGAGTAACATTACCTCAAACATAATATTACTTTACTGATGTCAAAGGAATAGTATGTATGTATCTGTCTGTCGGTCTGTCAAGTAAAAGTACAAAGTAGTGATCAAAGAAATTATTTATGGAGGAGTAAAAAAAATGTAGTTAATATAATTGAAAGCACCAAATAAAATGATAGGATGGACTAAAAAATTTGAAAAAATCATATCTGAAGGAGCGGTGTAAGGAACACAAATGTTCTAATCATTTCAAATTGTCACATGAAGCTTTTGTCACTTGTAGACTTGCTCACAGTGGGAAGAGGAACCACAACATTTAAGTCAAGAGTTCTGTTACTTCAATAAAAGTATTACTCAAGTGAATGCAACTGAGTAAATATAACTGAGTACTGCCCATCTCTTTGCTCAGGTCAAGCTGCTCATCTGTGCATACAAAGTCCAGCTGCAGGGGACATTTTGAGGACAACAGAGGACATCTTTGGAACACCCAGAGGTCCAGGGTTGTTGGGGAAACGGGAAAGAACCATGCACTTGGACATGGACAATGGAACACTCCCCAGTTTACTGTGAAGCTGACCTTTGAGAACATGGCACTGCTACAGCCAAGTGGACAACAGGGGCTGGGGGCTCCCTCTGCTGGTGGATAGTGTCAGTGCATTTTTTTATATTTCACATTGCTAAAACTGTGTGGTGAAAGACTGCTACTTTTGAAATCTGTTTTATATACTTGGATCAGATTAAGTGTTCAGAAATTGAGAAAGCTGTTGCTCTTGTTTTGTGAGATTTCTGTAAATATAACCATTACCAAACAATGTGTGTGTTTGATGTTTTTGTATTACCATTTTGATTTGAGTTATAAACAGCCATAGAAAACAACACACCCTCCCTAATGAAGTGTGTATGACAGGTTAGACTACTATTACTATTCTTTTCACACAAACCCTACATATTTAGGCTGAGTTTTTCTCTTAAGCAGAAATACCACCTTATGATGTGTGTTCCACTGGGCTTTTAAATGCCATGTACCTTCACTAGAATCATTTGGATAACTTCGGTCCTGGCATTGCCCATCTCTGTGGAACTAAAGGTAAAAGGAGCATGACATCACAAGGTAAAAAAAGAGCATTTTGAACTTTGTAGTTGTAGACAGACAAATGAAGGATTACTCAAACGTATGAATAACAGGTGGATCGGTGCAGTGTCTGCAGTGATGCAGTCGCTGTATCAGACCACTGTGGTGAAGAGGGAGCTAAGCCAAAAGGCAAAAGTTCTCAATTTACCACTCAGTCTATGTTTCTCCCCTCACCAATGATCATGAGCTTTGGGCAATGACTGAAAAAACGAGATTGTGGATACAAGCGGCAAAATGAGTTTCCTTATGAGTCATATGGGAAAGAGAGCCACTGCTCCTCCACATTGAGAGGACTCTGTTCCTCCTCTGTGGCTCGGGCATCTGTTCCGGTTGCCTCCTGGGCACCTCCCTCGGGAGGTGTTCTGGGCATGTCCCACAGGGAGGAGGCCCCAGGGAAGACCCAGGACATGCTGGAGGGACTATGCCTCTAGCTGGAGGAGGAGGAGCTAGAGGAAGTTTCTGGGGTGAAGGAAATCTGGGAGTCCCTGCTGGTCTGGTCTCCATGAAGATAGAAAGGTTAAATGCCATAGTGTGAAACATTCCAGATAAAGCAGTAACATCTCCATGGAGAAAAGCATTTGACGGACCCTCCACCAGACTAAACTACACAATGCACCTTTAAAGTGTATATAAAAGGTTTCATGTTTTTCTTATTATTTCTTACTTTGGAGGGGCAGTACCTCTGATAAATATTCATCATAGTTTTACATCTGTTAAATGCCTGTTAAAAAAGTTTGTGGAGAAAAGAAAAAAATACAAAAATATAGGAAGTAGTGATGAGCTCTAAAATGGAATATCTCTAACTATGTCATCAATGCAGAAAATGAGGCAATTCAACAGTTATGGATTTACCTTGATGTATGTTGTATGAAAGCCATAATAAAATAATACACTGAAAATATAAACAACATTTTTAATAACATCTCAAATATAATGATGTTAACTGTGTTGGTCAAATGTATTCTAACCTGCCGGATGCACTTCAAATGACGATTGAAAATGTCTAGTTTAGAGACAAAATTTGATTATTAGTGTCATTTTGACACCTTTAAGAGGTATTGACTTCAGTGGGTACATGATAGATTTGAATGGTTTTCAAAAGAGTTATTGGTTTGGTATGTGAAAGGTCCTGTGTTTACACAAAATGTGAGCTTTAAGCCATGTTAGAATATTGTTACCTCATCAAAAACACACCTGGACATGTTTTTTTTTTTTCATTCACACATTTGACTAACCCTTTAATAGTCTGTCTACATCTCCAGTGCTGAAAATGCTCTGTTCTACCTTGTGATGTCATGAAGTGGTAGTATTAACGTTCTACCTTTTACCTTTAGTTCAGTAGAGATAGGCAATTCTAGGGTTAAAATCATCAAAATAATTCTAGGGAAAGTGTGTTCAGTTTAAAAACACTGGAGCACTTCCTGTATTACCACATGACATCACAAAGTGGAACAAGGTGTTTTCTGCAGGGTTGTGCAGGGTTTGTGTATTAAACGTGTGAGTGAAACAAAAACACACCATAGAGTAGGTTTGTGGTGAGGAAACAACATTATAACAAATCAGAAAATAGTGTATGGGCTCTTTAAATATAAACCATAGCTTTACTCCAATCAGGTGGCAATTAGTGAAGAGAAGCATGGTTGCTAGGCAACAGTTACGGGATTACTTGTGTCATATCTGTTGCTGCCCATGTGCAACTAGAAGTGAAAATATAGACATCAATATTGCTGCAAAATGTTGAGTAATGTCTCAAACCATTGCTAATGCTTAATAAAATGAAATTATAGTTTTGAGGGGTTAGTGTATATGGACAAGTATTACATGAAGAATATTATTTGTAGACTAATAAACTAAAAAGCTTCTGAAAGCTGCACTTTCTGAACTGCAACTGAAGGCCATGCAAAGCTTCTGAAATAGAATGAGTCACCACTAGATATGTGACAACACAAGAAATAACTGGGATTATAAGTGTTTAGTGCATGAACCTGAACCTCATTAAAAGTCATATGTATATATGTTTCTCACCTTCCACGGTGGTAGGTCTCTCTCACCCTCATTCAGCTCGGGTCCTCTACCAGATTCCTGGGAGCTTGAGAGTTCTGCGCAGTGTCTTTGCTGTTCCCAGTACTGCACTTTTCTGGACTGAGATGTCTGTTGTTTTTCCCGGTATCTGTTGAAGCCACTCTTCCAGTATGGGGGTTACAGCCCCGAGTGCTCCGATTACCACGGGCACCACTGATGCCTTTACTTTCCAGGCTCTCTCCAGCTCCTCCTTGAGCCCCTGCACTGTTGTTTATCCACCACCACTATGTCTGGTTGGTCCATCACCATCCTGTCAGTCTGTATCTGGAAGTCCCACAGGATCTTGGCTCGGTCGTTCTCCACAACCTTTGGAGGTGTTTCCCACCTTGATCCTGGGGTCTCCAGCCCGTACTCTGCACAGATGTTTCTGTTCACTGCCCGCCACTTGGTTATGTCGCTCCATGTATGCTTTCCCTGCCAGCATCTTACACCCTGCAGTTATGTGCTGGACTGTCTCAGGAGCCTCTTTGCACAGTCTATACCATGGGTCTTGTCTGGTGGATCTGGGCCTCTATTGCTCGAGTGCCCAGGGTCTGCTCCTGAGCAGCCAGGATGAGCCTCTGTGTGTCCTTCAGACCAGCCCTCTCAAGGCATTGGTAGGATTTCTTGATATCAGCCACTTCAGTTATGTTCTGGTGGTACGCCCCATGTAGGGGCTTGTCCTGCCTCCAGCACCTCTTCCTCTGGACCCCACTGTCTGAGACATTCTCTGAGCACCTTATCTGTCAGGGCCTTGTCCTTGATGTACTCAAGGAGCTTGGATGTTTCATCCTGGACAGTGGTTCTCACACTCACTAGTCCTCGGCCTCCTTACTTCCGGCTTGCGTACAGTCTCAGGGTGCTGGATTGGGATGGAACCCTCCATGCATGGTCAGGAGCTTTCGTGTCTTAACATCTGTGGTCTGTATCTCCTCCATTGGCCAGCTTATGATTCCTGCAGGGTGTAGCTGTTGATTACCTGCACCTTGTTCTTGCCATTGAGCTGGCTTCTTAGGACTTGTCTCACTCATTGCAGGTATTTGGCTGTAGCCACTTTCCTTCTGGGTCACTCTGTCCCTCTGTGTGGACAACCTTCCCTCTCTTTGTCACCATCCTGCTACATTTCTCAAGCCCAAATGACACCCCAATGTCTGTAATGTAGATTCTGGTGGTGTGGATCAGTGAGTCCCACTCACTTAGCGTACAGCTTGATGTCATCCATGTAGGTGACTGATTTTTCTGAGTCAGTATCCGTAGCCAGTGCAAGCAATGATTTGCTGGACACTTGTGCAAGTGCACAACTGCATCGAGTTTGCAATGAAGGCCCTTAGAGTCCTGGTGATATTGTACAGCTCCAGCACACAGTGATCCGTGTGTGGCATGACTGTTCAGTCAACCAGGAGTTGGTGCTTGGCTTCCCCCAATTCCAAAGCCTTCTGTGCTGCGCTCATGTCTTCACGGTGATGATGACATGAGCTGTAGTATAGTAAGTGTATATCAGCTCATTGGTTTCAGTGATGGTTGTGGTAGGGATCACTCTCAGTGCTGCATTCACATTTTCTAGAAGACTTTCAGATGATACTTGTAATCATGGCATCAGGGTTGCCTTGTGTTCATTCAGGCCATGAGGTCAGTCGCTGCCTCGCTCAGTGTGATACTTATTGGAGCTTCATACCCAATCTTCGGTTGGGGAGTTGGTGTCTTCAAGTGTTGTACCTCGTCAATCTCTAGTTGTTGTAGATGTTGGAACACTGAGCTACGCTATCATAATAATCCCTCTGACTAGTTACTGTAGGAGCAGCATTCCAACAGAGCTTTGTTCTCGCTTCTCGCCCATTTCCTCCGTGTTCCAGTAGCGCATTTTTCATCAAGGTGCCCTGGGCACCACCGACGCAAACCTTGTTTGGCCGGGTGACGTCTGAGCCAACATCTTGTAAGTTTCATTGTCTCTCATCATTGTATGAGGTGGGCAGTAGCACAAAGGGTGCCCTAGGATCCACACTGGTTAGCTCATTACCCCCCGTCAGAGGGGGGATACGAACCCGGGTTACCCATCTATATATATATATATATATATATATATATATATATATATATATATATATATATATACATATAGAGATATAGAGATAGAGAGAGAGAGAGAGATAGATAGATAGATAGATGGGTGACCCCACACATCGCAGGTAAACTTAAAAATATAACGATAAAACACATTGGCTTTACTGCAAAGATGTGCTGCCTAAATATTATGAAATATTATTAAATTAACAGATGAGTCGTTGTTGTCATTGTCACTTTTAATTTTGTATTTATTTATTAAACCTTGTTTATGTGTTTGTCGTGATCACGTGGTGCTGCGTGGAGCGTCCTCCTGCCTCTCTCCCGCGTGTCTCGGTCAAACCCACTGATTATCGGCTCATGTTTAGGGAAATCTCATTCACCAGTCACTTTACATGTTCCTTTTATGGTGAGGTGGAGGTGTGAAGAGGGCGTGACGTGACGTCGGTTTATGTGCGCAAATTCTAGTTGCAGGTGGGATTTATAAATATATATATATATAAATATGGAGTTTGCGCACGCCTCTCGTGGCTACTAGGCGTACGCACTAACTTACGACAACTCCTAGCATTTATTTATTTATTTTTTAATAAATGAGGCCCCAGGTCTGTTTGTGATGAGGAAACTACACTAGAACAGATTTAAAAATGATTGGTTAAGGTTACATGTAAAACACAGGACCGATACTGTAACTTCAATATAAACATTACTCACATAGGAGTAATGTTTGTGCTCAACATGTGCAAATGAAATAAAACACAACAAAACAGCATTACACTGGCACTTTAAATATCCTGCTTCAGCTATTACTATTAAAATAACTTTGGCCAAAATGTTTAAGTCTTCTAAAAAGTGCTCTTAACACTCCAGACTCAGATACTCAGATTTTGCTAAAAAAAAAAATTCTACAATAGAGTATTAAATGAAAGTATTTTGCTGAAGAGAAGCAGGTGATGAATCCAGGTCAATGTCAGGTAACAAACACCTGAAGGTCTAAGATAATTTCTAGTGCCACTGCTCTACTGAAGGACATTCAACATCTGCATGGAGAGCAGCCACCAGTACAGAGTGTGTAAATGTAGAATGTGACACACTGTGAGGCACTTGATGAGCACAGTGCTGTATACAAGCTAAAAGCAGCCCTCCATAGTTTTTAGTCTTTTTTGTTGTTTTTCTGGGGCCCGCACCTGGGGCTGTAACGCTGGTTCCGGCCCTGCCTCTCCGATCACTAGTGAACCCTCTCAACTCAAATCCTGCCTCCTGATTGGTCAGCGGGGGCTCGAGACTCGTGCTCGTGGTCTCTTTGTGTTAAGCACACAGCCGTTTGTTAAAGTGACGCATCTCCAGAGCTCAGCATTGTTTGTCCCAGCGAAGCGCACCAGGCGCCACAGCGCGGCTCACAGCGCTGCTCACGGCGCTTAATTGCGACTCGAGCCACACAGCTCTTGATTGGTGACGGTGCGCCTGCGCAGTCGAAGTAGCTCCGTACGTTAAATGGGACAGAGGGCTTACACTGTTACTACTACACAGACAACAGCATGGCCATTCACCGGTGCGTCTCACGTGGCCTGATTTGATTTCGATGGTACAATACAAACTCCCTGACATCCCATAATGATGCTAAAGACAGATAGCCCAGAACAGCCCTATCCATGTCCATTTTAGGTCATCGTTGAATGACCAAGAAACATGTGCAGTCCACGCAAAATCATGTCGTGAATTCTAGAGTTGTATCTGTGAGAGTAATGGAAGTATCAAAGTGATGGAAGAATCAAAAACGCACGGTGAAGATTGTATCGGTATCGGTGAAGATCTTGTCTAGGCTTTCCTAATCTCGAGGAGTCGGTCTTCTTTTCAATAGACAATCTTGGGGACGAAGTGGAAAGTTGTTGGCAGTGCGCATGCGCTCCCGGGGATTAATGTCAAGGCACAAAAGTGGCGCTTCACCGCTCGGTCTCCTCCGGTAAGCGAATTTTACAGATGTTTGCTCCTCGCAGCCGTGCTCCTCAAGCCGAGAACTTAGTGAAGTTAGAAGAGCGGGAGTGCAGGGTCCCGGGACGCCCCCGTGAGTCCCACACGGAAATGGGGCAAATATGAGGGCAATAAGCTGTTAAATTGGGCAGATTTGCTCTGCTCTGTAGTATTGTTCGGTTAATGGCGGACGGTAGGCAGCGCTGTCCTCCACACCGGCTGCAGAGGCTGATCCTGGGCTCAGAGACGAGCACGGCAGCCCACGCCGTTCCTTTGGGCGCATAGAGCTTCACAAACTCAGCACTTGTTTTGAGGCCGTTGTTTACGGCCGCATGACTCCAATGAGCCTGTGCCATCTCCGTGAGGGCGCTCCTGGTGGCGAGTGCGGAGAGTGGCGCTGATTGAGGCGCTGTGTGCGGACAGCAACTTTCCAATTAAAGACCATTGCTCCCCGGTAGACTTTAGCCCAGTGCTCCAGGTAAGGGCTATGCGGTGAGACGATGCTAAGCACGGACTCGGTGCGTGTACCGTGACCGGGCTGTCTGTGGCTCCGTAAGTTGCGCATATTTAGGCCTGGTTGGGTAGCCTAAGTTGCGGTCGTTTTGACAATGGCGCAGTGTGTGTGAGTGCTCTCCTCCACTCGATCTGCCGCCACAAGCTGCGGGAAACGACGCTGAATGAAGCACGTTTCCAACCTGGCTGCAAAGGAACGATTCATGTGACATGTGGAGAGTGTATGCGGCTTTTCTCTGTAACATGCGCATATCTGTATGCGGCTGCTTTTGCTCTGAGCTCAGTCAGGCGGTCTCCGAGAGCAGTTTACCCAATGCCTTTCAGTTGTTAGTCTACTCATTGTAAAGCCGAATATGAAAGTATATTTTTAATTTCATGCCTTGATAAATAAGAACACAAAACAGTCTTAGCTGAAGCTCTGTATAAGAATGTTCTTTAGTTCCAATTCTCTCAGAAATTCTGTTGTTGCCCTACTTCACTCACCCACTCTTCACCTGCTGATTGTCACCAACAACACTATAGCTCCAGCTGCCTTGGGGCACACGCACGCACGCACACACACTCACGCACTTTTGCTCTCACACACGCTCTCACACACACGCTCTCACACACGCTCTCACACACGCTCTCACACACGCATGCACACACGCACGCACACACACCCACACTACAGTCATACACAGGCTAGGTGGGTCAAGTGTCTTGCCCAAGGACACCACAACAGTATGCATGTTTGTGCTGGAATTGTGTGTGGGCGAACACTGCTACATGTGTAAAACAGGAGTTGTGTATTTAAAGGAATGCTGTGTCATTTTTCAGGTGGAGTTCACAGCACCTGCAGAGATTTTCCTGCTTTACCTACAATGTTCCTCTGTATCAGGGGTCTCCAACCTACAGCTTGGGAGCTCCACCCAGCAGCTTGCCAAGGGATTTCTGAATTATACATATTGCGCTCAATAACTCCTGTATCATTTTGATGCCTATATTTGTGCACTGATGACTGGATAATGGTTTATGTTTTGTAGGCATCTAACTGTACTAACATCTTCGGCTCACCACAGCTCTTTTATTTACATAGTTTCTGGTAATCGCTAAAATGCGTAGCTTTGCAGCATTTTTGTTTAACAAAAAGTATCTCACAGGAGGAAAAAAGTTGGAGACTCCTGCTCTATATCTTATCCTCAGACATCTAACACACAAGCTAAGTTACAGATCAGATCTGTGGAGTGAGCCTGCTTAGAGTAGCAGAGAGGAGGGGAGGACTGAGGCCGTAATGAGGAGAAGAGAGGAGACAGAGGAAGCAGAAAGGAGGAGGAAAGAAGGAGGACAAAGGGAGCAGAAAGGAGGAGAGGAGGACAGGAAGCAAAGAGGAGAAGAGGAGACTGAGGAAGCAGAGAGCTGAGCACAGAGGGGCTGTTTATTTAAGGGTCATTCCACAATTTTTCAATCAAATTTTTGGAGTAGATTTTTTTCTTTGCCTATTTAATAAGCACATGTTAAATGACCCAAAATGTTCCAGAAGACCAATTGTGCTTGTCTCTGCTATAGTTATAATGTATGACCTCCATGGATCATAATGTTATACTCTGGACATATTAAATCACAATATTTATCTAAAAGTTGATTTAAAAGTCCTATATGCAAAATTGACTTGTGAGCTTTTAGCCATGTTATGTTGTTACAGAGTTGTGTTTTGTTTCATTCACTTCACATGTTTGTTTGCCTGGTTTATTAGTCTGTCTGCATCACCAAAGCTCAAAATCCTCGCCTCCACCTTGTGATGTCATGAAGCAGTAGTTCTTTTTACCTTTAGTTCTGTAGAGACTGACAATTCTAGGGCTGGAATTCTCCAAATGATTCTAGTGAAGGTGTTTAGAGTTTGAAAACATAGTGGAACTCTTTCTGTATTACCACATGACATCACAAGGTGGAACAAGGTCTGATGATACAGATTTTGTGTGAAACATGTGATTAAAACCAAACAAAACACCAGGTATGCTAGAACTGAAGAAACAGTATTAAAAACATAAGTCAGAAAAGAGAAATAATATCTTTATTAAGAGACATGTCCACTGACTTCCACGTCAGAAAACAGCAGTGCCCAGTGGGAGCTGACGGCACCATAAATGTCATCACAACAAAGCGCCACAACCTATCCGCACCTCTGATGGGCACAGATGTAGAGTTTTACTTTTGCACTGGGAGAAACAAACTTTTTTATCCATCATGCCCATAGACTGTACATAACGGTACCAGTCACAAATCCACACGCACTGTATACCAGAGCAAAGTGAGTGAATTGGACATTTATGGACTTCAAGGTGTTGTATTTTAACATCTGAACTGCCCTCGCACAGCTCGGAGGGCGTGTCACTTGTTTACAGTGAAGAGCTGCTCCGAATACGAGTGCAGAAGGGGTGCTGCAAAAAAAAACAAAAAAACATGCAAATGAAGGGTTTTGGGAGAAGGTGCAAGTGAAGGAAAGGACGGATAAAGTGCGTGTTAACTCGTGAACTCCTAGAGAAGTAAAAATGTCAGCCGCCGTTGTATCACCATGACTGAGTGACAGTGGAGACACATGCACCAGATATCCTCCACACTAAATACCAACAAACTTCAAACTAAAGCCTGCTACAGCCAGTGAGTGGAAGCTCGCAGCTTCACTCCTCAATTACTTAAGGGCCATGTCCTGTAGGAGGCACCACACTGAGTGTGAATTCATAAATACACAAAGATTCTGTCCATGTGCTTAGGAGGATGAAGCCTACACAGACTTGTTTGGGAAAAAGCTTGGATAGGGCAAAACATTGATGGACGGTATGTCTCATTGTGATATCTGCATGAAACAGTTTGGACACCAATAACCAGATAAATAGTACCAAACTTTTTGAGACATTCTCCCTATAGTATAGTATAGTATAGTATAGTATAGTATAGTATAGTATAGTATAGTATAGTATAGTATAGTATAGTATAGTATAGTATAGTATAGTATAATATAATATATATATAATATATATATATAAATATAAATTACTACACACACACACATATATATGGGTGGGCTGGTGTGAGTTTTGTGTTACATTGTGTTGTTGGGGCTGGGTGTGAGTTTTGTATTGTGTTGGGGCTGGTGTGAGTTGTGTGTTACGTTGTGTTGTTGGGGCTGGGTGTGAGTGTTGTGTTGTTGGGGCTGGTGTGAGTTGAGTGTTACGTTGTATTGTTGGGGCTGGTGTGAGTTGTGTGTTACGTTGTATTGTTGGGGCTGGTGTAAGTTGTGTGTTACGTTGTATTGTTGGGGCTGGTGTGAGTTGTGTGTTACGTTGTGTTGTTGGGGCTGGTGTGAGTTGTGTGTTACGTTGTGTTGTTGGGGCTGGGTGTGAGTTGTGTGTTACGTTGTGTTGTTGGGGCTGGGTGTGAGTTGTGTGTTACGTTGTGTTGTTGGGGCTGGGTGTGAGTTGTGTGTTACGTTGTGTTGTTGGGGCTGGGTGTGAGTTGTGTGTTACGTTGTGTTGTTGGGGCTGGGTGTGAGTTGTGTGTTACGTTGTATTGTTGGGGCTGGTGTGAGTTGTGTGTTACGTTGTGTTGTTGGGGCTGGTGTGAGTTGTGTGTTACGTTGTGTTGGGGCTGGGTGTGAGTTGTGTGTTACGTTGTGTTGTTGGGGCTGGTGTGAGTTATGTGTTACGTTGTGTTGTTGGGGCTGGGTGTGAGTTGTGTGTTACGTTGTGTTGTTGGGGCTGGGTGTGAGTTGTATGTTATGTTGTGTTGTCAAAAGTATATCACCAGGTGCCACTGTAGTGTGCGGTCCCTTTGCTTCAGTCTTTGCGCTCACAGGATTGTAAAATTTAAAATCTCATCCAGTTCTTCTCGTGTCAGTGGTCTGTGCTGTTTGCCTAGTTTAAAAATAGTTTAATAGAACTATAATAAAATCAGAGCGGGGCTCAGTGCGGAGCCAGACTAAGTCTTACAAAACTAACTTTTATGCGCTTTGACAATTTAAACATTTTTTGAAGGTTCATATTGTAAAAAAAATACTGAAGAATCCCTACAATATCCAACCTTTAGCCATTGATGCCCTGTCAGCCGAACACGGGCAGTTTGATTTCACAAAAAATGGATTGTGCTCTATGGTGCAATTTCTGGGCTGGAGCTGCAGTACCTGGAGCGACCACAGATTGATTTCGCTTGTGGACAGAGGTAAAATCCTGTAGTGTGTGGCAGGCTTTAGTCTTAAATGATTCACAAGGGAAATGACTTGGACACAGTAGCCCACACATTACAATATGTTGAATTGGCTCTGCTGTCTGTGGTGAAGAGAGAGCTGAGCCGATACAACAAAGAGCAAAACATAAATTTACTCCATGAAAAAGTTTAATATTTTCTGTTACTCATTTCAGAAACTCAAACTCATATAGACTAAATAGACACGTGTGAAGCTTTCAAATCTTTATTTCTTGACATTTCATTTTGATGATTATGGCTTACAGATAATGAAAACCCCAAATTCTGTGTCTCAGAAAATTTTGAATCTTATAAAAGTTCAATATTTAGAAGTCATGGTGTCACACTTTAATCAGCTAATTAAGATCAATGCACCTGCAGAGGTTTCCTGAACCTTTAAGTGGTCTCAGTCTGGATCAGTGGGCTACACAGTCATGGTAAAGGCTGCTGACTGGACACATGTCCTGAACACAGTCACTGACACCATCCACAAGAAGAAATCCACAAAAGGTCATTGCTAAAGAAACTGCTAGTTCAGAGTGCTTCAGATTCAGAGAAACTTGAATGGAAGAAAAAAGTGTGGTAGGAAAAGCCCAAGGTACGACCACAACCTTGAGAGGATAATCTGGTGTAAGGGAATCAAGAGCCAAAGCCTCTATGGACACGAGACATGTCAGAAGAGTCTTACCAGGGCTGTGAAGAAAAACAACTGGACTGTTGCTCAGTGGTTCAAAGTCTCTTTTCAGATAAAATTACATTTTGCATATTTTTTGGAAATCAAGGTCCCAGAGTTTGGAGGAAGAATGGAGAAGCACAGAATCCACGTTGTTTGAAGTTCAGTGTGAAGTTTCCACAGTCACTGATGATTTGGTCTGCCATGTCATCTGCTGCTTTTGCTCCACTGTGTTTCTGAAGTCCACAGTCAACACATCTACCAGGACATTTCAGAGCACTTCATGCTTCCTTCTGCTGACAAACTTTATGGAGATGCTCATTTCATTTTCCAGCACGACTGGAAACCAAAGATGGCTCACTGACCACGGTGTTACTCTGCCTGACGGCCTGTAAACTCACCTGACCTGAACCCCATAGAGAATCTCTGAGGTTTTGTCAAGAGGAAGATGAGACACCAGAACCAACAATGCAGATGACCTGAAGTCCACTATCAAAGCAACCTGGGCTTCCAGTCCACCTGAGCAGTGCCACAGGCTGATCTCCTCCATGCCACGGCACACTGATGCAGTAATTCATACATTTCAGAAGGCTGACATTTCTGTTTAAAACATTTAAAAAAAAAATTGATCTTATGTAATATTCAATATAGTATGCAGTAGGCCCGACCGATATGGATTTTGTTGTGACCGATATGATACTGATAAAATGGGAGTTGGAGCTGCTGAAAGCCGATATAATTGCTGATATATTTAGTGATGTAAAAATTCACTGTAAATCTGTAAAGTAAAAAACGTGGGTTTGGCTCTAGTGGATTTTAAATTGGGTTTATTTAGGCAACATTTATTGTTATTCTGCCTCTTTACGTCAGTAGGTCGGACTAATGACATTGACATTTTTGCATCACATTCTAGCTAGTAAAAAAACTAAACTACCGCTATTAGCCTTTAACTGAAAAAGTGTGCACGCCAAGGCAATTAAATATATGTGTAAATGTGGATCATTCACACCTCTATTCACAGCTCATTTACATATCAATGCAGGTCCAGTAACAAATATACGGCCAATATAATCACTTTACAATAGGCCAATAAAAAACAGCCTGTTTATGTGCGGGAGCTACAGCAGCTAATCGATAACCAATAGACAAATAACCAAGACTAGCTTCAAAACTGACACATTTCCAACACTCAGTGCTCACACAGCCTCCTCTCAAATCACACACACTAATAAATATCCTTATAATCCAGACTCAAACCGATTGTCAGTAAAAAGAATATAATCTCAGTGTTTGGATCTGTGTATGCGGGTGTAAACAAGAGCACGTGAGTGACATGACTCTGGGGGTGTGTTCAGGGACAGTACGGACACACACAGACAAATGACTCCACAGATAAAAACTGATGTGGAGCCACATATTAGGACATTTATCTGTCTGTAAATTGGATTAAATGAACATAATGTAGAGAGTCTAAGCTTTATAACAAGGTATAACATGCCCACGTGAAATATCAGCAAGATTTAGGTAAAATCGCCGATATGTTTCCAGGTGCCCATATCGGCTGATAATATCGGCCAACCGATATCGGTCGGGCCCTCGTATGTAGTGTATGTATGGGTTCAATTGTAATGTAAGACAAATCAGGTCTTTTGCACCACATCATCTTTGTTTTTAATATCATTCAAAGGACACAAGTATGGATTGTTGGATTGTATGAAATGAGCTGTTTTTTTTTTTCCTCTATCCATGGAGACTCTGCAGGAGGCTCTAAGGAACTAGCTACAGACATTTGAGATGCTACAGGTTTTTACACTGTATGTGTCAGCAAATGTCGCAGCTTACCTTCCAGAGGAAACACTTGGAGAGTATGAACAATTTCATCACCAACCAAGTCAGAACAAGGCGTCTTCCTGTTGTGTTCACTTGGCGCCCCCTGGACACTGCTGTGATGCCCAGGCTACAGGACAGAGGAGGGACACTTTTGACTTTTCCTCTCCTCAAACTGCCCTGACACAGGATCTGTGGATCCTACCTGACCAACCCATCTGTTATCTAAAACGACTTCTGTTGTCTCTGTCTCCTCTCTCAAAAACATTTTAGCCAAAAGGAGTTTACTGTTTACTGCACTACAACTTTAGTTGAAACAATTTCTTTGTTTTCAAAGTTTTCTGTAGTTTGCAGTGCATTTTTAGTAGTGAGGGGGAAAATTTTAATTGAAAAGCTTTGGAGATTTTTTTGAGTTAAGCCCTAAATGACACAAGGTCTGTACTGTTTATCCTCATAAAATCAGAAATCTTAGTTGAAATAAGGTGTAATTTTTTTTGTCTTTAGTTTTTTCTGTCCTTCATGTAAAACATGTATGTTTAGTTTATGGATAGAAAAGCTTTGCTATTTGAGTTTGTGCCTGGGGAGACACATGATCTACCTGCACACCTGTCACCTGAGCTCAGCCAATCACAGCATGCCTCTTTTTGTTGGCAGGTGGTTGCCATAGTGATGGATGGGGAGCTGGACCCGAGTGCTGCCAAAGAGGATGCCTCCTCCCCCGCCCCCGACACCAAAGAGGAGTCTCCCATGGTATCAGTATCCTCTGTACAAGATGCTAAATGCAAAGTGTCTGGAGGCTGTTTGATTTTCCAACAATTTTGCTAAATCAAATTGCCTTTTGCTCTGAAATGTGTAGTACTCAGTATATTTTTTAAGTACTTTGACTGCACTGTACATCTTAAAGAGTGGGTATTAAGCAAAATAAACTTTTTTGAGCCTTCTACCATGTTATAGCATTGTTCCCTCATCAAAAATGTACCCAAAGCAGTTTGATATGCCATCCATGCATGTTTGAGTATATTAGCAATCTCTCCTGGGCCCTATTCAAACTGGCCATACAGTTAGCCGTACAATCCTATGCAAAGCTCAGCTTTGCCTACGTTACCCATGCTCCCCCACCAAAATTTTTTGTACAAAATATAATACAAAGCAGTACACTACAGTTTCACAAACTCCATTTAAGCCACTTTTTTTAAAAATCCCCTGCTACACTCCATAATAGATACAGGGAGCGAGGTCCAGGCCTCTACTGCTTTGACAGAGAAGCAGTTCTGTCCAAATGCGGTGGACCTAAAGTTCACAGAACAGTCTGTTCTAGAGGACACTCTGGTCCTGACTCCTGCTTCTTCATAGAATCTCACACTTTAAGGGGGGCACCTGTTGGGAAAAAAATCGTATACAAAAAACTAATATTGGCCAACAGGATGGCATTCTGAAATGTTAACATTTTATATTTCTTAACAATATTGCAGTAATGATGTGGCATAGGTTTCTTCTCTAATATCTTGCGTGTTTGTTTGTAAGAGCTTTAGAGAGCTCAACATGATTGTAGCATTTTCAAGACAATAAAAGGTAACATAGTGATCTAAATGTGTTATATGTTGACACTTAATATCCATAGAAGTCCCTCTTTAAACACACCCATGTACATCCTTGTACCTGAAGGAAGACTGGAATGTCAACTGCTAAACTAATAAAATAATCCCTTTTGAACTTAATTTATTTTGTATTAATCTGTTGTTAATAACTTAAAATTTAGTTTTTAGTAGAGTAAGGGTACCCAATGGCTTAGTCTTTGGATTGTGTAGAAAATCTGTCTGTGTGTTTAGGAGGAGAATGATGATGATGATGTGGTTCTGGTGGAGGAAGAGACCCAGGACAGGCCCAGCCCAGAGCCTCCTATGGACCCTCCATGTGAGGCCCCCAGCCCCCCTGTGTCTGCCTTGGGCTCTGCTGCTGCAGAGCCCATAGTCATCGACGACGAAGAAGAGTCGCAGCACAAATCCCCTTCAACTAGAAAAAGTCAGTCTTGTTTCAAACTACTATTGTACCAAACTAAAGCCTACAAATGTCCTAAAATTCTTTGAAATGTGGCAGAACATTAAACCCAACTCTATAAATTATTACTTTGCTGAGATGTAACACACCACTTTGTGCCACAGCGCCCCCGTGTGGTGCCTCACCTGCTGCCCTCACTGAGCCGGACTCAGAGATAAGGATAGCCAGTGTGACCACTCTGGGCTCTGGGGGTATGAAAGGAGGGAGCAGCCCATCTCACGCAGAGAGCCAGACGGAGGAACAGGACATGGCCCTCAGGATCACCTCTGTGACGTCTCTACAGGATGGAGCCTCTGACAAAGCCGTGGTGAGCGCTCCCAAAAACTCTCACAATTACAGCAGAGTTCTGTCCTGAGAAACAGGACTGTGAGGAGGAACCTGTCCTGTGCTGGGGACAAGCGCTCCTCTAACTTAGACTTAGACAAACTTTATTGATCCACAAGGGAAATTATTTGGACACAGTAGCTCACATGTCACAATATATTAAGATAATAAAGAGGAAGAAAGTGCCAAATAAGGCATAATTACATAAATGTGTACAATTAAGAATAAATATACTGTGTGCACAATTAATTGGCAATTAATGTGCAGAATTATCATGCAACTAAATGAAAAACAACCTATGGTCATGAACTCTGGGTAATGACAGAGAGGACGAAATCGCGGATACAAGCGCTCGAAATGAGTTTCCTCTGCAGGGTGGCTGGGAGCTCCCTTAGAGATAGGTTGAGGAGCTCAGTCACATGGGAGGACCTCGGAGTAGAGCTGCTGCTCCTCCACGTCAAGAGGAGCCAGTAGAGGTGCTCGGGCATCTGTTCCGGATGCCTCTTGGGCGCGTCCCTCGGGAGATGTTCTTGTCCCACCAGGAGGAGCTGGAGGACGTGTCTGGGGTGAAGGAAGTCTGGGAGTCCCTGCTTAGACTGCTGTCCCCGCGACCCGGACCCAGATAATCGGAAGAAAATGGATGGATGGATGAAAAATTTACATTTTCCATTCTCACTTTTTTTTTTTCATCTGTCAGAATAGTAAACAATAGTAAAATTTGCTAATAAACTTTTCTGATATTTCAAAAATAAATCATTGACCAATATAGCCTCCTTCTTCTCAATAATAGCCATAAGCCTTCCATTCATGGAGTCTGGCAGTTTCTTGATCTCTTGGCAGTCAACTTTTGATCAGCAGCAACCACAACCTCCCAGACATTGCTCAGAGGTGGACTGTTTTCCTTCACTGTAAATCTCCCGTTTAAGAAGGGTCCACAAGTTCTCAGAAGGGTTTAGGTCAGGTGAGGAAGGAGGCCTTGTTATTATTTTTTCATCTTTAAGGCCTTTACTGGCAGCCATGCAGTGGAATACTTCGATGCATGTAATGGAGCACTGTTCTGTGTAATATTCATGCTCCTCTTGAAAGACTTCCCTGTACCAGTGCTTGAACAATTACTCTAAGTACTCCACTCACTCCAAGTAGGTTACAGTTCTGGAATATTAGTGCTGGAGGATAATGACTTCCTGGTAGCTTCTCTTGCTGTTAATTTGCATCTTTTTTTTGTTGTCATTGTTGTCAACACGTTCCTTGCAATACTGTTGACTGTTTGAAACAAAACGTTTGACGGTTCTGTGATCACCTCCCAATATGTTTGCAATTTCAAAAGTTCCGCTTCCCTCTGAAAGACTTTTCACAATTTTTGATTTCTCAGAGTCAGTTCAATCTTTTTTTTGGCCCATTTTTCATGAATAGAAGCTGTCTAATAATTCTGCATACCTTGATATAGGGTGTTGATTTCCTTAGTCCACACCCTCCCTTGACAAATACACCAAGAATGCTTAAATCCAATAAGAATTCAAGTTTATACAACTTGGAGTTGGAGAATATGCATAAAAATCATGATATGGTAAAAATACCGGCCATACCAGCTTGTAAAAGCCTGATCCTGTCAGATCTCAGAAGCTAAGCAGGCTGGGCCTGGGTAGTACTTGGATGGGAGACCGCTAGGAATTCCAGGTGCCACAGTGGGGCACCAGTGGCAAAAAACGTTGTGTCCTTAGGCAAGACACTTCACCCACATTGCCTAGTATGAAAGTGGTGTGAGCGTGAGTGATGGTGGTGGTCGGAGGGGCCGATGGCGCAGATTGGCAGCCTCGCTTCTGTCAGTCTGCCCCAGGGCAGCTGTGGCTACAGCAGTAGTTTACCACCACCGAGTGTGGAGTGACTGAATAATGAACGGTAAAGCGCTTTGGGTATCTTGAAAGGCGCTATATAAACGCTATCTATCAATCAATCAAAATACCCACTTCCCTAATAATTGTGCACAATATATAAAATATAGTCATACAACTATATATCAACTGTATACGGGCCAGTGACATTTTGCAATTTTCAAATACTCAAAAAATGAAAATATAATGGCAAGCATTCCTGGTATATTTAAGTCTATATTTTTTTTCATTTAGTATATTCCCCTTGAAAAAAGCTTTAATAAAAAACATTTTTCTGCATTTAAAGCCAGGGACATAATAAAATGTCAAATAATTACATGTAAAAAATGTTTCTTAAAGTTTCACAATTTGCCCAAATATGGCAGTAACTCTAGCACCAATTTTTTTCATAAAGAATAAAACACTTCAAAATTTGATAAAACTTAGACATGCTGCCACTTTCCCTCTTTTAAATTTAAGTTTGTGTAAAAAATATATATATATATATTTTAATGCCAAAACAAACTTTCTGATACACTTCACCGCATGCCATATGCCATTTTGTTTTTAGGGTTTTTTTTGGCAAGTCTGTTGTACCAAAAGACAAATTCTGTTTCACTGAATGACACATTTTGTGTTACTGACATTTTTCATACATTTTCATTCTAAATTGGTAGATACTTTATCCACCAAAGAAAACACAAGTACCAGTATTGACTGCTCATACCAAGCTTTGATTTCAAAGGTAGTATTTTTTCAGTTATAACAGTTTTAAACACGTTTCACCAAATTACATCCAAAATTGTGGCAATTGTATTCCATCCATCCATCCATCCATTTTCGTCCGCTTATCCGGGGCCGGGTCGCGGGGGGAGCAGCCTAAGCAGGGACTCCCAGACTTCCTTCACCCCAGACACGTCCTCCAGCTCCTCCGGGGGGACCCCGAGGCGTTCCCAGGCCAGTGGAGAGACATAGTCCCTCCAGCGTGTCCTGGGTCTTCCCCGGGGCCTCCTCCCGGTGGGACATGCCCGGAACACCTCCCGAGGGAGCCGCCCAGGAGGCATCCGGAACAGATGCCCGAGCCACCTCAACTGGCTCCTCTCGACGTGGAGGAGCAGCGGCTCTACTCCGAGCTCCTCCCGTGTGACTGAGCTCCTCACCCTATCTCTAAGGGAGCGCCCAGCCACCCTGCGGAGGAAACTCATTTCGAGCGCTTGTATCCGCGATCTCGTCCTTTCGGTCACTACCCAGAGCTCATGACCATAGGTGAGAGTAGGAACGAAGACTGACCGGTAAATCGAGAGCTTCGCCTTTCGACTCAGCTCCTCTTCACCACAACGGTCCGATACAGCGACCGCATCACTGCCGAAGCTGCACCGATCCGCCTGTCAATCTCACGTTCCGTCCTTCCCTCACTCCTGAACAAGACCCCGAGATACTTGAACCCCTCCACTTGAGGCAAAGACTCCCCACCCACCCGGAGAGGGCAAGCCACCTTTTTCCGGTCGAGAACCATGGCCTCGGACTTGGAAGAACTGATCTTCATCCCAGCCACTTCACACTCGGCTGCAAACCGCCCCAGTGCACACTGCAGGTCCTGACATATAAATATAAAAATATTGCAAAAATATAATTCTTTGGGATCTGATAAGTACTAACTCAATCAGCCCAAATAAAGAGAAATCAATAAAGCTTGCCATGCAAGAGTTCTAGTACTAGGAGGTTGACTTCATTTTACCAAAAGATATTGATAAAAAATTATTCTTCTGTGTTAATTTTTAGGTTATGTAAATTATACCACAGAGAAAATTTATGATTTTGTCCATTTTTATAATTTGTGCAAGCAAATGTTATCACTAATTCTATGTGTGACCCGTTTCACAAAATGACGTTTACTACTTCAAACCTAATAATATTCCTTCAAAATTTGGTTTCTTCTTCCAAATTCATATTGGTACAACTAAAGTGATATAAAACAATTACATTTAAACAGTTTAAACCTTTATATATTAAGAACTAGAAAAGTTGTGGTTTCTGGACACAAAAATGCCAAAGTCACGTCCCTGACCCATACAAGAGGTCGTAAGGAAAAAACATGCAAAGATGATATGATTATTAACAGGACAATAAGGGTGAGTTGTAGTACAGTTGTATGCAGTATGGTATGAATGTAGTCCTATATCTCTCACTGTTTGTTTGAGTGGAGCTGTTGGAGCCTGTTCGAGAATAAGCTCCTCTGTCTCTCTATAGTCTGCAATTTGTGAGCAGAATGATGGAGAGCAGTTTGTCCAATGTCCTCGTGTCCCTCACTGTGACAAATGTCTGCAGCTCACAGCCAGTCATGTGAGCAGCTTTACAGATCAGTTTGTCAATCCTTCCAATGTCCTTTTTCCTGGTGCTGCTCCCGCAGCAGACCACAGTGACGTATAGCTGGCCACCACAGACTGGGAGAAAATCTCCAGTAACTTGCTGCACACATTGAAAGACCTGAGCTTTCTCATGCTCTTCTTGTACACAGCATTACTGTTGTCCCTTCAGTCCAGCTTGTTGTTCACATGGATGCCAAGGTACGTGTAGTTCACTATTTCCACATCATGGTCCTGGATGGTGAAGGACTCCACTGGTTTTTTCTTCCTCCTCAAGTCAATCGCCAGTTTCTTGGTCTTGTCAACCCAACCACTGCAGAGCCATCTGAGAAGTTCTGCAGGTGGCAGGACCCGGAGACAGGACTGTACCCTGGGGGCCTCTCAAATTACTGACCACAGTATCAGACAGAGTGGTCCCCAGTCGCACATACTGAGTCCTGCCTGACAGGTAGTCAGTAATCCAGAAGACAGTGGAGGAGCTGACACCTATTCTGAGGAGCCCAAGCATTACCTTTGTGACAATGAAACAGGGGCACTTTGTACTTGTGTGCAGGAGGTGGACCACAGAGAGGAGAATGGCCTACACATTAGTAATGCCTTCAGCGTGGACTTGGATCCTCCTGGTGGAGAGTTGGGCCCCCAGGAAGAACTGGTGCACAATGGAGACTCAGGACCTAACTCAACAGGTCGGTCCAGGTGTATTAACGCTCAGTTCTATTTACCTTTTTATTCAGAAACAAAAGAAGAAATCATTGTTTTATTTCAGGTCTTAGGAGCCTGTGATAAATGGTATTGCAAATTGTCATTTTTCATTTTTAACAAAAAAGTGACTGTGACCAACTGGAGAACAGTTGATGCTAGAATAGTTAGAATAGATTTAGTCTTTTAAAAGTCTCTTTTGTAGAAGCTTGTTGGCCAACACAGTTGCTACTCTGAACATGACAGATCTGCACACTGCTTCTGTTCTGGGTTTGGGTCGAGCCAAAAGACCATGAAGCTTACCTGGTTGAAAGATTGTGCTGGCATAATGTAAAAGGTTATAGAAATTAGCAGTTTTTTTTACTTACCCATGAATTTCTATGAAAAAAACAAACAAACGCACACAATAAACTTGCACTGCTGTGGTTGTGTCTGCATAGACCTGTGGCTGTCCCAGTCTGCCTCAGTCCAGCAAAGTGAGAAACAGTCTGGAGTGGAGCCTACAGCCAAGCCTCAGAGCCAGCCCACCTGCAGCCCCACAGCACCTGCCCGCACGGTCAAGGTCTCTACACCACACGGCACACACTGGTCATAGGCTTAGAGCAGGGGTGTGCAAACTTTTTTTTATCAAGGGCCACATATCTAAACACAGACGAAGCACAGGGCTGATCGAGGGCCGTAGACTGGTGCTCGATACAGCGAATAATTGAAATATGTGCAGATTTAACACGTTAGAATGAGCCATCAGTCTTTATTCATTCTAAGATTCTTAAAACCACACACCAAATATTAAATATGAGCTTTATCAAAGTAGATTTTCAAAATGCTTGCAGTAAAAAGTTAATTTTTAATTGAGGCAAGCTAATTTTGGCCAATTTACCTGGAAGCCTGAGGGCCAAGAAAGATTTGTCTGAGGGCCGCATTTGGCCCACGGGCTATAGTTTGGACATGCCTGGCTTAGAAATGTCCACACAAAACCATTCAAATCTGTCATCATACACTGCACATGTGCAACAGGTGGTTACACACAGTGCGCCTTGGGCTTTTTAAGGCAGTCTCCCAGTGTGACAGAGAAGCAGTGATAAAACATGAAATTCACCGCTACATTATTTTAATTACAAGTTCAGTTTCAGTAATAGAGTGCCTCATACAGCTCCCTTATGAGAACCAACTCTTTTCTTTTTTTGATTGAAATAAGTTAGTATATGAAATAATAAATATATGAAATAAGTTAGTATTGCATGCAAAAACATATTGTTGTTTTTTTTTATATTTATATATATATATATATATATATATATATATATATATATATATATATATATATATATATATATATGCCATAATTTCCCAAAAGAACAGTCTTCTGATTGTTTATGCCATGCTTGCATGGCCGCTTTTCCATGGTGGACACTGGGAAAATACATAGTTAATCTTTACAGGTGAAAATGTGACTTAGTGCTGTTTAAAGTGATGGGCCTGATGCTGAGGGAAAGCCTGGATGTGTGATGCTTGTGTGCTGTTTCAGGTGACATGTGCCAACTGTAAGAAGCCTCTAAAGAAAGGACAAACAGCCTACCAGCGCAAAGGCTCCACTCACCTGTTCTGCTCCACCACCTGCCTCTCAGCCTTCTCTCATAAGCCAGCACCTAAGAAGAGCTGCACCATGTGTAAAAAGTGAGTGCACATAGCCAATTCTATTTTCTTAATTGGTGATACACCTGGGATTTGGAAGGATCACATAGTAATCTTGGTACAAATGAAAAAAATGTTGTTGTGATGACCTTTACGCCGACATCAGCTCCCTTTGGCCACAACTGTTTTCTAATGTGCAAGTCAGCAGATTTGTTTCTTTTATTAAGTTGTTCTAGATGAACATTGATTTGCTTTTTAAAATGTTCACTTTAGGGGTGGGCGATATATCGATATTTTAAATATATCGAGATAGTTTTTAAACTCGATATGAATTCTGACATAACGTATATATCAATATAATGCTTATATTCAATTTTGATTTTGCCGCTTCGCTTGTTTACCTTCTCTCTCGTCGCCTCCCTGATTTTGTTCGCTCGTGTCTCCTTCACTCCTCACTACTGCCGTGAAAGACGAAAGTTGGTGCCAGTGAAAAGCTTCAAGCACCACGAACCTTTTCCACCATTTACAGACAAGAACATCAACAGCACATCCTCATATTCCACCGAGTTGTGTCCTTTAGCCCGAAAGAAACTAAACGAGCTGAGCTGCACGAGAAGTGTGCTGTTTATGACAATGAGCCATGCGCTTAAGTTTCGTTTCTGTAAAATGTAAACACACGTGTGCAAAACTGCATTAAACGCATTATTATTGCAAACGGGCTGATGTGGCTCTATAGTCGTTATCTTTTATATATTGTAAAGTTTAGCAATGTAAAGTTTATTTATGCAGAATATTTTAATGAATAATCTGCTGCAGTGTCACTTGTACAATACTGTTTGGAAACGTTGGGTTTGGTCTGCAGTGGATTGTGGGATTAAACCTCAGGGCTCCTTACTGCTGGATAATAACATGGATCTATTGAAATAAGGAACATCCTGAGCTTCCTCTGCTAAATGAGCTCATGGTTATGGTTATGGTCTGGATAAAAGAGTTAATGCAAAGATGAGCTTGTGTTGAGTTGTTTTATTTATGAATGAAAAGAAGGAAATATGTATTATTTCTTTTATTTGACAGTTAAATTATTATTTATGTAATTAGGGTTTTTTGTAATCTTAAATGTTCCTATATGAACTGTCAACCTCTTACACTTCAATTAAAAAAAAAAAGGCCCTTGTGGAATTTGGCAGATTTGTTTTTGCAGTTTTCAGTTTTAGGGGGTTATTTTTTCTTGAACATATATCGAGATATATATCGTATATCGAGATATAGCAAAATATATCGAGATATATTTTTTGATCCATATCGCCCAGCCCTAGTTCACATTATAGCATGATCCATGGGTCACATTGATTATATCTATATAGCAGACACAAGCACAGCTCACTCAAACTAAATCAGATGTCTGTGGTAGACATTATACCAGTACCACACTGCTACTGTACTGAAGTAGTTTACCATGTAGAAATCACCTGTTTCTCTCAAAGGGACATCACCAACATGAAGGGAACCATTGTGGCCCAGGTGGACTCCAGTGAGTCCTTTCAGGAGTTTTGCAGTACAGGATGTCTCGGTGCCTACGAGAACAAGCAAAACCCGCCCAAATCCGGAGTTAAGACCAAGTGCACAGTCTGTGGCAAACTCACTGAGGTCTGTTCTTTTCTCCACATGATTCATAGAGATTTACACATCACTAAAGCATTCATTCTTTTTTTATGTCCATGATCATTTACACTGTAGATTTTCCCTGAAGGCATCAAAACTATGAATGACACATATGGAATGTAGTAAACTCAAAGCAAACTCGAAATGACTCAAAACTTAGATTTTTAAAAATACCCTTTAACCTTTGCTTTGATCAATTCTTTGGACCAGAGATTCTTTTTTCCTTTGTGAGCTACCTTTATAAAACGAAAATGCCAGAGAGCTACTCATTTTAGCGGCCGCAAGAAGTGGAATACCACGGATTTAGATCGGAACAGTTAGAGGCTTATAATAAAACATATACTGTTATCCATTTATTAGTGCAGAAAGGCAAGTTTGGCATGAACATGATACATTTACAATTTTAACAGTCATTCTATTCATCAAATATTGTTATTCAGCACAAAACTTATAATTCAGAAATTCTTTGGTGAGCTACTTGGAAGGAGGTTACGAGCTACTGGTGGCTCTCGAGCTACTCGTTGGAGATCCCTGCTTTGGACTGAGGGATTTCTTGACCCTGACAAAGCACAGCTGTGAAATAAAAACCATTTCAGGAGACTTTATCGAGATTAGATTTGATTTATTGTCATTGTTTAGAACAACTAAACTTTGCTAGAGTAAAACTGCAGCAGGAAAAATTAATAAATACAAATACATTCTCACAATCTATATCAATAAACTATATAAATAAAAACTCAAAGCAAATTATTATTTAAATTATAATTTATGACATTTATTAATTACAATATAAAATGTAAATAATATTTAATGGAGTTATCTTATTTAGTTTTTTCTTTGCTACATAATTTCATATATATTCATTGCTTCATATATTTGATGTCTTCTGTATGTATATAAAATGTTGAAAGTAGCAAATTATATATATATATATATATATATATATATATATATATATATATATATATATATATATATATATATATATATATATATATATATATATATAGATATATATATATATATAGATATATATATAGATATATATATAGATATAGATAGATAGATAGATGAGAGGGTTTGTCCAAACTTTTAACTGGCAGTGTACTACTTCTAATGTCAAATAGCTGTTCTTACTGTACATTTGCCTTCTCAGATCCGTCATGAGGTCAGCTTTAAGACAGTGACCCACAGAATCTGTAGTGACACTTGCTTTAACGTGTATCGCCGTGCCAACGGCCTCATCATGAACTGCTGTGAGCAGTGCGGAGACTACCTGCCTAGCCGGACCTCTGCCAACCACTTCCTCCTGGTGGATGGGCAACAGAAACGCTTCTGCTGCCACAACTGTATCCGAGACTTCAAACAGGTCTGTCTCTTTCCCAAACAGACCTCACAGCATTTTATTTCACATCACCTAAAAGAAGAATCAATGTATCAAATAACTATCCCCAAAGGACATTTTAAACACATTTCATTTCAGATGAAATATTTAACTCCAAAGGGGGTATATTCCTCCTTAAGCATTTGCACACATGCTAAATGCGTTGGACACCTAAAAAGCGGACACAGTGAGATTACCATCTCTTATTGGCGCTTTATGGAAGCTGTGGAGAGTTTGCACCTGGATGATAAATGTGTTTTGACCTGAATGAAGGAGGAGAAAATGCAGATGTTGTTTAGAGGGCGCTACTTGTCCATGAGAGCAAGAACTTTGTGGCTTTTTCTAAACGTTGGAAAGACAGGTTTAAATTATCTGCAGAGGATAGACATTTCCAGTTTCTGTATCAACGGTGCATTAAAAGTGATGTAAATTTAAAGTGGTGTAAAGCATGATGTAAGCTGATAATAAAAATGGGAAATTGCTGCAAATTTTTATTGTATTCAATTTTTGAAGAAAAACTACAGACATATAGGCATAGCAGTGAGCATAGTCCCAGGCATCATCTGTAGGTCTGTCAACAGCTCAGATGCTAAACTCTCATTTACATATTAGAATTGTGGTGGAATAAGAGGTGCAGTTTCTTATAGAAAATGAGGTAACAAATAGCACATAGTTTGTACTTGCAATTTAGCACCTGGTTTAGTAAAAGTGTTTTGCTACTAAACTCTTATCACAATGTTGTTGCCTTTTCAGGCTCATAATAAACTGGCAAGCTGCGTCACATGTAAAACCCTCATAAAGACTGGAGAGGTCCTGCACAGTATTGTAGCCAATGGAACAATGGGCTCCTACTGCTCCATCACCTGCATGAACAAGGGCAAGACCGCCCCAGCCTCCTTCCAAAGTGAGTCTATCCTTTGGTCACAGCTAGGACATCAGAGTCCCCCTCTCCTCCATCATGCTGCCCCCCTCTCTTCCATCATGGCGTCCCCCTCTCCTCCATCATGCTGTCCCCCTCGCTTCCATCGCAGTGTCCCCATCTCCTCCCATCAGTGTCCCCCCCTTCCATCACAGTGTCCCCCCCTCTTCCATCACGGCACCCCCCCTTCCATCATGGCGTCCCCCTCTCCTCCATCACGGCGTCCCCCTCTCCTCCATCACGGCGTCCCCCTCTCCTCCATCATGGCGTCCCCCTCTGCTCCTATCTCTCCACAATAAGTCTGTACCTTTGAAGTAGACAGAAGCATTTGAAGTGTTCATTTAAAGTAAGATCATTAGGTTTTGAAATGAGAGCTCCACTGCTGCTTCAACGTGCTGCCTGTCAGTCACATCCAACCACTAAGTCAATAGTGACAGAGAATACTAAACATTTACTTTTAACTTTAAATAAATTACACATTTTCACACTTACCACAACCCACTGTATTGTGCTTAACTCCTCTTATACCCAGTAAATAACTAAAGCCTTTCCTTGTTTAAATAACTCATTTAGAGTAAGGTAAAATTTTTTGTACCAGGAAGACCTTTTTCCTGTCTTTCAGATGTGTTAGGATTTTGGCGAAAAGGCTAAACTAAGTAAGGAGTAGGAAAAGGTTTTGACTAGCCATTCAAGAAAGGCGGTCACAAGCAAGCCAATCAAGAGACCATGCTTCCCCTGCCATCCTGTGAAATGAGCTTGTACTGTCTTTGGGCGATGGTCACAATATAGGCCTCAGAGTGTGTGTTTGTTTTTGGGTGAGTTTGCTGGGGCCTTACTGTGTGTTGATGTGTCCAGACTGTGATGCCAGAGAGCCTGTGTGTCACTTCTGTAAAAGGAACGCCTTACCGCAGTACCAGGCCACGCTGCCCGAGGGGAACGTCCTCAGCTTCTGTAGCTCCCAGTGTGTCACAAAGTTTCAGGTCTGTCTACTCTACTTGGCTCCACTAAACACATCTGCTTGCATCACACTACACTATAGTGTAGCAGATTCAGAGCTTTCAGGGCCTTTACTTCACATCTGTTATGTTCCTTTTAGATGACTATGATCCTGTTTATGTTTCACTGCAAACGTCAGAATCATGAATATTAAATGCAGTGTAAGGGTTAGAACTGACGGTGTCTCTCTTTGTCAGAAGACTTGACTATGACCTCTTTGCCTTTTCAGAATACTACTCTCCAAAGTAGCACTAATGGACAAACGGCGCCATCTGTAGACAGCGCTGTGCAGCTCAAGTGTAACTACTGTCGGGGATCCTTCAGCCTGAAGCCGGAAGTGCTGGAGTGGGAGGTGAGCCCATGTATCATTCTGAACTTCACTGCATGTTTATGGAGAGATTTGGAAACTACATGTTTGTAAGAAATGCATGCTGTATTTATCTATCGACCCTGTAAATTAAACTAGTTATATGTTTGGCTCTACATGTGTGCCACTCCAGGCACATATTTAATAACTCACACAAATGTCTCATGATGGATTTTGACTTTAGAGTGGACTGTGATTTCTCAAAATGTGGAGCACCTAATGATAAGCCCTGGACAATATTTTGGCCAGATGTGTCATTTTGAAAATTTCTCCAAGTAATGATCTAAAATGTTTAACAGCAGAAAGTTGAAATCCCAAAATATCTGAAATATCAACCAGATGTCTTTGTTCACATTTTAGGATCCTGTCCCGCCTGTCAGAATGGTGACAATTATGCACCATAAACCAAACCTAGCCTGCTATCTCCAATGACTGCTCTGCAGTCTGAAGCTTCTTACTATGGCTGTGCTCAGTGAAGTGATTCTAACCCTGTGTTAATGTTTTCAGGACAAAGTGTACCAGTTCTGCAGTAAAACATGCTGTGATGACTACAAGAAGCTGCACTGCATTGTGACCTTTTGTGAGTTCTGTCAAGAGGAGAGGACTCTACATGAAACAGTCAAGTTCTCTGGAGTCAAGAGGCCTTTCTGTAGTGAAGGTATGGCCTGTTATAATCAGGGCAGTCTACAGCACCTCACCAACTGGTCACTGTAAGTTCTGATGAACTAGTGGACTAAAAATGTGCCCAATTGTTCACTTTTATGGTACAAGTATAAATCTTTGCCAGATTATTAACATCCCTAGGACCAACATTTCTGGATATGAACCCAAGCCCAAATCGATCCTGGAGCCGAGTATTGCGCATGTCACAAAATGACTGACATGGAAACGAGGCTGGGAACTAAATTACTGGTTAAACCACCTTTTTTGGAAAATAATGTTAAATTATCACACATTATCACTAATACTTCCACAAGACTCTAACAATCATATGTATCGTACTGGGAAATAAGCAGGAATCTTATAGTGGTTATTTATAGCACCGTTAAAAGGCTACAATCTATATGGTGAACAATGGATAGATATTGTGAAAAGGTAGAAATAGAGAGAAAGATAAAAAACAAAACATTTAAGATAGAATAGAGTAGAAAGCCTTTGTCATTATGCAGTATAAAGAAATTCAGAGCTGCTCCGTCAAAGTGCAAGAATTAAACTAAATAAATAAAACAAATTAACAGTTCTCATTCAGTGTGGTGAAAGCTTGGAGTCGGTTGGTCCTCGCTGGAATTGACCTGAAGCACCTGCCAGAAGGCAACAGGTTGAACAGGTGGAATCCAGGGTGTCTATTGTCTTTAATTATTTTCCTCGCTCTGCTTAGACAGCGGGAGTTGTATAATGTGGTTAAGGAAGGCAGAGGGCAGTCAATAATGTCCTGTGCAGTTGGTCACCCTCTGCAGATGCTTCCTGTCAGCCTCTGTGCAGCTAGAGTGTCACACTGTCACAGCAGAGGTCAGCAGGTGACCAATGGTGGAACGATAGAAGGTCACCAGCAGCTCGTGTTTAGTTGCTCCTTCCTGAGCACCTCAGGAAGTGTAGCTGCTGCTGGGTCTTTTTGACCAGTGGTGAGGTGTTGACTGACCAGGAGAGATCCACAGAGATGTGAACCCCCAAGGAATTTGAAGGTCTCCACTCGCTCCACACTTTGGCCATTGATGTACAGGGAGTCAGGGGTGGCTCTGTTCCTCTGAAAGTCCAGGATGAGTTCCTTAGTCTTGGTGATATTCAGTGCCAAGTTGTTAGTTGCACACCACTCGCGGAGTTTCAGGACCTCATGTCTGCATAAGATTGTACTATATCTGGACAATGCAGCATAAAGTGTAAAGGTGCACTATGTAAGTCTATGAAACTTTTTGGTCAGTAAAGAGAGCTATAAAAGAAGGCATTTAAGATTGTACTATATTTGGACAATGCAGACAATGAGCCTCAGTGTCTGGACAAAAAACCCCAGTGTACATTTTCAAGCAAATAATAATAAACTGTTTTTGTTTAATCTGATGATTGATTAATGTGATTTTAGCTAGCTAGGTACCTACAAAATAAAATCATCTCATAGTGCAGAATTGGGTACAGATTAAAATTCTCAGTTTTGGCTGAAAAAAAATCACCAAATGAAAGAATCTGGCCATACCAGTTTGTCAAAGCCTGATCCCGTCAGATCTCAGAAACTCAGCAGGGCCGGGCCTGGTCAGTAATTGGATGGGAGACACTGGGAAAATCAGTTGCCACAAGGGGGCGCCAGTCGCAAAACTGTTGGTGTGTCCTTAGACAAGACACTTTACCCACATTGCCTAGTATGAAATTGGTGTGGTTGTAAGTGACAGTGGTGGTCGAAGGGGCCAATGGCGCAAATTGGCATGGCAGCCTTGCTTCCGTCAGTATGCCCCAGGGCAGCTGTGGCTACAACAGTAGATTGCCATCACCGGGTGTGGAGAGAAGAATAATTAATCTATAATGCTTTGTGACATATGTCTGAAAAGCGCTATGTAAAACTTACTCACTCAAATTTTAGCTCAATCCCTTCAGTTGTTCCTGAGTTATGAAAGAGAGACACAGTCGGCAGAGGCCGGCGCAGAGGCCGGCGCAGAGGCCGGCGCAGAGGCCGGCGCAAGAGGCCGGCGCAGAGAGGCCGGCGCAGAGGCCGGCGCAGAGGCCGGCGCAGAGGCCGGCGCAGAGGCCGGCGCAGAGGCCAGCACAGAGGCCGGCGCCGACTGTGTCTCTCTTTCATAACTGGAAGTCATACAAGATATTAAATATGGATCTCACAGCACCACTACTTAATTTGCTGACGTTATGCAACATATTTTTGTATTTGAAGTAAATTATTTGTTCAATTTTCTGTAGGCGACAAAACTTTTGTCTTGCCAAAATCTGACCTATCTGTGATCAATCTTTCTTCAGTGAAGCAAATTTATTTTAGTATATTGAGCATAATTTGGGAGGGTTTTAGCTTTCATATGAGACATTTCTAAAACCAATCGATTAATTTAAAGTCAGGTTATAAGCTTTTGTTTCTACAAAATGGATAAGCAACAAGACTTTTGTCAGGGACTGTACTTTGCCTTTATACTAGCTGATGGAGAGGGTCTGCTTTATTACATCTGCTGTCTCACTGTGCCTGTCATTGACCTGTGTGTGTTTCTTTCAGGCTGTAAACTGCTCTATAAACAGGACTTCATCAAACGCCTGGGGCTGAAGTGTGTCAGCTGTAACCACTGTAGCCAGATGTGTAAGAGAGGAGTGACACAGACACTAGGCGGCATGACGCGGGATTTCTGTAGTGACACATGTGCGCAGAAGTTCCAAGAGTGGTACAAAAAGGTACACCCTAGTGGTGTGCAGTCTGCTGCCTTCACACCACCTTCTCTGCTCCCTGCGACTGTTTGTTTTTATATAAATGGCGCTCTGTGACTCTAATGTTGCTAGCAGAGCCCACGCTGTAGTCTTGACTGTGTGTTTTGTTCACAGGCTGCCCGCTGTGACTGCTGTAAGGTGCAAGGAGCACTCACAGAGACTGTCATGTGGCGCTCAGAGGTGAAGCAGTTCTGTGACCAGCAGTGTTTGCTCCGGTTCTACCTCCAGCAGAATGAGCCCATCATGGAGACACAGAAAGGCCCAGAGAACTCCAGCACAGGTGCCACTCTTACCATTCCTCCTGCTTTTCTGATTCTTAGATAGACTACCCTATTAACAATGCCCTCTGTGTATGAGGTAGTCTCACGATCAGGCCCAGTAAAATCTAGCCAATCCGGCAGAAGCTTGCGCATGTAGTGCCTGGACCCATATCATCACTCCATGCATGTCTGGGTCTGCACAGTAAGGGTTCTGTTAAACAACTGTAGACAGAGTCAGTACGCCTGACAGGATATACTTGAGTGTTTTACCTACATGTCTACAGTATCCAATTTGAGCACTTTATTTAGATAGGAGGTGGCATTTGAGAGAAAAAGAACACACTGTTACTGCTCCTCTGCTGCCGCATATGCTCATAGTGTCGGCCCAAGTTGTTTTTTAGTTGTTTATGTTTGTGCAATCTGGGCTCCCCTGCTCACAGTCTCCAGCACTGGTCTTACTCAGCTGTCTCTTTCTCCTGCAGGGTTAGATGTGCACAGTGCCAAACTTGGGGTATGTACATTATTTTTCACTTTTTTATATAAAACTGCTGATGGTGAGCATTAGCTTTGACTCCTAGGCAGTTTGAGGACTGAGAATCCAAAGGGTTTCATTGGCTTTATGTCCTAAAAGGGTACAAGTGAAGTAGTTTACCAGTTTCATATATCTGAACAATTAATCTTGTGATGGTTTACCTGCTCTGTTAATTATTTTTGTCCTTCAGCTTTTAGATCAAATTGGCAAAATAGTCAGTTCAAGTGTTTGTGCCTGACCTTACGGCTCTAACACTTGTGCCCTATTGATTCTCAGGCTTTTCTCTGCTCCCAGATCCATTATTAGACTAGAATTATTTTCACAGAAGAGAAGTCCTGAGGGCAAATTTGAGGAAAAGTTGGTAAACCTTTTTTTTTTTTTTTTTTTTTTTAAGTTTTAAGCCTTCTAATTTGCATATTAAATATATATATATAATTTATGAATATATAATCTATCCATCAATCCATCCATGTTCTTCCACTTATCCGGGGCCGGGTCACGGGGGAAGCAGTCTAAGCAGGGACTCCCAGGCTTCCCTCACCCCAGACACTTCCTCCAGCTCCTCCAGGGTGACCCCAAGCGTTCCCAGGCCAGCCCAGAGACATAGTTCCTCCAGCGTGTCCTGGGTCTTCCCTGATGCCTCCTCCCAGTGGGACATGCCCGGAGCACCTCATGAGGGAGGCACCCAGGAGGCATCAGAACAGATGCCCTCCCCTCAGCTGCTCCTCTCAATGTGGAGGAGCAGAGGCTTTACTCTGAGCTCCTCCCATGTGACTGAGCTCCTCACCTTTTCTCTAAGCAAGCGCCCAGCCACCCTGCAGAGGAAACTCATTTCGACCACTTGTATCCGCGATCTCGTCCTTTCAGTCAATACCCAGAGCTCATGCCTGCCTTTCGGCTCAGCTCGCTCTTCACCATAACGGTCCGATACAGCGACCGCATCACTGCCGACACTGCACCGATCCACTTGTCAATCTCACACTCCATCCTCCCGTCACTCGAGAACAAGACCCCGAGATACTTGAACTCCTCCACTTGAGGCAGGGCTCTCCACCCACCCGGAGAGACACCTTTTTCTAGTCAAGAACCACGGCCCCTGATTTGGAAGCTCTGATCCTCATCCCAGCCGCTTCACACTCGGCTGCAAACTGCCCCAGTGCTGCAGGTGCTGGTCTGATGAAGCCATCGGGACAACATCAGACACGTGTAGAGGTCCAGTGTTCCATGGCCAGGACAAAAACCACACTGCTCCTCCTGGATCCAAGGTTCGACTATCGGCTGGTTTCTCCTCTCCAGTCCCTGGCATAGACCTTTCCAGTGAGGCTGAGGAGTGTGATTCCCCTGGAGTTGGGACACACCCTCCCCCTTCTTAAACAGAGGGACCACCACCCCACATCAGGATTTTATGTTGTGTTTAATGTGTGAGATAAGGAGTTTAGAGAAAGAAGTGCTAGCTTATTTTAATTCTGCCTGTATTCTTAGTCCGCACTAGCAGCATTCTGGCATGAGTGATCTGAAATACTTCTACATTTGCAGCCACTTAGACAGAACAGACCTGCACTGTGACAACTGCATTTGCTTGTCTTACAGTCGTACTTGCATCTGCAGGTTGCAGGTTTTTGGGATTGCATCAGTTTGGGTTCCAGGTTTTCATTGATTACATTCCATCCCATTTCATCTACAGGTTGTAGAACTGGATTTGTTCAATTGTCTCCATACTCGAGCTTAGTAATGTCTCTTGTAATAGGCCATGAGCAGCAGCACTTTAGGGAGTAGAGCCTCAGGTCCCTGACATCTGAAAAAAAGTGTGGCTCTTGCATCTTTGCAGCAGTAGCTCAGTTGGTCAGAGCATTCGTCCTCTGATCCAAAGGTTGGCGGTTCGAATCTCGCTCTCGACATAAACATCACTGGTTGAGCAGTCAGATCCACTGACCCACAGATTGGTGATGCGATTCCACCTCTCACAGGTGAATGCTGTCATGTCCTTGGGCAAGACACTTAGCCTGCCTCGCTCCCTCATTAACATTTACTGAAATTTTGTGATATAATACATAAGAGTATATTCTTCCAGGAATAAAAATGAGCAGTCACCTAGAATCCAAACCTAGTAAAAATTAATCAGGAATTTGTTTCATTTCGGCTCATCAAATGAAGGAAATGAAGGACGCTAGCTTTAAAGAGAACTTTAATTTGATTAGCCTGGTTTCTATGCTATTATGCTAATAAGCATTCTTAAAATTCAAAAATCAGCATGGTAAATATTTGGAATTGACACCCTGGGAAATAACACGTTTACCGACTTTTCCTCAAATTTACCCTCAGGACTTTTTCTGAAAGCATTCCTTGGAATTATTCTCAGTCTGTATGAAGTGCTAGATAACGTAACATCAGTGAAGCAGGCCTACTCTAGTGCGTGTTGTTCCTCCCTGTTAGCTGGTGAGCACGGGCAGTGTGGGCTTTGGAGGACTGCTTCGAGATGTGAAGAACAAGGCAGTGCTGTGCAAACCTCTAACTCTGACCAAGGCCACGTACTGTAAGCCCCACATGCAAAGCAAGCCCCTGCAGACAGGTACTGAGCTGCTCCTCCTCTGCCCCTCAACTCCTTCTCTTCACCTCTTCACCTCCTCTGCACCTTTACAACTCCTCTGCCCCTCTATTCCTCTGCTCCTTCTCTGCACTTCTTCTTCTCATCTACTCCTCTTCTGTGCCTCTTCTGATCTCCCTCTGCTCCTCCTCTGCTCTGCCTGTACTACTTTTCCCCCTACTCCTCCTCTGCCCCTCCTCTCTTCTGGCTCTTGACACATGCCCTCCTGTGTGCCTTCAGATGTGGATGACGGCTTGAAGAGGGAGTACGTGCCCGTGCCCATCCCGGTGCCTGTGTTTGTCCCGATGCCCATGAACATGTACTCCCAGCTTACACCAGCGCCTCTCTCTCTGCCTCTACCGGTAACATGCACTGCATTTCCAACTGTTCATGCTCTCTCACACTGGTCACTGGTGAGTTATGTCATCAACAATGTGTTTGCTGTGATCAGGTTCCTGTGCCTGTGTTTCTGCCCACCAGCCTCCAGGGGGCAGAGCAGATCATCCAGATTCTCCGTGACCCTCAGACAGCCTCAGAGGAAAGCAAGCCAGGTACTCGGTGTAGTTAGAAGCTTGTTCCAAATACCCAAAACTGGCCTCAAATCTCCTACATCATTAAAGAGGACAAATGATGTAAAATCAAATTTTGGAGCTTTCCACCATGCTATAACATTGTTCCCTCATCTAAAATATGCCTCAAGGGGTTGTTGCTGTCATTCATGCATGTTTGATTAATGTTCTCCCTGTGCCCTATTCAAACTTTCCTTACAGTTGGCTTTAAGATTTGTCCTATCCTATGCCCTCAGAACAATTGTCCTGTGATGTGATGTGTTGTGCAGTAGTAGTACGATTTGTAATGGGACAGCGCTGTGAAAGGGGAATGACTTTTTTTGACGGCGTCAAAAACAAAATAATATATTGTTTTGGTAAATTTAGCATCAAAACAATAAAAGGTATCATCAGGGCCAAAACTGGATGTACGTCACCGCCTGCCATGATAAGGACTGTCTGAATTATGCTGAGTTAGGAAAAGTAACCTGCATGCTTCCTTTAATTACTGCTTTAGCATAGGAACCTCGGGAGCTTCCTAATCATCGGTAAGGAGCTATGAGACATCCCACAATCCAGTGCGCTTTTCCCCAAAAGGTTTCTGAACATGGCTGATCTCTGTGTGATTAATTTGTAATGCAGTAAACGTTTCATTGACCCATTAACTATCTGGAAAAACCCAACATTTCTACAAGAATTAAAATAAAAGAATTGGGGGTCATCACAGCTTCTTGCTCTCTATTTGACTTTATTATGAGGTGCATGTATTGTAATGTGTTTTGTGCGTGTCGTAGATTAAAAAGGTACTGATTAACTGCTATGTAGTTGGAAAGTTAAAGTTTCTCTTGGGAATTTCTTGAGCTATAACTATCAATCTGCTATTAGGCTTGTCCTACCTAATGATATGCTGAATGTTTGTATTTGAGATGTGTTTGAGGGGAATAACTGTCTGTTGTGCCTGTATGTGCTGAGTCCAGATGTGAAACAGGAACAAGAGGAGTGTGACACTGAGCAGTGTGAGGCTGACCTGGACTTGGAGTCAGACCTCTGCCCTGGTACTTGTCTCTCTCTGTCTCTGTTTCTCTCTGTCTCTGTTTCTCTCTCTCTGCCTCTCTCTGTCTGTCCCTCTCTCTTTCTCTCTCTCTCTCTGTCTCCCTCTTTCTCTCTCTCTCTCTGTTGTCTGTCTCTCTCTGTCTCTTTGCCTCTGTCTCTCTCTGTCTCTCACTTTCTGTCCCTCTCTCTTTCTCTCTCTCTCTCTGTTTCCCTCTTTCTCTCTCTCTCTCTGTTGTCTGTCGTTGTCTGTCTCTGTCTGTCTCTCTCTCTCTGTCTCTGTTTCATTGGCTCACTGGCTCATTTACAGTCCCTCATTCAGCTTGTTGTTGTTCTGTTTCCCTCAGATGCGTGTCCAGGTGTGGGCTCATCTGACCTCCAGGAGAGCACTGATTCCTCCACTCTAGCTGTGGAGGAGCACCAGGTCGGCCCCTCTCTGCTGCCACAGCCCACCAAACTGGTATGTCTCTGTCTAGTGCAACTGGGCTGTATCTTTGTCACTTTGGTTGTCAAAACAAGTATTGAAAATCAGATACTAATGAATATTAAAACTAGTATCAAAACTAGATACCTTACTGATACTAAACAAAGTCACATTCACAGGACAGAAATGAACCTTTCCTGAAAAGAATAAAATGATCTTGCGCTGTAGCCTGTATCAGAACACGTTTAAGATCATGTTGACTAGGATACTCCCATGAACAACTATGGAACCTACCTGGACGACTGAGGGATTACACACTAGAGTCCGACCAATATATCGGCTGGCCGATATTATCGGCCGATATGGGCACTTGAAACTAGAGCCCTGCGGGACCGGATGCAAACCACTGCGACGGGGGACACATTTTGAAAGCTCGCTGCGGGCGCGGGCGGGAGTGGGACTAAACAACGCGGGAGCGGGCGGGAGGGATAATAACCTGCAGTCCCGCAAACTAAATATGAGTATAAAGTAAAATATAAAAAAGATGAATGTAAGAATATCATGCATAATTTGTGCTGGAGATTTTATTTGGCATTAATAAAAACATTTTAGCTGACCCACCCGTCCCTTAGGCCGCGCGAACAGTCCCCCCGCGTCCCTTAGGCCGCACGAACAGTCCCCCCGCGTCCCTTACGCCGCGCAAACAGTCCCCCCGCGTCCCTTACGCCGCGCGAACAGTCCCCCCGCGTCCCTTACGCCGCGCGAACAGTCCCCCCCGCGTCCCTTACACCGCGCAGACTGACCCACCCGTCCCTTACGCCACGCGGACAGTCCTTCCTTCCGTACGCTACGCAGACAGTCCCCCCGCGTCCCTTATGCCGCGTGGACAGTCCTTCCTCCCATACAGTGCACGAACAGTCCCCCCGTCCCGTACGCTGCGTGGACAGTCCCCCCACGTCCCTTACGCCACGCGGACAGTCCCCCCGTGTGCCTTATGCCGCGCAGACAATACTTCCTTCCGTATGTTGTGCTGCCTGCGCAACAAAACCAGGACTAAACCAGGTCTAAAAACAGCTCTAAAACCAGGACTAAAACAGGATTTAGCCAGGACTTAACCATGCCGCCAGATTGCCCACCGTGCCTCCTCTCATACGCAGCCCAATTTCTTTCGTTTCTCCGTGTCTGATAGAGTTTAGGAAAGCAAAGGTTCCCATCCTGTGGGCATTGCGGGCGGGCGCGGGACAAAATATTGCAGATGCGGGCGGGAGCGGGACTGAAAATTACAATTCTTTGCGGGAGCGGGCGGGAGCGAGCGGGCGGGAGCGGGACTCAAAATTCTGTCCCGCGCAGACCTCTACTTGAAACATATCGGCTATCGGCTATGTTTGCTGATATGGGCCGATATTTCACGTGGGCATGTTATAACTGTCTACATTATGTTGATTTAATCCAATTTACAGACAGATAAATGTCCTAATATGTGGCTCCGCATCAGTTTTTATTTCCGGAGTCATTTGTCTGTGTGTGTCCGTACTGTCCCTGAGCACACCCCCAGAGTCACATCACTCACGTGTGTTTGTTTACACTTGCACACACAGATTCAAACACTGAGATTATATTCTTTTTACAGACAGTCGGTTTGAGTCTGGATTAAAATGACATTTATTAGTGCAGACTTGTGATGTGAGGAGGAGCCTGTGTGAGCGCTGAGTGTTGGAAATATGTCGACTTTGAAGCTAGTTTTGGTTATTTGTTTATTGGTTAGCAATTAGCTGCTATCGCTCCCGCACATAAACAGGCTGTTTTCTATTGGCCTATTGTAAAGTGACTATATTGGTCGTATATTTGTTACTGGACCTGCATTGATATGTTAATGAGCTGTGAACAACGGTGTGAAAGATGAAATTTGCGCATATAATTAATTACTGCGGCGCGCACGTATTTACGGCTAAAGGCTAATAGCGGTAGTTTCTTTACTAGCTAGTGGTGATGGGTCGGTCGTGAACAAAACGGCTCTTAGAGTCGGCTCTTTGAAGCGAACAACGGGAGCCGGCTCCTTATTGGGAGCCGTGTTTTCTCTTTCTCTCACTTTTTTTCTCTTGATGTCGCGTGCAGACTCGTGGTAGTTTGACAGCGGCAGCGGCTCAAAACAAAACTTTCAGTAATCTGCGTGTGCATAGGATAGAAAAAATTTGCATGTTTGTCTGTAGTTCAGCATAAAATAAATAAACCCGGACTAATCTTGAGCTCGAGAGACGGAGAGAGATAGAGACTGAGTCCTAACACTCAGTCCTGGTTCAGTTCTGGTTTAGTCCTGTTTTACCAATGGTTTAGTCCTGGTTTAGTCCTGGTTTAGTCCTGGTTCAATCCTGGTTTAGACATGCTTGCAGCAAAACAATCTGAAGAGCCGCTTGGGAGCCAAAAGAACCCGCAGCTTTTAGTGAGCCGAGCCAAAAGAGCCGGTTCTCTAAAAAGAACTGGAATACCCATCACTAGTAGCTAAAATGTGATGCAAAAATGCCATTAGTCGGATCTACTGTTTGTAAATATGACGTAAAGAGGCAGAATAACACTAAATGTTGCCTAAATAAACAAAATTTAAAATCCACCAGAGCCAAACCTAAGTTTTTTTTAAACAATTCCAGATTAACAGTGAATTTTTACATCACTAAATATATCGGCTATCGGCAGCTTCAACTTCCATTTTATCGGTTTCATATCGGCCACAACAAAATCCATATCGGTCGGGCCCTATTGCACACGTATAATTTCCAAGTTTCCCAGTTCAGCGCTATTCCCCTACCAATGCAGGTAGGAGAATGCCGCCAAAATCTGTGCAAGTCAGCTGCAAGTCACTGAGGACTGGTCAGGTAGGGTCTGCAGATCATGTGTCAGGGCAGTTTGAGGAGAGCCAAAAGTGTTCCTCCTCTGTGTCCTGCAGCATCACAGCAGTGTCCAGAGGGAACCAGGTGAACACAACAGGAAAGGCCTTATTATTACTCCACTTGGTTGGTGTTTCAGTTGTTGACAAAAAAGTGTTTCTTCTAGAAGATTTTCTGCCACATTTGCATACATATGGTGTAAAAAACCTGTAGCATCTCAGGTGTTCATAGCTAGCTCCTTAGCTGGCCTCCATGGATATGAGAAAAGAAATAAACTAAATTTGCTACTTCCCATCCACAAATTCCATTTCTGTTATTATTAGTGTTTTTAAGCTGCTCTGGGACTTAGCTGTAAGATTTAGCTACGCTCTGACCAGTGCAGTGTGCATGCAAATGATAGCGTACTAAGCAATGTTCATATCACTATACCACAATTTCAACATGTGTATTGGTGCCAACTCTAAGATGTTTGTGCTCTGCAGGGGAGTAAGAAACGGGTGGTGGAGGGGTGTGCTCCACGCTCCAGGCTGCCTCTGAAGAGCCGCTACGGCCTCAGTGCCTGGAGACGTTGGGCTCAGGCTACTTCCAACCAATCAGCAGACACCAAAGACTCTAAAGCAGGTAAGTGTCACACCTCCTCTGGTTTGCCATCCATTTCAGAGGAATCAAATACAGCCATCCTGAGGAGGGGTAGTTTAGGACTGTACATCATGAGGAGGGGTAGTTTAGGACTGTACATCATGAGGAGGGGTAGTTTAGGACTGTACATCATGAGGAGGGGTAGTTTAGGACTGTACATCATGAGGAGGGGTAGTTTAGGAGGACCTATTAACTGTTCCTGTGCTCAGAGTGCTGCAGCAGATCCAACCTCTTGGAGCTGTCATCTGAGCAGATGAACGTGGCACTCTGCTCCTTTGTGAAGGAGGTGTGCCGGCCCAACGGGGAGCGCTACAGCCCAGACAGCATCCTGTACCTCTGCCTGGGCCTTCAGCAGGTGGGTGCCTCTGCTTTGTCTGAAACAGTGGAAGCCATATCTCTCATACAATCTCTCATACAGGTTTCCAATTAATAATTAAGGGCTATGTGGAAAGAAGCACGAGTCACATTGAAAATATCAAGAATGGAATTTTTGTCAGAACAGAGAAAAGAACACCCTATAGCTTTTTAAACTATGCTACACAACAGCCACCAGGGGGTGCTGTACTCCTTTACAAATCAAGTGCTGTTGGAAGTTAGATGTGACAGGTCAGGGTTTCCGCAGGGCATTAAAAAGCATTAAGTCGTTCAGTGGATTCTGTCGAAAATTAAGGACTTAAAAAGCATAACTAATAGTAATACTAATACTAATACTAATACTAATAGTAATACTAGTAATAGTAGCAAAACTAAGCAAGGCCGGGCCAGGGTAGGACTTGGATGGGAGACCACTGGGAATTCCAGGTGCCACAAGGGGGCACCAGTGGCAAAAAACTGTTCTGTGCTTAGGCAAGACGCTTCACCCACATTGCCTAGTATGAAAGTGGTTGTGTGCGTGTGTGATTGGTGGTGGCCAGAGGGGGGCGATAGCACAGATTGGCAGCCTCACTTCCGTCACTCTGCCTCAGGGCGGCTGTGGGTACAATAGTGGATTACCATCACTGGGTATTGGTATAAATGAATAATGATCTTGATTCTTGAAGAAGTGTCTAAAAAAGCATTTATAAAGCTGATCCATTAGTATATCATTAATGCATTCAAGGAAGTTAATTTTGCTGTCATAAATGTAGCCTGCATGTTGCGTGTAGCACGACCCAGAACGTATTTACACCATATACACCAACCGTAGGGCTGTGCCAAAAACCAATAGATTGATAGATCGTGAGCTTTGGTCGATCTTGATGATTATGCATTTGCATTTTAATGGACAGGTGTACAGCCAATCATGTGGCAGTCAGAGTGTGTGGAGCTGACAAGGATTACGCTCTTGTTTAGGAAAATTAGCCTGAGCCACAGCATCTCTTTATGTCTAAGTTTTGACTTAAATCTACACAATAGGACTAAAAGTCCAGTCTCTCTCTTCCTCTGTCTGTTCGTGTGCATCTGATCTGTATTTGTGCGCGTTTGCCTCTGTGTGTGCTTTACATGTGGGTTTCTCCCTAATTATCAGTCATATCAACACAAAATAAAAACTATAATGGTCCTGACACGCTGCTCTTTATGCATGATGTATGTTTGTCTATATTTTCAATAAGATGGAAGAAGATCAAATCGAAAATCAAGATTGATCAATATGAGGAAAAGAAATGGATTCTTTTTTTTTCCCATATTGCCCAGTCGTAACCCAACACCACCAGATGTTCTCACCTGCGGGCAATCGTCTCCGGGTTTTTGCTTATTTGAGAGGCTTCAAGTCCGGGAGCTATGCCCCGAGCCGGGTTGACAGAGCTCATCGAGCTAGGCAGAAAGTGTGTTAAACCCTGCATAAACCCTGCAGATCGATAATTGATGGTAATCCTCACATCTGACACTTCAGAATTTATATTTAGTGATCTATTAAATTATAATAAAACATCTATACCTCAAACTCACAAAGAATTACAAGAACTGCAAAGAAAAATGGTGCAGTCTTGGGCACCAGTGACCCTGTCACTCCCCCTAATATGGCCACTGTTAAAAGCATTGTGTCTTCCATTTTAATTTCCTCAAGGAAAATAAAGTATAAAATAATCTAATCTAATTTCAGAACAATACAAACCAAACTGAAAAATTATTACAAAATTTAATTTGGCAGAAATTAATCCCCTTTTTCTCTTTCCTAAATAAATGTCTCCAACTGTATATATATGCTTTGTTTTGTCAACAAAATCAGTAGCCTTATGTAGAGGGAGATCACTCTAGGGGGGAACTAAAGTTTTGAACTTGGGGTAGTGGTAGGAAGAAGATTAGAGTGACACTTCCTGTTGAGCAACAGTAGCATGTGACACATGGCTGTGCTCATGTGCTTCTTTCCATCCTGCTCCATCTCCCTGTCAAGGATTCAGCCTGTTTCTCAGGAACATGTATGTATGCACTGTGTGGGCTTTTCTGTCACTTTGACTTGGTTGTGTTTGCTTTGGAACCTCTTTAACGTTGTGTCCAGTGATTAGAATTTCTTGCTGTTCACATCCTGAGATCTGTGCTGACTACTGAAATATGAGGACACATGGAATCTGATAAATGGATGGAAAGTAACTATTTACAAATAACTCACATTATTTAATTTTGGAGTAATTATACTTTAATCATTGGCCATGTAACTGTATTTTAATGGACTACACATTTGCACTGTATGGATTTAGCTTTTTCTGCTCCAGTACCGATATCATTACCTTGGATTTAAGTATCTGCTGAGATACTTAAATATCTACCAGATATTAAACGATATCAGTGTAGAGATCACCATCAAAAAAAAGCTAACTTATTCCAAAATCCATCAACATTCATTCATTTGTGGAATGTAACTGTTACGTATCCTGCAAAGTAACAACAGATTAGCTTTTTATTATTTAGTTATTCATTCTGAGCTGTTCTAGACCTACATGAGCCAGTAAAAAGTCCTTAATTTAAAGGATATTCACAGATCTGATATAATGGGACCAATACCTGAACCAGCAAAATTTCCTGGATCAGCATATCCTCTACTACTATCAGTGCCTCTATAAATCTGGCAGTACTTTCCACCACTGTTTATAAGCAACGTAAAAGTATACTGTGGAAATGTAATGTAAATGTAGTATAAATGTAGAGGACAGTAAATGTGTTCATTCTCCTTCTTTATGCTCTTGTGTCCGTGTAGCACCTTCACTCCAAAGGCCGAGCAGACGACCTGTTTGGAGACCCGTGCTACCAGCCGTTTGTAGAGGAGCTGAGCCAGGTCCTGAGGAGGTGGCAGCCCCATGTTCTTCCCGATGGTCAGTATCAGCTCTGCTCATCACCTCTGTGTGTGTGAGCAGGCTTGTCATATTTTTCAGACTATAAGACTATAAATCCTTTTAATTTTCTCAAAAATTGTCACTGCACCTTATAATCCACCTTATGTATTAATTCTGGCTGTGGTTACTGACCTCAAACTGATTTTGTGCGTACACGACGCTCAAAAATCTGTCAAAATGTTTCAGTACGACTTTGGTAAAATACCAAGTAGAGGTCTGTGTGGGACAGAATTTTCAGTCCTTCTCCCGCCTGCACCCGCAAAGAATTATAATTTTCATTCCTCCTTCCGCCCACAAATCCCACAAGATGGGGACGTTCGCTTTCTTAATGGAAAGGAATTGTCTCAAATGTCTACTCGATTAGACCACATTCGCAAGTATACGCTGCTTAAAATGTTTTTATTAATGCCAAATAAAATATCCAGCACAAATTCTGTATGACAGACAAACATTAACCATTTGTATATTTTACTTTAAACTGCAGTCCTGCAAACTAAATATGAGTGTAATGTCCCCCCACCCACTCCCGCATTGTGCAGTTCTGCTCCCAACCACGCCCACAATAAACTTTCAAAATGTGTCCCCCACTGTTTTGCGTCGGGTCCCGTGTGTGCAGGGCTCTACAGCAAAGTTGCACCACTTGATGGATTGTCGGAGCATTACGGCTACCGTAGTCAGGAGCCTCGTGGAGTAATCCACCTTCACCAAGACAGGGAGGCTACGCTGGGCAAGTTACACTACAAGCTGCCAATGGATTGTGTATGCCTGGGCTAAGGGTTCAGTCTCAAGTGTCGTCAGTTTGTTTTGCTTAATGCACCTTATGTATGAAAATAGACGGGAGAATTTAACATTATTGATATTGTGCCTTATAGTCCAAAAAATATGGCAACACTTATCGTTCAGTAAATGATAGCTGGAACTGCTGTTTTGGGGGGTCAGAATTTATCATGGATCTTGTGATGTCGTGTGGTAATACAGGAAGTGCTTTTCTGTGTTTTTAAACTTCATACATGTTGCAGTTTTACTAGAATCATTTGGATAATTTCAGAGCTAAAAAGAGGTAAGAGCTGTTTACTTGGAAACTACTGCTCCATGACAGTACAAGATGGAACAGCATGCTGAGCTTTGAAGATGTAGACAGACTAAAGTACAGAATTACTCACATATTCATGTGTGAATGAAACAAAACACAGCTAACAACATTCAAACATGGCTTAAATCTCACGAGTCACTTTTGCGTAATATGGGAACTTTTGAAGTAGCTTGTAGGATGTTATTTTGCATTAGAATATTTTTGTGGCATAATTCTACTTTAGTATAATTGTTATTGGCATTATTTTCAGTATTATCGTATGTGTGTGTGTGATATTTTTCTAAAGAAAATAGACTACAAATTATAGTGACCAGCCTATGTGGAAGCTGTCCAATGATTAGAACCTTTTTGCTGTTCACATCCTGAACTCTTGTGATTGCAAAGGAAACTCTGAGGACCTCCCAAACTACTGTCACAATAGTTAAACTACTGGCTTGAATCACTATGATTTGCACTCGAGTTGCTCAGTTAATAGAAGACCAAATGCTCTTTTACATCGGCTGAACTAGTAACAGTGTGAAAATGATTCAGTCTACAAGGGACAAAAGTTTTACTGTATGTTGGCAATATGAATTGGTTTGAATATTTGTGCTTCTTGCACTGCTTATTCAGCTATTTCAGATATTCAAAGATTTAGTTTCTCCTTTTTGCGCTCTTTGAAGAGTGTGTTATTTAAGGTTCTGTCCATCAAATTACAAACATCATTCATGTTCGGCAGTTTAGAGCACTACTTTGTACTTCTGCTTGAGTAATAAAATTCTGAATTAATGTTTCTCTTACTTGAGTAATTTTTTTCCACTCCTACTCACTTCTGGTGAATGGCAATGATACGTTACTGTTACGAGGGGCCATGTTTGTAACTGCTCATGTTTATATTTATAGTTGATATACAAACTCAGATGTTAGCACATACAAATAATTTGATACTAACAAATAGACTTGATCCTCAATACAGATTCTGACACCACAGTCTTTATTTAGATAAGCATTTATATGGGACAACAGCAGGCAGAAGAAGTGAGTGAGTTAGCTGAAGATTTGTCTTTTTTTTGTATTCATATGTAAAAAGTCTTTATATAAATTGTTTCCTAGTACGTTTTTATCTGCATTAATAGTAGTTTTTGCATGAACTCCTATGCAGGTGTATTCTTGTGAGTGCAGTTTGGGTCAAATACATAGAGATGCTTAATAGTTTTGAGAGCTTTTGTCTCGCCCCTTTTCAGTCAACTAATCAATCAGCAGGACATGATTTAGTCTACCATAGCCCTTCCTTCAGGTAGGGCTATATGATCTAAAGCTATTAGTGAATGTGACTTTTTTTTAGTATAGAGACCTGCTCAAATGAGTTGATAAGTTTTGATACTAGTTTTAGTATCTATAAATTTGTATTTCAGTCAAATTATTTCCCTTTTCAAAATGTTAGGCCTAGACCTTTCCTGTGAGATGGTGACTAACCCTGAGCTGTGTGTTCCAGGGTCCACGTGGGGTTGTGTGGATGAGCAGGCACTGTGGAGCAGCCGGCTCCTGGGGGCCCATTCCCCGGCCTCGCTGCTCCGCTCTCTGCTTTACCTCAACACTAAGTATTTGGGAGCCTGCAGTGTGGAGCAGCACCTGAAGCTATCGTTCAGTCGGATCTACGCAGAGACCCAAGTCCAGTCCAAGTCTGAGTCCCAGTCCAGCCCCAGTCCCTATGTGCCTTCAGCCTCTCAGGACCCACACGGTACACAGGCCTTTAGCACAGCACACATGTAGGTAGAGATGGGATGTAATGAGATTTTTGACCATTTCTAAAACATAAATTGTTCCTGTGTATTGTTTAGAACAGTGATTTTTAACCCAAGCTTGGTCCGCGGCCTAAAGGGCTCCAAAAAACTTTCAGTTTTGCACCAGTGGGTCACGAGGGCCGTGGGACTACGTCAGGATTGCTAACTGGCGGACTGGCGTTCCAAGTCCAAACCTAGATGCCATCCCATAGGCCCGGACAGGGTCAGCCCAATGTACTCCGTACCTCTTTTACCCGGGGGGACAGAGGTACCTCCAATTACCACCAGTTATCTCCAGTTATCACCATGAACTCATAAAACAGCAACATTTAGAACTTTGTACAAACTCACTGCACATCAGCCCGGAGCAGAAGCTCTGAGCTCAGGTAACAGCAGCAGCCAACAGCTAACAGACACAGAAGCACTCACCGTAGCTCACAGCCCCTCAGGACGGTCCTGGGGGTCCAGTCCTTGGTCTTGGGAGCTGCTCCCGCTGGTTCAGGACTCTGGTTTGGATCTAGTCCAACTGTTGCATTTCTCACACTAGGCTAAAAGCAGTTCATTTTATGAATCTATTGAATAGGGCCTATTCAGTTTAGATTCTGAACTTTACACCACGGTATTAATGGACCAAGGAACATACAAACCAATGGTGATGCTGCTTAGCCAATCAAATCTGTGCATTCAAGGCGATCACAGCTTTGAATGCAGACACAGAAGAAAGAGATTTTGAGATCTGTTGAAAAATGTATTGAGACTGTAAAGTCGAGATATGAAAGGTAAAGAAAAAGGAAAACTCAAGCTGCTATTTTTTTTCTCCCTGAAATGAAGCACTTTGTTTTAAGATGCCATTTTATTTATTTTCTCATTTTCATCTGCATCCCTAATGTATCTAATCTAATGTAGGCCTACTGTGTGTTTAAGTGTTAACATATTTTGTTGAAATGTTTCTAACTTGTATTTCCGTTGATTCATCTATTGTTCATACATTCAGACTTTAATAAAACTAGGCTGCTTCTGTATCACAATCATAATGCAAGTTAGACATTATGATATCCCAGACCTCTGCTTGAGGAGATTTTCTCTAACTGGACCTCCTCAAATTTTAGTTGAATACCCCTGATAATGGGCCCCGGGCCATTCTGCACTGGACAAATCGGGCCTCAGCGTCAAAAAGGTTAAGAATCCCTGGTCTAGAATAAACTAACATTAAAATTAAAAGGCTGTTACATTTTTAATCAGATCTTTTCTTAGTTAATCTTGCAGCCTTACTTAAAATGTTGATATTAACCCACTGTACATGATCCTGGAGTTTTTATAAGCTTCTGTAAATCAAGATATGAACATTAATAACTGCCCAAACTACTTTCTACACTTGGCACATTTTTAGCGCTTTTCCACCTTCGGCCAGGTCGCAGAGGCAGCAGTCTAAGCAGGGACTCTCAGATTTCTCCACACACACTTCCTCCAGTTCTTCTAGGCAGACATCAAGGCGTCCGTGACCTGGCCCTGAATAAAGTCGAAGAAAATGGATGGATAGGTTTTCCACCTTCAAAACACTCACAGCACTTTTCATTTAGGAACCACTCACCTTTTCACATATGCATTCATACAGAAATGCACACACACACTGGGAGTGAGGAGGGTTCAGTGTCTTGTCCAAGGACACAACAACAGCTTTCATCATTTGGAACAGGAATTGCACCACCCACCTGTGGGTCAGTGGATCTGACCGCTCTATCAGATGTTTGTGTTGAGAGCGGGATTCGAACCGCAACCTTCAGTGGAAAATTTCTCTGCTCTACAACTGAGCTACTGTCAGCACCTACATCAAAAACATCAGATAATAAAATTTGATTTATAAATTTATAGAGTTTTGGTACATTTTATGCCCTGATGTCTCAAAATCTTATGGCAGTTGGCATGTATCCAAAACAGATGACTATTGAACGGGTTTGATTAAATGGATCTGTTGTAGGTTTTGCTCAGGAACTGCACCTGATTTAAACCTAGGATGTGTTTTGTGTCCAGTGATTAGAACCTTTTGCTGTTCACATCCTGATATCTATGCTGACTGTAAAAATATGAGGACACATATTTCTTACTGTCTATATTTGATCCAGATTTGAAAATTGTGGATTGACTTATTGGCTGTGCTGTTTCCAGGGCAAAGCCAGTCCAAGAAAAGGAAGCTGGAGGAGGAGGGCTCAGAGCTGCTGGGCCGTGTGACAGAGCACGAGTGGGGCATCTATCAGATCTACAGGGACAAATGGTGAGCTTAATATTTCAGTGTTTACTCATATGCTTTTGAGTGTGTTTAAAATCTGACATGAACTCAATCAAAACTCTTAGGTATTATTACAAATTACTTTTTTTTTTTTTTTAAACTAAGACATGTTGTGCTCATTTCTGCTATATAGTTACAATTTGACACATTATGTTGTAATGTGTTTTAATAGAATCTATAATATTTAATATGTTTTTAAATTGCAATATTTATCTAAAATGATTTGATAAAAGAAACAATTCCACAAATTCCATATTAGAAAACTACAGTGCCAATGGGAGCTGACGTCGCTGTAAATGTCATCACAACAAAGCACCATGTAGCTGTCGGAACCTCCAAAGGATAAATGCATTATGCATATATATATATATATATTTTTTTTTTTTCTTCATTTGTGTCAAAATTACTGAGACGCTGCCAAATCCTACATGTGTAAGAGATGAAGAAAATCCAATTAGAGATCGAAGTACAGAGCACTGAGTGTATGCCTTAAATGAGAGTTGGTTGGCAATATGGCATTTGAAAATAAGCGACTGCTCCAAGTGCAAATGCTTGAATCACTCCATATACAACTTCAGGTGAGGACCATATTTTCCACACTATACGGCACTCTGGATAATAAGGCTCACTGTCACTGAATGGTCTATTTTTGAACTTTTTTCACACATAAACCGCACCAGACTATAAGGCACATTAAACGAAACACAACAGTTAGATAAGTCAAACTTTATTTAACACGTTCACAATAACGCTCAACTTTGTTCAATTGTAACGTGTAAAAAAAAAAAAATCCTGTCTGAGACACTAAATTGTTAGTTTTCACAATAAGTCATAATTGTTCAAACAGTTGGGCGATTCCAGCATCCAGCACACCCACATCCCTCTGTCATTATCCGAGTCAGTGTGGTTACTGTTCCCTGGCAGTTCAGTGATGATTCGGGTCTTGGTGAAAGCTCGGACCACAGTTGATACTGATCCTTAGCCCGGGCATCTACGATCCATTGGCAGATCATGGCGTAAGTCGTTCAGCGCTGTCTCCCTGTTTTGGTGAATGTGTATTCGCCTTCTCTCATCCACTGCTCCCACGCAGCTCGCTTTTTCACTTTATAACACCCTTGAGTAGGGCCCGACCGATATAGATTTTGTTGTGGCCAATATGATACCGATAAAAATGGGAGTTGGAGCTGCCGATATAATCACCGATATGTTTAGTGATGTATAAATTCACTGTAAATCTTAAATTGTTTAAAAACTTAGGTTTGGCTCTGGTGGATTTTAAATTGGGTTTATTTAGGCAACATTTATTGTTATTCTGCCTCTTTACATCATATTTACAGACAGTAGGTCCGACTAATGGCATTTTTGCATCACATTCTAGCTACTAGTGATGAGTATTCCAGTTCTTTTTAGAGAACCGGCTCTTTTGGCTCGGCTCACTAAAAGCAGCTGGCTCTTTCGGCTCCCAAGAGACTCTTCAGATTGTTTTGCTGCAAGCAGGACTAAAGCACTGAACCAGAACTGAACCAGGACTGAAAAAGGACTAAACCAGAAGTGAACCAGGTCCAAAGCAGTTCTAAAGCAGTTCTAAAGCAGTTCTAAAGCAGTTCTAAAGCAGGTCTAAAGCAGGTCTAAAGCAGGTCTAAAGCAGGTCTAAAGCAGGTCTAATGCAGGTCTAATGCAGGTCTAAAGCAGGACTGAAAAAGGTGTAAACCATGTGTAAAACAGGTCTAAACCAGAACTGAACCAGGATTGAGTGTTGGGATTCGGTCTCTATCTCTCATATAATCTCAGTGTTTGGTCCTGTGGCTGCGAGTGTAACACATGTGAGTGACGTGACTCTGGGGGTGTGTTCAGGGACAGTACAGACACACATAGACAAATGACTCCGCTGATAAAAACTGATGCGGAGCCACATATTAGGACATTTATCTGTCTGTAAATTGGATTAAATCAATATAATGTAGAGAGTCTAAACTTTATAACTAGGCATAACATGCCCACGAGAAATATCGGCCCATATCGGCAAACATATCGGTCAGCCGATATATGGGTCGGGCTCTAGCCTTGAGTTTAAAGTGGGTGTTGTAAGCGAGTCTCTTGACAGGTGCATTTTGATATTAAAAGGAATCACAGTATGTATTACTCTGCGATGCTCCTGACTACGGGAGCTGTAATGCTGCAAGTGGAGTGGCTTTGTAGTTTATTAAAGTTGCACTAAGACACCCCAATAAATTCATATATAAGGTGCTCTGGATTATAAGGCGCACAGTCATTTTTTGATGAAATTAAAAGGCTTTTAAGTGCGCCCTATAGTGCGGAAAATACAGTAAATGCTGAAATGACTGTAACATGGTTAAAAGTCCTATAAAGTTTATTTTGCATAATAGGTCTGCTTTAAAACCTGTAATCCCACAGTTGGATTTCTCATAATTGTCTGTACACTTGTTTCCAGCCCAGTGTCGGTGAGGGACAGTCTGGATGTCCTGTACCTGCTGCCCGACCCACAGGCCACTCCGGAGGGACTGTGGTTTAGCATGAGCCCCCTCCAGGTCCCAGCCCTGGACAACCTCCTGACCACTGTTCTGGTGGTCCAGGAGCTCCATATGGAGTCATCTCAGAGGAAGGACAGGGCGCTACAGGAAGACCGGTCACAGCCCACCGATGGAGAGTAGCCCCTGTCTGTGCTAAAGTCTTCTTCCCACGTCCTCCTTTGGACAACTAGATCTCTGAAGAACAGAGCAGACTGCTGAACTCAACACTCCTCTGAACACTGACACATGCACAGACTGAGGACATGGGCCCTCAGCATGGCGCTCATCACAGCTCTTCTCTGTAGGCCTTCACTGCGGCCATACAGCACGTTTGGACATTGTCTGATATTTGCTGTGGACAGACCAAATCCTGATTCAAAGTGAACTTCTTTGGTCCAGTGCTGTGGTAAATGTTGTTTGAAATGTTGGACTTGGATTCTACTGTACAATTACAAGGGTCAAGGAACCATGTGAAGAGTGGCTGTGGACGCAGGCTGGTGAAGGCCGCTCTGCTGCTACTTTCACACTGCACCTTGAGCTGATGGTCTGCTGTCTCAAACCAGACTCACCAGCGTCTGTCCTCTTCAGAAGCTTGCATCAGTCTCTCCCACACTTTTAAGTTTGGTTATTTTAAAATGTCGTGAACATGGCTATTTCTGTTAGATATAAGGAATGGAAACGCAAGGTTCAAAAACTATTTCCCATTTGTGTGGGGCTGAGGTGTGTCACTTATGATCAGCTCAGATTTCTTCAACACTTTTTCTTATTCCAAAAGTTTGGGCTATAACACAGCTTCACATGAGACTGAGAATTGCTTTGGTTCGGTCATGTAGCACCATGCCTCTGGTTTATTCTAATAGTTAGTCAGGCCTATGATAAAAGCCACTCCATATAAGTCACTTGCCCTATGCCCACGGTCAATGGAGTTTCAGAGAGAGTTTAATCTTAATTATGTACACTACAGTTAATGTGGAAATGGCCTCACAGCTGGAGGTGTCTGGGGTGAGGGAGGTCCGTGCAGCTCTGCCTTTTTTATTTTTATTTTTATTGTGTTGGAGCCAGCCTGGGTACAGCTTCCACACAACTGTTCACCTTTCATACTTTAACATTTATGAGTTAAGAATTTGTCTTTTTTTTTTGTTGGTTTGTTTTAATAAATCTCTAAATCTGTATGTGTGGATGCTTTGTTATTTTTGTGAATCGGGTGCATAAAATAAAAAAATGTTTGCTGTAAGTGTACAAGGAAGCTCAGATGTGCCAACAAACTTTATGGCAGGAGTGAGCACACGCAGGGGGAGCGTGCCTGTTCTCTCAGCTTTATGTTCCCTCATTTCTAAGTTTTTTTTGTTTGTTTTTTTCTAAAATTAGGCTCTAGTTTCCTACATTTCTTTTTTTGTGTGCAGATTTTAATCCCCATTTCTCCCAATCTGGTCGTCAATTATTCCCAACCAATTCTCGAGCAGCAGTTGAAAAGATGTAATGTAGAGGTCATGGTGCAAAGGATCCTAGGTTGAAATGACTCTGAATCATCCCTTTAAATGTAGCCTAAAAATAAAATTGACTTGAATTAGATTTTCATTTTGAGAAAAATCTTAGAAATAAGAAAATCTTGAGGGAAATGAGGAAACAAAGCTGTGGGAACATAGGGCTGAACCCCCACGCAGGAGGGCACACGCAGCATTGATCTATTTATATATATTATATATATATATACATACATATATATATACATACATGCATACATACATATAGACCTTAAGTCTTTATGTGCTCTATGGTTTAACAGCACTACATTTCCCGTCATACTTCGTCTTTTTAGTCCATGGAGGCGGGTGAAGGCAGCTCGGCAGCTCAAGTTGCTTTTTCTTGCCTTCAGCCGCCTTGGGTCGTTGGGTCGTGTCTTATTTCTCTTTCCTAGCTTCCTTCTCCTTGATTCCTCTCCTCGATCCTTCGGTTTTCAGCTGTCAATCAAATGTGTCCCAAAGAAAAACATGGAAAGTAGAAGTAAACCCTGAGGGAGGCTTTGGGAGCAGGCACCAGATAAAATGATTACACTTTATTGGTCTCAGTGAGGAGTTTATGTCCTCTTTCCTCCTCATGCCTCCTCTGTGGAAGGAGTCAAAGGAAGAAAGCGAGGAAAGAGAAATGAGATGCGGATGCGGCCCATAGTTGTGGGCATAGCACTGGGAGGCTCTCTGTGGGCAGTCTGTCAGTGGGCAGGCTCTGTGTGGGCAGACTGTCTGTGGGCAGACTGTCTGTGGGCAGTCTGTCTGTGGGCAGACTGTCTGTGGGCAGTCTGTCTGTGGACAGACTGTCTGTGGGCAGACTGTCTGTGGGCAGACTGTCTGTGGGCAGACTGTCTGTGGGCAGACTGTCTGTGGGCAGTGTCTGTGGGCAGACTGTCTGTGGGCAGTCTGTCTGTGGACAGACTGTCTGTGGGCAGTCTGTCTGTGGGCAGTCTGTCTGTGGGCAGACTGTCTGTGGGCAGTCTGTCTGTGGGCAGGCTCTGCGTGGGCAGTCTGTCTGTGGGCAGAGTGTCTGTGGGCAGTCTGTCTGTGGGCAGACTGTCTGTGGGCAGTCTGTCTGTGGGCAGACTGTCTGTGGGCAGACTGTCTGTGGGCAGTCTGTCTGTGGGCAGTCTGTCTGTGGGCAGACTGTCTGTGGGCAGTCTGTCTGTGGACAGACTGTCTGTGGGCAGTCTGTCTGTGGGCAGTCTGTCTGTGGGCAGTCTGTCTGTGGGCAGACTGTCTGTGGGCAGTCTGTCTGTGGGCAGGCTCTGCGTGGGCAGTCTGTCTGTGGGCAGTCTGTCTGTGGGCAGTCTGTCTGTGGGCAGTCTGTCTGTGGGCAGACTGTCTGTGGGCAGTCTGTGTGGGCAGCTCTGTGTGGGCAGTCTGCAGGATGTGTGATGATCACAAGTCCATGGCTATGATGCGCAGTGCTGCCCCCACCGTCGATAAGCGACTGTGCTCTTGTATAAGGACTAATTTAGTTTTTAGTTTTATTCTGCTTTAAGGTCTCAACATTTCATTAGGATTTTGAAGTCATATGATTTTCTCATTCATTACATTGATATATTTTTCTTTACCTTGCTGCTGTTTTAGATTAATTGTAAGAGGGCTTCCTCATAGGCTGTATTAATAAAGGCTGTTGCTCCTCGCCCTGTGACAATGACACTAAAAATCTACTGGAAAAGATGGACCTAAGAATTTTCATCCATCGGATATGTTATAATTTACTAAGTAAGTATTGTCTAATTTCGATGTATTAGTATTTTTTGCTGTTACTATTTCGTGTAGACTGTTTTTGTAATTTGTATGGTCTAATTTAATATTGTCTAGGTGTTTTTGCTGTATTTTCATTACATTTTGAATGGGAATGTGCGGCCTTTGTAAATTGAAGCAGGTTAAATGAAATGTTGAAATGATAAATGTATTTTTTCTTTTTCTGTGAAGCAAACATGCTTTAAATATTTTACAACATAATCTTGTTAGGAATGCAAACGTTAGTCACAGAGGCATACAGCCTGTAGCCTTTGCACTTGTGTACGCCTACTCGGCTACTTTCGCTTTCCGGACGTCGCCGAGTGCGTCAAGTGCGTCAAGGGCGAAGGAGGCACGAGTTGTTTCCTTTAACACTGGCCCAGCAGGATCTTCCTCGTGTATTACGGCACAGGATTTGATCAGATTTGTGGTAAGTGTTGCTTTTATCGGTGGACACTGATCTTTGCCAGTACTGGAGGTTTAGGCGCCGTTTCATTTCAGTTGGTTTGTTTATTATTAGAAACTTCCTTATTCCCTCTTATAAAGTGACTTCCTTTAAAAACAAGGTCTAATGTGTACTAACCAGAACTACTCTAAACAGTCCTGTGTTTTAGCTGTGCTATAGATGGAGAGCCTGTGTGGAGGTCAGGCTGCTCCGGGCTCTGCGCACTTGTTCTTTTCTGTTGGAGCGTTTACGGGGATTTGACTTTGCGTGTGCGTGTACGTGTGCGTCTCACCGGACTGTCTGAGGTCCATAGTTTGACAAACAGGTGTCATAGTTGGGTTGTGATGATTCAGCTACCGAACAGTACAGTAGCATAGGCTTTTCCATCCGAAGTGTCATCTACAGTCTGTGTTCAAATAAATCAAATCAAATCATAAAAATACAGACTATAGTTCTAACCAATGAGTAGGCCTATTAGGGACTGAAGAGATCGTCGCTATAGGAAGCTAAAAACTAAAAGCCCCACATTTCTGTCGACGGGCCTGGTCTTTCAGGACGCCACTTTCCCATTAATACCGTGATTATTGGGCTTTTTGTATATTACTCGCATGTTCTACCAAACTCGTGAACAAATATTTTCATTTTAGGCAATAAATAACTCTTTTATAGTAATAGGAGTGAAATAAACAGAATGATTATCAGTAGTTCTGTTTAGATGGTGTACTGACACATAAACATGTAGTTGAATTATGTCCAAAAAAAGTTGCTGTTGTGAAATAGACCTATCGAACCAAGGCTGGAGAAATGTGGATTCTGTTGCTGTGGCATCTAATTTGTTGATGAAAATGTTGAAATTGGATTAAAGGTATGGCGTGATTTTATCTTTATCTTCCATGTGGTATTAAAGGCTTTGAATGATTTAGTATTTTTTGAGTGCCTCAGCTTGTTCAATTTGTATTTGGTTTAAAAGGTTGAAATGAAAGATACATTTGTACTCTCCAAACTCGAGCAAAAAGAAGCCATAGCATATCAATATCATCACAAAAGGTGAAGTTTGTGAAGTCAAGATTTCGCTAAGTGTTTGAATACTTTTGGATCAACTGTATCTTTAGTATTTAGAATCTTCAAATCTCTGGTTTGAAGTATAACAACCCAATCCCAAGCCCTGTTTTTCTTTCTTTCATTCTTTCATTTCATCTGCATCATTTGAAACCACAGTCTTTTGCATGACACTTGCTGTAATCCCTCCTCCAGGCTGGTTCTGTGTCTGTGCCTGAAGCTGCTGCTGGTCAGTGTAATGAGCCTGTCCAAGCCGCTGAGGTGTGCTGACCCAGAGACTCCTCACAGCAATACGTAGTGAAGAATGAAGCTGCTTGTGCTGCTGGCATGCCTCAAAGTCTGCCTCTGCATAGGTCAGAACGTACCTTAAATCATGATAATTACTGTATCAACTTAGTTATTCAGTAATACATCTGAAAAAAGTACATTTTCTTTGCACAAAATCTTTGATTACTGTTTAGCTAGATGATAAGATTTGAGCCGTAGAACAAACTATATGCGAAATGCAAACTATAAGAGGTTTTTCATTCTGTTATTTTCATTCTGGCAGCTCATGTTTTATATATTGGGTGGGGGTGGGGGAGGGTCAGGCTATTAGTCTAAAGGCAGAGTTTTTAATGATTTGCAGTATTCCATAAACAAACCCCAGTTTGTTCAAAACTTTCTTCATTGCCCTTAGATGCAATATTAATCTTTTCCAATTTAAGAAATCCTAAGACATCACGAAACCACTGAGATATTAAAGGAACTGCAGCAGATTTCCAGAGAAGCAAAATATTGTCTCGAGCTATGAGTCAAGTAAAGGCGAGTATTTTGAAATGAGTACTGTCAGTTAGTAAAGTATTAACTGGGAGACCAAATATAGCTAAAAATGGGTTAAGGTCAACTTTAGCTTCTAGAGCGTTAGAAAGTATTTCAGCATATTGTCTCCAGTAGTTAAGTAATTTTGAGCACAAAAAGAACATGTGACTCAAGTTACATGGGCTGGCAGGACATCTCTCACATTGGTCTGTAGCAGCTCATGTTTTTTATTATTGATCTTGGGTTATTGTGTCAGTGACAAAAAATGTTTCAATATTATCATTATTGTTTATATTTACTTGAGCGATATATTGTACATGAAAATGTAGTGACAGGCCGACACTCAGCCAGGCTAATCATGTGGAGCTGAAGGATGCTCAGGGCTATAGTCGACTACATGATGTTTTTTTTATTTCGCTGATTAAATTTCTATTCCTAATATGGAACTCTGCTTCAAATTCGCCCCTGCAACCGGTAGCATCATAAACTTAATCTGACTGGAGCCAAATGCTACAGGTGACGTCACATTCACAGTCCACTTCTATGACCATACTACCGAATACATTTTAGAATGAACAAAAAAGTTGCCTATTCAAAATAATACAGTGCTTCTGCCATACACCGAGCATGAATGTCTGCTGGTTGTATTTCAGAGACTCTGAGTCTATCCAGGGCAGATATGGCTTCAATTGTTGCTTTCCACCACTGAGTGTGGAGTGTGAATGATGCATTGCAACGTACAATGGGTGTCTTGAAAGCCAAAGTGTTATTTTTTTAGATAAGTGAAATGCAACACTGGAACATTCTTAGACAATGCAATGTTTATGGCAGGCCCTGTATCAGAAAAATGACCAGTAGTGCACCATGGATTTTGATTTTACATCATCCTATTTTGAGCACTATAAATTTTGAATTTTTATTTTATTACTTATTTTTATTTGTACATTTATATTTATATAATTATGTCTTATTTGACACCTGTCTCTTGCTATCTTTTTTTCTACTTATTTAGAATTTATTGTTACCATTTATATTGTTGCTCTTAGTTATATTATATTATATTGTGATGTGTGAGCTGCTGTGTCCAAATCATTTTCCTTGTGTATCAGTAAAGTTTGTCTAAGTCTGTGTCTGAGTCTGAATGGGTGAAGCAGTTATCCGGCTAATGACATGTGGGTGTGTTCTGTTGCAGCTCTGGTACCTCCACAGAGTCTGTACATTTCCAGTGTTAACTTCAGACATGTGCTCCACTGGACTGCAGCTCCTGACTCTCCTCCAGGGCTTGAGTATCATGTTTTTATCAGGTAACCATTTACAGTGGATTCTCAGCTCCAGATTAGTGCTCTCAAATCTGTGTAAGAATGATCACAAGTTGATTATTCATGGGATGGTATGAAACTGTGACCAAAAACAAGGTTATATTATGACATATAATGAGAAACTGACTCATCTTATGTTATAATGTTCATCAAAAACTTATCTTACTGGAGTTTTTTTCATTCATACATCATTAAACTCAGTAATCGTATGCATGCCCAAAGCATAAAATGATTCGTTTCACCTTCTCATTTAGTGGTATAGTTTAACAGCTCTTTTTGCTCTCAATTCAGCTGCGTTACTCTTCAATACTCTAACTTTATGTTGTTGCCTGCCATGATAATTACTATATTGACTTATCATTCAATATATAAAAGTTGGAACAATATTTTTTGTAGTCAGTATTTATTGAGTCTACATTTTCTTTCCACAACTGGGATTTTTTATATATATATATTTTTTGACAATACAACAAAAGCTTGAATTAATAACATCTATGACTCATTACAGATACAAACTAAGCACTAAAGTGTTTCATTCTGCTGTTTATTTCATTTTTTTTTCTCTCATGTTTTTTTTAAACAACATTTAGAATATTTTTTGCGGTTTTAAATCTGCTCTTTGGTTATTGTGTGAGTGGCGTAAATTAGTTTCAGTATTATCGTGCACCGTCTATGTTTACGATATATGCTTGTGATATATTGCATTTCAAAATGTGTTATCATGACAGGCCTAATCTCTATCTCCTGGTGCACCAAAGAGACAAGAGTGAAGCCGGTTCAATGAAGCTAAAAAAATAGCTGTAGCTTCAAAGTTTGGCAAATCTAGGGCTGAGATGATCAAAATGAAGGTGTATGGAGTTTAAAGACGTTGTATTACTGCATTACCACTTAATGACATCAGAAGGAGGAACAGAGTGTTTTGAGTATTGATCAATAATAGTGCAATATAGGCCCTTTAACTAAGAACTGATGTTAATTAAGAGTACAATTTGTAAATCATTAAAAGGGCTGTGCAATGAATCAAATGTTTAGGGTTTCTTTTTTTTTTTTTTTTTTTTTAACAATTTTATTTATACATTTTGATAGCAAATTACAAACATGCATTTTTTCCCCAAAAAATAACCAAATAAAATCTATTTAAATATTCATAATCATAAAATTCAAAAATTTAAATATGATAACAATAATAACAAATGAAAAAACTGCAGATAATCCAAAGACAGATAAATACATAGTGACAAATTAAAAAAGACATACACAACCGTACTAAGGTGTGGTGCCCATTTTATATGTGTCCATATATTTCAAAAATGGCTGCCATGTTTGTTCAAATTCTGTGGTTGAACCTGCAAGTGTAAACCTCATCCTCTCAATGTGCAAGAAACTCATAAGATCATTTATCCACTGATCATGTGTATGACAGTTCTCTTCCTGCGCTGTGCTATCAAAGAAGCGAAGGCCACAGCGCGAGGACAGTGCTCCGTGGTGAAGAGTTCAGTCAAAAGCATTGGAGGGAATTTTGGTTTTATATGTCTCAGACAATATATAGAACATTGATGTCCAATAGTTATTAAGGAATCAAATGTTTTTGAGATAAAGATTCAGTCTTTTCTAATCTAATGTCTAATGATGTGCTTGGGCCTTTTGAAATGAAAGCTCTACAGACAGTGCTCTGTCAGTAAAAGGTTGGAGGTAGGAATTTGTCTGTTTTTAGTGTTAAACTGCACAGATAAAATGCCTAACTAGTTTCTTTTTATGAAATCAATAGTGAAAGCCATTTTTATTTTGCTTTTGAAACGTGTTCAATATGAGGAAACAATTTGATTCATTTTTTAGCATATTGCCCAGTCCTTGTAGTCCCTGTGGTTGTACTATATAATAATGCAGTCAGATATTGTATGTAAATATATATATTTATATCTATGTATGAAACTATTGTTCTTATGTTGTCAAGGTGTCCTAAATCCCTGAAAAAGGTGGCCACCAGTCAAACGACTTGGGCTGCTCTCAAACTGGACTCCCAAGGCACTCACAGACTGTGTGTGCGGAGCTACTTCAACTTGACCTCGTCTCCTCCATCCAAGGGCATCTCTTTCACACCATTCATAAATAGTGAGTTGTCCTATTAGGTTTACCTACTCTGTACTTTAGCCCCATCTAAATTGGTTAAATGTACCTAAGAAGTTCCTTTACAGAACCCACACTTGGACCTGCAGCTGTTCTAGCCTCCTGTAAATTCTGTCCTGTTTTAGTCCTGGGTCAGTGCTGGTTTAGGCCCCGTTTACACATACACTGGTATTTTCTAAAAATGGAGACATTTCCCTTAGTTTGTACCCATCTTTTACACACAAACAGCGAATTGCACCTCTGAAAACAAATCTTTGTAAAAACTCTGGCTAAAGTGGAGATTCTGGAAAACTACAGTTTGGTGATGATGATGTCATGGAAGCATTCAGAGCAGCAGTCACATTTCTTCTGGTGCAAACACTTTTCATGTGTTTGCATTTGCTTACCATCGTCCGCACCGGGAGCAGAGAGCCGTCCACCACCACCAGGAACCGCCAATGGGCCCAGGCCCAAGCATCATCCCTCCACCATGAGCCCTCATTGCAGAGGGCTCCTACAGAGAATAAAGGACTATGAGTTCAAGCTAATAGTACACTGAAAATAAATAAATACAATAAAATATATATATATATATATATATATATATATATATATATATATATATATATATATATATATATATATATATATATATAAAAACAAGTAAAAGTATAAAATTTCAATCAAAAGCTAAGCTTAAAAGGTGGGTCCTGAGCCTACTCTTGAGAACATGAATGTTCTCTTTGGTCCTGAGGTCCACCGACTGTTCCACACTGGAAAGACGCCTCTGCGTGAGTGGATGTCCTGAGTTTGGGAATGACCCGAAGCCACAGGGTCCACGAGGGTCCATAGGGTAAGAGCTGTTCTGAAAGATAAGATGGCCTAAGACCATTCATACATTTAAAATCCAATAAAAGAACTTTAAAATCGGTCCTGAAACTCACAGGGAGCCAATGCAGTGACTTTAAAACTGGTGTAGTGTAGTCCTGCCCTCTGGTCCTTGTGTTTACACACAACTATACTTTCTGCAATAATATTTACCTCTGTTAGCTTGTTTAGTTCATGGGGCAGAGGCTTTAACATAGGAGTTGTAAAATGATCTCTTTTTGAATTGATACAGGACAATGTGTCTATGGAGAGGACAA